TCACGTTCGACACGATCGCCGGCGGCTCGATCACCGAGAACCGGGCCGAGAACAACGGCGAGGACGGGTTCGAGCTCACCACGGCGTTTACCGCCGGTGACTTCAGCGACAACGTCGCCAACAACAACGGCGCGGCCGGCTACACGGGCTTCCCAATCCCGCCGATCGACCCGGCCACCGCGGAAGACAACACCGGTACGGGCAACACGACGCCGGGGACAGACGTCTACCCGTAGCGACTACGTCGTCACGTCCGCGAAGGCGGCGTTGGCCGCTTCGAGCGCCTTCTCGCCGTGGTCGCCGGCGACGACGACGCTGACCTCGACCTCGCTCGCGCCGATCAGCTCGACGTTCACGCCCGCGTCGCTCAGGGCGCCGAACAGGCGCGTGCCGACGCCCGTGTGGCTCCGCACGCCGATGCCGGTCACCGAGAGGATCGCGACGTCGTCATCGACGCGAACCTCGCCGCCGAACCGCTCCGCCGCGGAGCCGGCGATCCGCGACGCCTCGCCCAGGCTGTCACGCGGCACGGTCAGGCCGAGGTTCGTCAGCCCGGCGCCCTCCGCCGCCTCGTCGGCGACGTTCTGGACGATGAGATCGACCATCACGCCCTTCGCGGCCAGGTCCTCGAAGATCGCCGCGGCGACACCCGGCTCGTCCGGCACGTGGCGCAGCGAGATCAGCGTTTGCGTGTCGTCGAGCTCGCAGCCGTCGATCGTCAGGTCTTCCATCGCCCGCAGGCGGGCGATCACCGCCTCGGCGTCAGCGGCCTGAGCCGCCTTCGCTTGCTTCGCCGCGGCGAGCGAGTCCTCGAGCGTCGCGGCTCCGGTCGGCTCGTCGCCTAGGCCAAACGCCTTGTGGACGGTGCGGAGCGCTTCCTGACCCTCGTCACGCGGCACGAGGCACGAGACTTTGATCGGGCTGGTCGTGATCGCCCGGATGTTGACGCCGGCCGCGGCCAGCGACCGGAACATCCGATGAGCGACGCCCGACTGGGTCGCCATCCCCAGGCCGACGATCGAAACCTTCGCTGACGGCTCGCCGACACGCACCTCGGCCGCGCCGATCCGGTCGGCGGCGTCCTCGGCCGCCAGGACGGCCGCGGCTCGATCGCTCTCAAGCACCGTGAAGGAGATGTCCGCCCGGCCGTCGCTGCCGCGGTTCTGGACGATCATGTCGACCGCGATGTTCGCTTCGGCCAGCGCGTGAAGCAGCTCGCCGCTGACGCCCGGCTTGTCCGGCACGCCGGCCACCGTGAGCTGGGCTTCGTCTTTCGTCAGAGCCGCGCCGCTGACCGGGCGGTCAGGCGATTCCGGCAGCGGGCCGATGATCGTGCCCGGCGCGTCGGTAAAGACGCCCGAGTTCCGCACGTGGATCGGCACGTGGAACTTCTTGCCGAATTCGATCGACCGGCTGTGCATCACGCCGGCGCCGAGGCTCGCCAGCTCCAACAGCTCGTCGTGCGAGACGCACGCCATCTTTCGCGCGGAGGCTTCGATCCGCGGGTCGGTCGTGAAGACACCGTCGACGTCGGTGTAGATCTCGCACGCGTCGGCGCCGAGGACCGCCGCGAGCGCGACCGCCGTCGTGTCGCTGCCGCCGCGGCCGAGCGTCGTGATGTTCAGGTCGTCGTCGATGCCCTGGAAGCCCGCCGCGATGACGATCCGCCCCGCGTCGAGGTGCGCCTGCACCCGATCGGTGCTGATCGATTGGATGCGGGCCTTGCCGTGCGCGCTGTCGGTGCGAATGCCGATCTGCCCGCCGGTGAGGCTCACCGCCTGCCCGCCCAGGTCGTGGATCGCCATCGCCATCAGTGCGACGGAGACCTGCTCGCCGGTCGAGAGGAGCATGTCCATCTCGCGCGCGGGCGGTTCGTCGCACACCTGGCCGGCGAGGTCGACCAGAGCGTCGGTGTTCTTCCCCATGGCCGACACGACCATGACGACCTGCGCCCCCTGCTGCTGAGCGCGGAGCGCCCGTCGCGCGGCGGCGCGAATCTTCTCGGCGTCGGCAACGCTCGTGCCGCCAAACTTCTGAACAATGAGGGACATGGAAACGCTGATCGATGAATGATGAGTGGTGAATGGCCGGTTGACTTGGGATGGTCGACAACGTGAGCGCGGCAATCAGCACTCATTGTTCATCACTCATCACTTCAAGAACCAACGCATCGCGTCCCAGCCGTTGGGGAACGCGGTGTCCGATTCGGCCGCGTGGCGGTCGTGGTAGGCGTCGAAGGCGTCGGCCTCGACGCCGGCGCCCGCGACGCAGACCGGCACGTCGCCGTGGGTGTGTTTTTTCGTGCTGATGTACGTCGGGTGGTCGGGGCTGACCATCACACGATAGTCACCCTGAGCGTCGAGCGCCTCAACAAGCGGGCCGACGATCTCGCGGTCGATCGCCTCGATCGCCTTCACTTTTTCGTCGCCGCGGCCCTCGTGGGACGCCTCGTCGGGCGCCTCGACGTGGACGCATATGAGGTCGTACTTGTCGAGAGCGTCGATCGCATAGCGGCCCTTCGCGGCGTAGTCGGTGTCGAGATAGCCGGTCGCGCCGGGGACCTCGATGCGGTCCCAGCCGACCAACGCGGCGATGCCGCGGAGCAGGTCGACCGCGGTGATCATCGCCCCGCGGGGGCCGTACTTCTCGGCGAACGGGGTGAGGCTCGGCGCGCCGCCCTGACCCCACAGCCACGTGCTGGTCGCCGGCTTCTTGCCTGCCTCGACCCGGGCCTTGTTCACGGGGTGTTCGGCGAAGAGTCGCTCGGTGGCGTCCATCAGTTCGACCAGCACGTCGCCGCCGGGGCCGCGTGGGTGGGCGCCGGCGATCGTCAGGTCGGTCCAATCGTGCGGCGCCTCGGTGCGGGTGTCGTTCGTAAACGGCGCCGCGAGTTTCTCGCCACGCCAGATCAGCAGGTTGCGGTAGCTGACTCCCGGCACGAACTCGAGCGCGCCGTTCCACTTCGGGTCGCTGGCGATCTCCGCTTGGACGTCCTTCAAAAGCGCGGTCGACTCTTCAGTCGAAACGTGCCCCGCCGTGAAGTCAATCATCACCGGGCCGTCCGCGTCGCTCTCACCGACCGTCACCAGGTTGCATCGCACCGCCCAATCGGCCGGCGCTAGGGTGATGCCCTGCGCGGCGGCTTCCATTGGCGCCCGACCGGTGAAGTGCTCGAACGGGTCGTAGCCAAGCAAGCTGAGGTTGCCGATCTCGCTACCGGCCGGCAACGCCTTCGGGGTGTGGCACGCCCGCGCGACGACGCCCGCCTTGGCCAGCGCGTCCATATGGGGCGTGTCGGCCGCCTCGAGCGGCGTCTTTCCGCCGAGCGAAGCCTGCGGCTCGTCGGCCGCGCCGTCGGGAATGATGATCGCGTATTTCATAGCGAGTCTCACTCATCAAAGAAGGCCCACGAATCACACGAATCGACGCGAATCGGTCCGACTTGATTCGATCGGATTCGCTCGATTCGTGGGCCGATACTCTACTTTGCGACTCGTAGTCGCACCGGCGATCCAGCGACAGACGTCAGGCCGCCGATCGTCTCACAAGCCTTCACGGCCGCGCCTTCCGTGGTTTCGTGTGTCATTAGGACGAGCGGCACGGTCGCCGAAGTACTCGGCTGCTGTTGGAAACTCGCGATCGAGATCCCTTCGGCCGACAGCGCCTGGGCGATCTGGGCGAGCACGCCAGGCTCGTCGGCGGCGTCGACGCGGAGGTAGAACCGCGCGGCGGCGTCCGCCGGGTCGGCCACCTCGGTGCGGGTCGCCGCGTCGCTCCAGAGGGCAAGCGTGTCGAAAGTCAACCGCGTTCGGCCGACAGCCGTGTCGATGAGGTCCGCAACGACGGCCGAGGCGGTCGGCATCTGCCCGGCGCCGGGGCCCTGCAAGAACAGCTCGCCGACGGCGTCCGCCGTCACGCGCACCGCGTTGAGCGGGCCGCCGACGTCCGCCATCGGGCGGCCGTTCTTCACGAGCGTCGGGCCTACGGAGAGCTGGAGTCCCGCGTCCGTCAGCTCCGCCACGCCGAGCAACTTGATCGTGTAGCCCATCTGCTGGGCGAACCGCACGTCGGTCAGGTCGAGCGTGTCGATGCCGACGCGTGGGATCGCCGCCCAGTCGGGCCGGGCGCCGAACGCCAAGTGGGCGAGGATTGCCAGCTTCTGCGCCGTGTCGGTGCCGTCGACGTCCATCGCCGGATCGGCCTCGGCGTAGCCGAGGCGTTGCGCCTCGGCGATCACCTCCGAGTAGGGCACTCCCTCGGCGTGCATCTTCGAGAGAATGAAGTTGCACGTGCCGTTGAGGATGCCGGTAAGCGACTCGACCTGATTGCCGGACAGGCACTGGCTGAGGTTGGCGATGATCGGCACGCCGCCGGCGACGGCCGCCTCGAACGCGATCGTCCGGCCCGCCTCGCGAGCGGCGTCGAATAGCTCCGGCCCGTGCGCGGCCAAGAGCGCCTTGTTCGCCGTGACGACGTCCTTGCCGGCCTTGAGCAGGCCGAGCACCACCTCCCGGGCGCGCTCGACGCCCCCCATCAGCTCGGCGACCACGTCGATCTCTGGGTCGGAGACCACGGCGTCGATCTGGTCGGTCAGCACCCCGTCGGGCAGGTCGCAGTCGCGGGGCTTCGCGAGGTCGCGAACCGACGCCTTTTCGAGCCACAGGACGCGGCCCGCCTGCCGCTTGGTGCGGTCGCCGTGGTCGAGCAGGATGCGGGCGACGCCCGATCCGACGGTGCCGAGGCCCACGAGGCCGATCTTGGTCTTTTCGAGCGGGGTCTCTTCCACGGCGGCGAACTCGCCTGTCGAGATCGGGGTCTAGGAGCCAGACCCGACAGTAGACGCACGCGGCGACCCAAGGTCAACGCACCGCGAGGTTTGCGCTGATCGGACCGCGGGATAAGATCGGCGGACTTTGGCCTCCGCCGGCTTACGCCGACGGCTCGCCTCGACGGTGCCAGCCGTCCGCTTTCCGCTTTCGCCTTTCCGCTTTGCTCGCCCGATGCCCCGTTACAACCCCGCCGTTATCGAGCCGAAGTGGCAGGCCCGCTGGGACGCCGAGAAGACGTTCGCCGCGCCGCGCGTCCCCGCGGACCCGGGCAAGAAGCTCTACGCGCTGGACATGTTCCCCTACCCGTCGGGCGACGGGCTGCACGTCGGGCATCCGGAGGGGTACACGGCGACCGACATCGTCTGCCGCGCGAAGCGGATGCAGGGCGTCTCGGTGCTCCACCCGATGGGCTTCGATGCGTTTGGTCTGCCGGCCGAGGAGCACGCGATCAAGACGGGCGAGCACCCGCGCGTGCAGACCGAGAAGAACATCGAGACGTTCCGTCGCCAACTGAAGATGCTCGGATTCAGCTACGACTGGAACCGAGAGATCGCGACGACCGACGTCGACTACTTCCGTTGGACACAGTGGATCTTCTTGCAGCTCTACGACACGTGGTTCGACCGCGAGACGCAGAAGGGCCGGCCGATCGCCGAGCTGCCGATCCCGGCTGAGGTCGAGGCCGAGGGGGCCGACGCGGTGCGCCGGTACCAGGACGAACGCCGCCTCGCGTTCCAGAGTCACGCGCCGGTGAACTGGTGCCCGGCGCTGGGGACCGTGCTGGCGAACGAGGAGGTGATCGACGGCAAGAGCGAACGGGGCGGCCACCCGGTCGAGCGTCGTCCACTGCGGCAGTGGATGCTGCGGATCACCGACTACGCCGACCGGCTGGAGAGAGGACTCGACGCGCTCGACTGGCCGGAGGGCGTCAAGGCGCTGCAGCGGAACTGGATCGGGCGGAGCACGGGGGCCGAGGTCGACTTTCGGATCGAAGGCGGAGGGGGGAAGGCGGAAGGCGGAGTGTTTTCCGAGAAGCCTGCGGACGGAGTGCTGCGGGTGTACACGACGCGGCCGGACACGCTGTTCGGCGCGACGTACATGGTGATCGCGCCGGAGCATCCGTACGTCGATCGGTTGACGACACCCGAGCAGAAAGAAGCCGTCGCCGAGTACGTGAAGGCCGCGTCGTTCAAAAGCGACCTCGACCGCACAGAGCTTTCCAAGGAGAAGACCGGTGTATTCACCGGCTCCTACGCGATCAACCCGGTTAACGGCGAAGAGATTCCTGTCTGGATCGCCGACTACGTGCTGATCAGCTACGGCACGGGCGCCATCATGGCGGTGCCGGCGCACGACGAGCGCGACTTCGAGTTCGCCGTGCAGTTCAGCATCCCAATCAAGCAGGTCGTCGAGCCCGAGAGCTTGGTGCTTGACTTCAAGGGCGGGAAGGCAGGGACTGTCTACGAAGGGCTTTCCAACACCGAAACCCACAGCCTCTACAAGACGCGGCTCGCCGATGGCAAAGAGTGTTTTGTGGGCACGGGTACCGCGATCAACTCAGGCGAGTTCGACGGCACGCCGACGGCCGAGTTCAAGAAGAAGATCACCGAGTGGCTCGCCGCGAAGGGCGTTGGCAAAGAAGCCGTCAACTACAAGCTCCGCGACTGGCTCTTCAGCCGGCAGCGGTTCTGGGGCGAGCCTTTCCCGATCGCTCACGAGCTCGACGACGCCGGCGAGCCGACCGGGTTCGTCCGCGCCGTGCCGGAAAGCGACCTGCCGGTCGACCTGCCGCACCTGGAGGACTTCAAGCCGCACGGCCGCCCCGAGCCGCCGCTCGACAAGGCGCCCGAGGAATGGCTCTTCCCCACGCTTCTCGATGAAAACGGCGACGGCGTGAAGTGCAAGCGCGAAACGAACACGATGCCGCAGTGGGCGGGCAGCTGCTGGTACTATCTGCGGTTCCTCGATCCGAAGAACGACGCCACGGCGATCGACCCGGAGATCGAGCGGGCGTGGATGCCGGTCGACCTCTACATCGGCGGCGCCGAGCACGCAGTGCTGCACCTGCTGTACTCGCGATTCTGGCACATGGTGCTCTACGACCGCGGCGTCGTGAGCACGCCGGAGCCGTTCGGCAAGCTCGTCAACCAAGGCATGATCCTGGGCGAGAACGGCGAGAAAATGTCGAAGAGCCGCGGCAACGTGGTCAACCCCGACGAGGTTGTACGCGAGTACGGCGCCGACGCGCTGCGGCTCTACGAGATGTTCATGGGCCCACTGCCCGACTCGAAGCCGTGGAACATGGAAGGCGTCGCCGGGGTGCGCAACTTCCTCGGCCGGGCGTGGCGGCTCGTCGTCGACGACGCGGCCGACGAGATGGCGCTGCACGAGCTGGTGACCGACGCCCCCCCGACCGCCGAGCAACTCCGCGTGCTGCACGCGACGATCAAGTCGGTCACCGAGGACATCGACAAGCTGTCGTTCAACACGGCGATCGCCCGGATGATGGAGTTCGTCAACTTCTTCAACAAAGAGGCGACCCGGCCGCGCGCGTGTTTGGAGCCGTTCGTGCTGTTGCTCTCGCCGTTCGCGCCGCACCTGGGCGAGGAGTTGTGGCAGGCGCTGGGCCGCGGTCCTTCCGGGCGAAGCGGGGGCACGCTCGCCTACGAGCCGTGGCCCGAGTGGGACGAATCCCACCTAAAACAGGACACGATCGACATCGTCGTGCAGATTCGCGGCAAGGTGCGTGGTAAGATCAGCGTCCCGGCCGACGCCGACAAAGACGCAACGCTCGCCGCCGCCAAGGCGGACGAGAAGATCGCCGAGCTGATCGCCGGCAAGGAGCTGGCGAAGGAGATTGTCGTCCCCGGCCGGCTCGTGAACCTCGTCCCGAAGGGCTGACGCTGGGAGTTCACCGCGGAACACGCGGAGGACGCCAAGAGCCAACCGACCTGCACCTTCTTGTCTACTTTTTACTCCGCGACTTCCGCGTACTCCGCGGTAATGCAATGAAAAACGTCGTAGCGGTGGTTCTTGGTGGCGGGCGTGGCACGCGGCTCATGCCGCTGACCGGGTATCGGTCGAAGCCCGCCGTGCCGCTGGCTGGCAAGTATCGGCTGATCGACATCCCGCTCTCGAACTGCATCAACTCGGGCGTGAACCACGCCTTTGTGCTGACGCAGTTCCTCTCGGTCAGTTTGCACCAACACATCCGTGGCACGTATCGCTTCGACGCGTTCAGCGGCGGCTTCGTCGAGATCCTCGCTGCGCAGCAGACGATGGAGGACGACGCCCAGATGGACTGGTACCAGGGGACGGCGGACGCGGTCCGCAAGAACCTGCTGTACCTGCTTCAGCCCGGCTTCGACTACGTGCTGATCCTGTCGGGCGACCAGCTCTACCGGATGGACTTTCAACGGATGCTGGACGACCACCAGCGCTCCAGCGCCGACGTGACGATCGCCGCCAAGCCGGTTGCGCGGCACGAGGCGTCGGGCCTCGGTGTGATGCGTGCCGACGAGTCGGGCCGCATCGTCGGCTTCGTTGAGAAGCCGACAACCGACGAGCAGCTCAACTCCGTAGCGGTCGATCCGGCGTGGATCGACGCCCGCGGCGTCACGAGCGGCGGCCGCGACTGCCTCGCGTCGATGGGCATCTACTTGTTCAACCGCCAGACGCTGGTCGACCTGCTCGCCGACGAGTCGCAGAGCGACTTCGGCAAGGAGATCTTCCCGGCGGCGATCGACTCGCGGCGGGTGCAGCTCCACCTGTTCGACGGCTACTGGGAAGACATCGGGACGATCCGGTCGTTCTACGAGGCGAACCTGCAGATGGCGCAGGCGGACCCACCGTTCGCCCTCTCGTCGGCCAGCTCGCCGATCTACACGCGGCCGCGGTTCTTGCCGCCGACGCGTGTCGACGGCGCCGAGATCTCACGGAGCCTGATCGCCGACGGCTGCGTCATCGAGCCGGGCGCGAAGATCGACAACAGCGTCATCGGCCTGCGTTGCCGGATCGGCAGCGACGTGACGATACGCAACAGCGTCGTCATGGGAGGCGACTTCTACGAGACGTCGGGTGTCGTCGCCGAGAACGACGCCGCCGGCCTGCCGCGGATCGGGATCGGCCCGGGGGCGGTCGTCGACGGGGCGATCCTCGACAAGAACTGCCGGATCGGCTCCGGCGCCCGAATCGTCAATGACGACGAGCGGCAGGACTTTGACGGTCCCGACGGCTGCGTCGTGCGTGACGGCGTGATTGTCGTGCCGAAGAACGCGGCCCTCTCAGCGGGTTGGCGGCTCGCTTGACCGCCGCGTAGACGCCCGGGGCGGCGCCGGTAGAATGGCGTGATTAACCGACCCGTTCCGCTGTCTTGCCCCGCTCGCCATGCGCTGCCAACCCACCACGCCAAGCCATCGATCCCTCGCCATGTCGGCGCTAGCCGTTGTCATGGCGATCTGCTTGACCACGGGCGTCAGCGTCGCCCAGGACAAGAGTTCTGGCGAAGAGTCGGTGACGATCGAGCCCTACACGGGGCCCCCCGTCTACCTGCCCGAGTCGGACGCGCCGCCGCCGCCCCGGCGGGTCGAGTCGAGGGTGATCAAGGAAAACTTCCCGAACACCGACACGCCTCGGTTCGAGCGTGGCGTGGTCAAGTTCTCGGACGACTCGGTCGTTAGCGACGGGCCGCACAAAGAGTTTTACTCGAACGGCCAACTGCACGTCGAAGGCGTCTTCAAGTTGGGCAAAGCGTCCGGATCTTGGACGTACTTCCACGACAACGGCCAAGTCGCCAAAGAGGTGACGTACAAGGACGGCCGACCGGACGGCGACGTCAGCATCTACAACGCAGAAGGGCAACTGATCAAGAAGCGTGCCTACGCCGAGGGGCGCCGCTCGGGTACGTGGGAAACCTACTCGGCCGACGGATCGCAGAAGCTGCTTGAACAGGCCTACGTCGACGGCCTCTTGGAGGGCACCGTCAAGGCGTGGTACTCCAACGGTCAGTTGCGCCAGGAAAGCACGTTCGTCGGCGGTAGACGTGAGGGGCTCGCCACGGAGTGGACCCTCGCAGGCGACAAACGAGCTGAGCTGAACTTCAAGGCTGGCAAGCGGGACGGGACGGCGACCCTCTGGCAACGCGACGGACGTGTCGTCGAGCAAGTCTTCAAGGAAGGACGGCTCGTCAAGCGGACGCAACGGAAGTCGAGCTAGCCGTCTAGCCGCCCGTTGGCGTCGCGGCGTTGCGGTCCTAGGCTGCTTGACGGGGAAGGGGTGGCGGCTTCGCAAGCTGGTCGGCCACCGCGTCGCCCCACCCCGCGCCGGCGACGACTAACACGCCCCCCGAGAATCGCTCCCAAGAATGGCCGCCGACCCGTCTGACAACGAGCCCGCCGATCCGAAACCGTCGGACGCCAAGGGGCAGCGCGGCGGACCGCCCGGGCGCGCCTTGCCGCCCGCCGCCTGGGTCGTCGCCCTGATCGGGCTGGGTCTCGGTGTCCTGCTGTTGCAGGTGATGACCCAGGTCGCCGAAGTCGACTACAAGTTCTTCTGGGACCAGCTCGACTCCGGGAATGTAAAGACGGCGGTCGTGCGCGGCCCGCTGCTGCTCGGCGAGTTCAAAAACCCGCCGCTCCCGCCGAAGGTCGAGGGCGACGAGAGTCCCTCCGCCGCGAAGCCGCTGCCCGAACAGTTCACCGTCACGATAGGCCCGGGTGGGCTCGACGACGGGCTCCGCGAGAAGCTGCTCGAGAAAGACGTCCGCTTCCGCGTCCAGCAAGAGTTCAACCTCGACGCCATCCTGACGCTGGTGTGGCTCGCCTTGCTGATCGGCATGGGCGTGTGGATGTGGACGTTCCTGCGTCGCTCGCGCGATCAGATGATGGGCGGCGGGATGCTCGGCAACGTCACCCGCAGCCCGGCGCGGCGCTACGAGGCCGAGGAGGGAGCGGGCAAGACGTTCGATGACGTCGCGGGCCTCAAGAGCGTCAAGCAGGACCTCAAGGAGATCGTCGAGTTCCTCAGCGAGCCCGAGAAGTTCCACAAGCTTGGCGCCCGCGTGCCCAAGGGCGTGCTGCTGAACGGCCCGCCGGGCACCGGCAAGACGCTGCTCGCCAAGGCCGTCGCCGGCGAGGCGGGTGTGCCGTTCTTCTCGATCAACGGGTCGGAGTTCATCCAGCTCTTCGTCGGCGTGGGCGCCAGCCGCGTCCGCGACATGTTCAAGACCGCCAAGAAGGCGGCGCCGGCCATCCTGTTCATCGACGAGATCGACGCGGTTGGGCGGCAACGGGGCGCCGGGCTCGGAGGCGGCCACGACGAACGCGAGCAGACGCTCAACCAGATCCTCAGCGAGATGGACGGCTTCACGCCGACCGAGACGGTCATCGTCATCGCCGCCACGAACCGGCCCGACGTGCTCGACCCAGCGCTGCTGCGCCCGGGACGCTTCGACCGGCACATCACCGTCGACCGTCCGACGATCGACGGCCGCGAGCAGCTCCTGGAAGTCCACACCCGCGAGGTGCCGATCGCCGACACGGTGGATTTCGGCAAGCTCGCGCGGGCGACGGTTGGCATGACCGGCGCGGACATCATGAACCTCGTGAACGAGGCGGCCCTTTGGGCCACGCGGCAGGGCAAGTCGTTTGTCGAGACGGACGACTTCGAGTACGCCCGCGACAAAATCCTGATGGGCGACGCCCGCGAGGACGTCCTCACCGACAAAGAGAAACGCGTCACCGCTTTCCACGAGGCGGGCCACGCGATCCTCGGGTGGCTCATCCCGAGCGGGTCACGCGTCCACAAGGTGACGATCATCCCCCGCGGCCGCGCACTCGGCGTCACGCAGTACGTGCCGATCGAAGACCGGCACAACATGTCCGAAAGCGAGATGCGAGCGCGGCTCGCCATGACGCTCGCGGGCCGGGCCGCCGAGAAGCTTGTCTTCAACGAGCTGAGCGCGGGCGCTGAGAACGACCTGAAGCAGGCGACCAACCTCGCCCGCCGGATGGTCGCCCACTGGGGCATGAGCGAGCGGATCGGTCCCGTGGCGCACCACTCGGGGCACGACGACCCGTTCCTCGGACGCGAGATCGTGCAAGAGACCCGGCACTACAGCGAGCACACGGCGCAGATCATCGACGAAGAAGTGAAGCGCACCCTCACCGAGGCAGCCGACCTGGCCGAGCAAACGCTCAGTGAAAATCGCGACCGCCTGGACGCCCTCTCACAGGCTCTGCTCGACCAGGAAGAGGTCGACGACGACCAGCTCGTTGAGCTGCTCGGACCCGCCGTGCCGGCCGAGGAATCCCCCCTCGCGCCCGTGGTGATTTCTCCCGGAGCGGGCCCGCAGCCCGCCGTCGTGCGGGACGATTCGTCCGACGAGCCGAGCTGACGGCGCGGTTCGCTCGTTCGGCAAACCTCGCCCCTTTCAGCGGCACAACAGTCCCTCTGCGGTGGGGGTGCGCCATCTAGGTGGGTTACGCGCCCCGCCTGCCGCACCCCACAAAGACGACGCAGACCCCCTACGTTACAATCGCGGCTGGGGCCGCCCGACGCCGTGCGGCTGCCTCCCACACCCAGCCGGCCTTGAGATCGAGAACCCCCCGCCGCGATGTCGGTTCACGCCTACCAACCCGAGCACTTCCTGAATCGCGAGCTGAGCTGGCTCGAGTTCAACGCGCGGGTGCTCGAGGAGGCGCAGGACGAGACGAATCCGCTGCTGGAGCGAGTCAAGTTCCTGTCGATCTTCTCGTCGAACCTCGACGAGTTCTTCATGGTCCGCGTCGCCGGGCTGCGGGAGCAGGCGTTTGGGGCCATGGCGCCGCAAGACCCGCGTGCCGACGGGCTGACCGCGACGGCGCAGCTCGACTTGATCTCCAAGCGGGTTCGCGTGCTGGTCGCCCAGCAGTACGCTTGCTGGAACGAGTCGATCCTCCCCGGGCTGGCCGACGAAGGGGTCCGCTTGCTGAGCGAGTCGGACCTCTCGATCGACCAACGGCGCACGGTCGACGACTACTTCCGCCAGCGCGTGCTCCCGGTCCTGACGCCGATGGCGATCGACCCGAGCCACCCGAGCCCCCGGTTTCACAATCGCGGCTTGTACCTGGCAGCGAAGCTGGAGCGCAAAAAAGGAATCGGGCCGGAGCGGATGTTCGCCGTCGTGCAACTGCCGCAGATGACGCCGCGCTTCGTGCCAACCGATCCGGGCGGGAGCCGAGACTTCCTGCTGGTCGAAGAGATCGTCGCCAACCGGTTGACCGAGGTCTTCGGCGGCTACGAGATCCTCACGTGCGGCGCGTTCCGGGTCACTCGCGACATGGACTACGACCTCCTCGACGAGGAGGGCGACGACATGCTCCGCGCCATCGAGACGCGCCTCCGCGAGCGCCAGCGCAGCGAGGCGGTACGCCTGGAAGCGGCCGAGGGACTCGACGGCGAGTTGCTCGACATGCTGGTCACCGAAGAGGAGCTGCGCGTCACGGGCGATCCGACGCCCGATGGATACGACGAGCTCTATCGCGTGGACGGCCCGCTCGACCTGACAGCCCTGTTCGGGCTGATCGACCTCGTCGATCGCAAGGACCTGCTCCATCCGAGGTTCACGCCGCGGGCGGCGCCACCGCTCCACGAGGGCGCCGACCCGTTCCCGGTAATCCGCGAACAGGACGTGCTGCTGCACCACCCGTTTGACTCGTTCCGCCCGGTGGCGAACTTCATCAAGCAGGCGGCCCGCGACCCGAACGTGATGGCGATCAAGCAGACGCTTTATCGCACCAGCGGCGACAGCCCGATCGTCGACTCGCTGATTGAGGCGGCCGAGGCGGGCAAGCACGTCACGGCTCTCGTCGAGCTCAAGGCTCGTTTCGACGAGGCGAACAACATCTCGTGGGCGCGCCGCTTGGAGCAGTCGGGCGTCCACGTCGTCTTCGGCTTCATGGACCTGAAGACGCACTGCAAGCTGGCGCTGGTCGTCCGCCAGGAGGGGCAGCACGTCCGCCGCTACGCCCACCTCGGCACCGGCAACTACAACCCGAGCACGGCGCGTCTCTACACCGACCTCGGCCTCTTCACCGCCGACGAGGCGATCACCGAGGAGGTCTCGGCGCTGTTCAACTTCCTCACGGGGTACTCACAGAACCACGAGTGGAAGAAGCTCGTCGTCGCGCCGCAGGACCTGCACGACCGCACGATCGAGCTGATCAACGAGCAGGCCGAGCGGGCCCGACGCGGCAAGCGATCGTGGATTTTCGCCAAGCTCAATTCGCTGGTCGACGCTCAGACGATCGAAGCGCTCTACGACGCGTCCAGCGCCGGCGTCCCGATCGACCTGGTGGTGCGGGGCATCTGCTGCCTCAAGCCGGCGCTCGCCGGGGTGTCGGAGAACATCCGAGTGCGGAGCATCGTCGACAAGTACCTCGAGCACAGCCGCATCATGGTGTTCGGCGTCGGGACACGGCAGTCGGTCTACCTGAGCAGCGCCGACTGGATGCCCCGCAACTTCGAGCGGCGGGTCGAGGTGATGTTCCCGGTCGAGGCGGCCGAACTCAAGCAACGCATCGTCGGCGAGATCGTGCCGACCTACCTGCGCGACAACCAGCGAGCTCGGCTGCTCGAACCGACCGGTCATTACACGCGGGCCCGGTCCACCTCAACCGAAACGCGCTACCGCAGCCAACTCGACCTGTGCCACCTGGCCGAGGGCAAGGCGCCACTCGAGGCGGACGAATCTGCCGCGTCCGACGACGACGCTCCGAAGAAGCGTTCGCGACGCACGGCGTCGAAGAACGGTTCGAAGAAGAACGGCGCCGTCGGCGAGCGCTCGAAGAAGCGCGACCGCAAACAGGACGCGAGCTGAGAACGCCCCGCGCTCGTGCTACCGGCGCGCGACGAGCCCCGCGGCGGGCCGACGGGGCGTGTTGTCGTGGACCAGCACGCCGGTCTCGCCGACGTAGTAGTTCGCCGCGCCCTCGACGACCAGGTTGAACGCCTCGCGGTCGGCCAAGGGCGCGGCCGACTCAACGCGTCGCGGCCCCGACACGCAACTCAGCGTGTCTCCGGTCGAGAGCTCCTTCGCCATCTTCCACCCCTGACCGACCACCCAGAACGGGTGACCCACCGTCGCGCGAATCGTTTCGCCACCGGCTCGGACCTCCACCATCGGGCTGGGCTCACGCCGGGTCGTCTGCACCACAACGCGATAGGCGAGCCCGCCCCGGTGCGGGTCGCGGCAGAGCACGAGATCGCCGCGCTCGACCGACTCGATCGGCACGAGTCCGTCGCGTGTCCACACGGGAGTCGCGGCGGCGAAGCACTCGTGGCGTGGCGGGGGTGGCGGCGGCGCGCAGTAGTCGTCCGTCTCGTAAGACTCTTCGTACTCGTACACGGGCCGCTCGTACGGTGTGTCGTACCCGGTGTACTCTTGCCAGTAGTCCCACCAGAGGCGGGGCTCGCTGCCGAGTGACTCGCCGGTGACTTGCTGGAGCACCTCGACGACGCGTTCGTTGTTCAAGGCGGCGACGCGGTTGTGTTCCTCGACCCGCCGCTCGGTTTCGCGCGCCTCAACCTCGAAGTCGATCGTCCTCTCGACCGCGATCAGCCTGGCCCGGTAGGTCGCTCGCAGCATCTCGTCGACCGAGGTCTGCTGCGCGATCCGCTGGGCGCCGATGCGAGCAACCCGCCGGCGCGTCCACGCGCGATCGACTTCCTCGCCCCCGGCCAAGAGTCGGTGCTCGTAGGTCACGTCGCCCGACGAATCCCACGAGACCTCGTAATCGCTTTCGATCGGCGCGACGAACGTCGCCAACAACAGCGGCGCCGCCTCGGACTTGGGCCTGTAGACAACAGCGCGTGACGCGATCCGCCGCAGTTCGTCGGTTGGCGCCCGCGTCGCGATCCGGCACAACGAAGCGGTCACCGCGACGTCGTCCATCGTCTCCGCCGCGTCGATGAATGCGACCGCGATGTCGCGGCGCTTCGACCGGGTCTTCGTGTCGCCCGGTTCGAGCAACGAAGCGATCCGAGACTCGACCGGGTCGATCGCGTGTCGGTCGAAGTCGTCACGAAGCAGGTCGAGCTGCTCGTCGCTGGCTTCGGGCCGCTCGACACGTCGCAGCCGTCGGTCCCACTCCTTAGCGGCGCGTTGGTGCTCCTTCTCCGCCGATTCGGCGGCGGAAGCCACTTCGCGATCGACGAGCTGCCCGCCGCGCCACACCGCACGCAGGCTCGAGAGGGCGGCCCGATCCTTCGGCTTGGCCTCCAAGACCCGCAGCCAGTGCGGCCGCGCTTCGAAGAGAAGCCCCTTGTTTTCGCACCACCGCGCCAGCCGCTCGTGGTCGGCGAGCGTGTCGTTGGCGCTCGCCCGGAGCCGTGCGTACTCGCCACGCCGCGGGTCCGACTCGGCCGCGCTTTGAGCGACCTCGGCCAACACCCATTCGCCGTCGAGGCGGACGTACCCGAACTCGGCCCTAGCCGGCTCGAAGTCGGGGTCGATCGCCAGGGCGGCCTTGAGAGCCCTGCGGCGTCCCGCATCATCGCCGGCGACACACGCTTCCACGGACTGCTGGTAAAGCGATTCGGGAGTCGTCTCTTCGACGTGCTGGGTCGCCGACGCCCCCGACCCCGAGAGGACCCCGAGAGCCAGAGCAACACGCGAGACGATCGAACGGGCACCCATGACGAACTCCCTTCGTGCGAGGCAAGCACACAGAACACCGGTGATCAGACGGTTCGCCAGCCGGCGCCGTCGTTATTGCGAACAACCGAGCCGAGTTGCCAACCTAGCCCCGGGGTGAAGATAGGTAGCTTTCGACAAGACCCGAACGCTCAGTCGGCGCTCAGCCGTCCCACCGCCGCGTCGCCGAGCAGCTCGTGCGTCTCGCGGAGCCAACCGGCGACTTGCTCGGCGAACGGCGAGTCCTTGTAGGCCTTCTCCAGACGCTCGACAGGCATCGTGTCGAGGTGGCCGGCTCCAAGCCCCGCGAACCAGTGCCCGCCGTTGCCGAGCAGGTTGTAGCGCATCTTGCCGTATTCGACCATGTCGTAGGCGAGCGCCAGTCCGCGCAGCCACAGCACGATATGGGTGTTGATGTGGCCCGCGTTCTTCTCGGCGTCCCAGACCGGCAGCCCCTCGCGGAATCGCCGGGCGACGTCCTCGCCAACCGTCTCGTCCATGGCCGCCTGCAGCTTCGCCAAGATCGGCGCGAGCTTCTCGTTCGCATCCTCAAGCAGCGGCAACGACGACATCTGCAGGTCGAAGTCGCTCGGCTGCGCGGCGCCGAGGCTGAGCGTGTGAACCTCGGGACGGTTCAAGCAGAAGAGACAGTTGAAGACGATCGGGTGCAGCGGCTCACACAGCTCGACCAGCCGCTGCGGCGGCTTGTACAGCATGCCGCCCTTGTCGCTTGGCGAGATGATGAACACGCCGAGGTCGTTCCGCTTCGCCGCCTCGACCGCCGGCCAGTTCCATTGGTTGATGTAGTACCAATGGAGGTTCACGTAGTCGAAGCCGCCGTGGTTCTTCGCCTCGATCGCGTCGACGATCAGGTCGGTCGCACCGTGAGTCGAGAAACCGACGTGCCCGACGCGGCCCTCGGCTTGCAGCTCCCGCGCCACTTCGAGACAGCCGCCCGGCTTCGTGGCCCACCAGAGCAGCTCGTGGGTGTTGATGCCGTGCAGCCCCAGCAAGTCGACGCGTGACATCCGCAGGCGGTCGAGTGAGTCGAGCACCTGCCGGCGAAACTCGCCCGCATCGGCGAGCGGGGCGACCTTCGTCTGGACGATCAGCCCCTCCGGACCGCCGCTCTCGGGGCGTCGCTCACGCAGCTCGGGCAGCACGAGGCCGAGTTGCCGCTCGCTCGTGCCGTAGCCCCGCGCGGTCTCGATGTGGGTGACGCCCAACTCGAGCGCGCGGTCGATTGTCGCCCGCAGGTTCCGTTGGTTCTCTGCCTCGACAACGTCGAGCGTGGCGTCGTCCCAGGTCTGCTGGTAGCGCATCCCGCCGCAACTGAAGACGGGCATCGACAGCTCGGTCTTGCCGAATCGGCGGTACTGCATCGCGAGATCGTCGGGGCTGAGTGAGTCGGAGCGACCACTCTAACGCCTCGACGCTCTCTCGGCGACGACCGCAGCCGACGCGGTGTCAGTCCGACAACGCTGCTTCGAGCGCCAGCTTCGCCTCGGCAACGAGCTCGTCGCCGCGCGGCTCCGCCTGCGGCTCGGACGACGGGTTCGACTTCTCGGCGTCCGCCGCCGGGGGCGTCTTCAACGCCGCGGCGGCTAGCTTCTGCTTCACGAGATCGGCGACCGAGATCTCACCCGCCTGCTCAAGCGAAGTCTCTTCAGGCACGTCCTCTCGGGCCGTCTTCGCCGCCTCGGCGATTCGCTGCGCCAACTGAGCCTGTGCCGCGGAAAGGTCGACCCCCTCCGGGACCGCGGCGGCTTGTGGCTCAGGGTCGCTGGCCGCCTCGGGTTCTTCGTCGATCAACGCTTCGCCGATCGTCAGCTCCTGCTCCAGCACCTCGGGCGTCGAGACAGGCGCCGGAGCACTTTCGGGCTCGCGCTCGGCCTTGGGTTCGTCTTCGGGCTCAGCGACGGGCGCCTCCTCCTCGGCCGGAAGTTCATCGGTCTCCGGGAGCTCGGGCAGCCGGTCGTCGTCAACCGACTCCTCGACCGGCGACTCGGTCTCCGGCTCGACGACCGGGCCGTGCGCCGCTTCGTCGGCTTCGGCGACCATGTCGAGGAGCGTCTCGGCGACTTGCTCTGCCGCGGCTTCTTCCGGGTCGGCTTCGGCCGACGTTTCGACGACGGCAACAGTCGTCTCGACGGCGAGTTCTTCCGTCGGCGCTTCAGTCGTTTCCGTCTCAAGCGACTCGGCCTCAACCACGGCGGGTTGCGAAACCAAGTCCGCGACGTGCGACACGGGCTCGAGCCGGTCGAAGACGTCCTGACCGATCTCGTCGGCCGGTCGGTCGCCGAAGCTCACGCCGAGCGCCCGAGCCGCCTGCACGCAAGGACCGTGCGGATCGACCTGACGAAGCACGTTGACCGCCTCCATGATCGGGACGCTGGTCATCTCGGGCGGCCGACTGCAGATCATCTCGCCGAAACGGCCTTCCTTGACCAAACGAACGGCGTGGGCGCCGAACTGCGTGGCGAGGACGCGGTCGAAGGTGGTCGGGCTGCCGCCGCGTTGCAGGTGCCCCAAGACGCTTAGTCGCGTCTCGCGGTGAAGCCGCCGCTCGATCTCTTCGGCGACCGCGCGGCCCAGGCCGCCCAGCTTCATCTGCGCGCCGTCGCGTTGTTCCCCAACGAGGGCCCCGCCCGGCAACTCGGCGCCCTCGGCGACGACAACCAACGTGAACTTCTTCCCTTGGCTCTCGCGGTGCAGAATCTTGTGGCAGACGTGCTCGAACGACCAGGGGATCTCGGGGATCAGGATCACGTCGCCGCCGCCGGCGATACCCGCGTGCAACGCGATCCAGCCGGCGTGGCGGCCCATGACCTCGAGGACCATGATCCGCTCGTGGCTCGCGGCGGTGGTGTGCAGGCGGTCGAGCGCGTCGGTCGCGCACTCGATGGCGCTGTCAAAGCCGAACGTGAAAGCCGTGGCCGACAGATCGTTGTCGATCGTCTTGGGAACGCCGACGACCGGGATGCCCTGTTCGTGGAACTGCTGCGCGACGGCGAGCGAGCCGTCGCCGCCGACACAGATCAATCCGTCGATGCCGAGCTGCTTGATGGTCGACTTGACGCCTTCCATCAGGTGCGGGGCGATCTCCTGGCGGTCCTGCACGCCGACCGTCGCGGCGAAGCGGCCCTTGTTCGTTGAGCCGAGAATCGTGCCGCCCTGGTTCAGGATTCCACGCGTGCTCTGCGGCGTCAGGTGGACGTATTGAACGGGATCGTGGAGCCCTTCGTATCCCTTCAGGAAGCCGACGCAGTCGTAGCCGAGCTGGTGGCACGCCTTCACGGCGCCGCGGATCACGGCGTTAAGTCCCGGGCAGTCGCCGCCCGAAGTGAGGATGCCGATGCGTTTGGTGCTCATGGGGACGACAACTCCGCGGGCGTTCTTGAGGACGCGCAACCGAACCGGCGCAGCGCAGAAGGGGTGTCTGGACCCGCAAAGCTAGGTCACCCGGTCGGGTGAGATGGCCGCGTAGCCAGAAGCGTGTTCAGCCCGCCGCTGGGAGGCCGTCCAACCGCTGCGGTCGTTACGACCGGACGCCGAACCACTCCGAGACGCCAAGCCGCAACAGCAACCGGGCCGCCGCGAAGACCTCGCCGCGGTTGATCTTCGAGGCGCCCGCCCGCCGCTCGGTGAACGTGATCGGCGTCTCGCCGAACGTGGCGCCGAGCCGCTTCAGCCGCCAGAGGATCTCTTCGAGGTAGGCGTAGCCGGGGCAACGCATCGTGTCGAAGTCGAGGCGTTTGACCGTGTCGACCCGGTAGGCTCGGAAGGCGCCGCTGGAATCACGCGTCGGCAGACGGAGCAAGAACCGCGCGGCGAAGTTGACCAGGCGACTCGCGACGCGGCGTTTCAGCGGCCAACCCTCGATCGCGCCGCCATCGACGTAGCGCGAGCCGATCGCGACGTCGTGCGTTTCGACCAACTCGACCAGCGCCGGCAGACGATCGGGCGGATGGCTCCAATCGGCGTCGAGTGTACAGACGACGTCGTACCCGCCGTCGATCGCGTGCCGCATTGCGGCGAACGTCGCCGAGCCGAGGCCGAGTTTGCCCTCTCGATGGAGTACGGCGACGCGTGGGTCGGCGGCCGCTCGTTCGTCGGCCCAACGCCCCGTCCCGTCGGGCGAGTTGTCGTCGACAATCAGCACGTCGACCTCGGGGAGCGCCGCCTCGATCGCTTCGACGAGCGACGGCAAGTTCTCGACTTCGTTGTAAGTGCAGACGGCGACGAGCGTTCGGGGCGACGGCATGCGTCAATGATCGGTCGGCACGACGCTCGCGCCGAGCGCCCAACGAAACAGGCCCCTGCAACGACGGTCAACGCTTAACGGCGCCCCGTGTTACGAGGCCAACGCCGAGAGCGATCAAGCAGGCGCCGATGACGAACCCTCCCGGTACGGATTCCCCCAGGAAGACCATCGCGGCGCCGACTCCAACCACGGCGCCAACCGATCCCGTCAGGCTCACGTAAACCGGCCCGGCAAGCTCCATCAGCACGAAGAACAACAGGTAGAACAAGGCGAAGCAAGACGCTTGGGCCGCCACCAGCGCGATCGTCGTAGAGCTCAAGACGGTGCTTCCCTCGAGCAGCGCCGGCACACAGGCCACACCGAAGAGCACTAGGCTCGTCATCGCCAGCATCCCCAGCACCAGCTGCGCCGGGGTGGCGCCGACCGGCCAGCGCATCGCTCGGTAGAGGTTGCCAACGGCCAGCAGCAGGGGGGCGGAAAGCGTGGCCAGGACCCAGCCCGCACTCGTAGCGGGCTCGTTCAGCTTGTGAACGGCCAACACGGCGGCGCCGCCGAGGGCCGACGCGACGCCGAACACTCGGGCGAAGTTCGGCCGGTCGGCCCCGAGGAGGATCGCTCCCAGGTAGGTGTAGAGCGGCGGGAACGCCAGCGACAGCGCGACGTATCCGGCTCCGACGTTGGGAGCGGCGGCGAAGTAGATGTAGTTGGGCGCCGCCAGGCTAAAGACCCCCGAGACCAGGTAGTAGCGAATCGCCCCCGCCGAGCGCGGCGGGGCGTCACGCCGCACTGCTGCGACAGCGCCGAGCAGCAGCGTGGCCCCGATGACCGACCAGCCGAGGAACTCCAGCGGCTCGGCCCCGTTCTTCGCCGCCAGCTTGGCGAGCGAGGTGGAGACCCCCAACACCGAGCCGATCAACAGCAAGTAGCCGAGCGCGACCATCCAGTTCGCGTCGCTATGATCGCCCGCCCGAGGCTGAGGTTCTGGACCTGTCATCGGCTACACGGTGCGATCCGAGCGTGGTCGTGTCGAGTGCACGACCGGCCGGGTCAACTCGAGATCGACTGGTAGTAGTCAATCGAACGGGCCAGCCCGCCGGCAAACGACACGCGTGGCTCGTAGCCAAGAATCTGCCGCGCCAGCGTGATATCGGCGAGCGACTCGCGGATGTCGCCCTCGCGTGGCGGAGCGAACTCCGGCTCGACCTTGGCGCCCAGTGCGTCGTTGATCGCGGCGATCAGGTCCAAGAGCGTCGTGTGGCGACCGGTCGCGACGTTGATCACACGGCCCGGCGCCTCCGGCGCGTCGGCCGCCAGCAGGTTTGCCTGCACGACATCGTCAACGTAGACGAAGTCGCGGCTCTGCTGTCCGTCGCCGAAGACGGTCGGTCGGTCGCCGGCGATCAGCTTCGTCACGAAGATCGGAATGACCGCCGAGTACTCGCTGTGCGGGTCCTGCCGCGGGCCGAAGACGTTGAAGTACCGCAGGGCCACGGTCTCCAAGCCGAACGCCTCGGTGAACGCCCGGCAGTACAGCTCGCTGGCGACCTTCGACGCGGCGTAAGGCGAGAGCGGCTTCGGCGGGTCGCTCTCCCGCTTGGCGGCCGAGAGCTGGTCGCCGTAGGCGGCGGCCGAGGCGGCCATGACCACCCGGCGGGCGCCAGCTCGTCGCGCCGAATCAAGCACCTGCACCGTGCCGGTCATGCAGGCCGAGTGGGAGTCCATCGGCGTACGCAGGCTCGCCGGAACGCTGGCCATCGCCGCTTCATGGAAGACGACCTCACAACCGTCGCAGGCTCGGTCAACAGCCGACGCGTCGGCGACGTCGCCCTCGATCAGCTCAACCGCGTCGCCAACGTGCTCCAGGTTCCCGCGGAAGCCGCTAGAGAGGTTGTCGAGCACGCGGACCCGATCGCCGCGTTCGACCAGCGCGGCCGCGATGTGCGAGCCGATGAATCCCGCTCCGCCGGTGACAAGACAAGTACGCATCGGCGCTCAGTTGGCGGAGGTCAGGACAGGCGGCTCCGTGAATCGCCTGCTCTTGCCGCTCGCTACTCCTGCCTCAGGCTCGCAAAGAGCTGCCCGTAGTCTTCGCGGCGGACGTCGCCAGCCGGCGCGTCGTCCGGTTCGTCCGGCTCGATGATCAGCACCTCGCCGTCGTCGGCCGGCTCGACCAGCTCCGAGACGACCTCCTCTTCCTCGACGTCGAGCTCCGTGTCGTGCGTCATCAGGTCGTCGTGGTCGACGACCTTGAAGCCAGCCGAGGCCGCCGGCGGCTCGAGGACCGCAACGCTCGCGTCGAGCGTCACCTCGTTCCAGGCGTCGAGCGCCTGCCCGATGTCGGACGGCTCGCTCGTCGTGACGCTCGGCGCGCCGGGGATCACGCGCTCTAGCGCGGCGTAAGGGTCCAGCACGACTTCCTCCTCGTCAAACGATTCAGCAAACGGGTCACTCGCGGGCAGCTCAGCATCTGGCTCGGCCGGACGCGCGGGCGGCGGCTCGACGGGCGGGCTGGTCACCTTCGCCGGTTCCTCGGGGCGGACCGGGAACGTGTACGCAACGCAGCCGTCGTCTTCGGGCTCACCCGCGTCGGTCGTCGGCAGCTGCCTCAAGCCGGCGTCCGCGTTCCAGATCGGTTGGGCATCGACTGCCGTCGGCTGCGGCGACTCGGCGACCGTGGCGACGAGCTCCTCGACCTCGTCGAGCACGCCGAACTCGACCGTCGAGGTGTCGGGCTCGCTCCTGGCAGTCGCCGGCGCGGAGGCGACCGCCGCCGCCTGTTCGGACGGCACGTGCCACGGCGCGGCGAGCTGGTGCAGATCGCTCCAGGCGTCGCTGATCGTCGCCGCGTTGATCTCGGTCAGCCCCTTGGCGACCGCCATGACGACCGCCCGATCACAGACCTGGTTGATCAGCCGCGGCAAGCCGTCGCTGGCCAACGCGATCGCGTCGTACGCGTCGTCGGCCAAGGCCTCGTCGGGATCGCCGCCTGCGGCCGCGATGTGAGCCCGCACGTAGGCCGCCGTCTCGTGCCGCGAGAGCGGCTCCAGATAGCAACGCGCCGCGATCCGCTGGCTGAACGCCTCCAGCTCGGGCGCCGTAAGCGACTCGTCGAGCGAGTGGGAGCCGGCGAGCAACAGACGCAGCTTCGGCACGCCGGCGACCACCGTGTTCGCCAGCACGCGAAGCTCTTCGATCAATCGAGTCGGCAGCGTCTGCGCCTCGTCGACCAACAGGGCGACGCCGGTTCCGACGATCGACTTGTCGCAGAGCGCGTCGTGCAGCGCCAGCCGCAGCTCGCCTTCTTCGCGATCGCGGTATGGCTGGTCGAGCCCGTGCAGGATCGACTGCAACAACGCCCTGCGGGTGCAGAGCTGCGTGCTCGCGAGCCGCACCACGCGGAGCGAGTCGGCCACGTCGCGGGCGATTACCTCAACGAGCATCGATTTGCCGACGCCCGGAGCGCCGAACAGCAGGGCCGGGCCGTCGCCACGCAGCAGGCACGACGCCAGCCGCTCGCGCGCCGCGTCGGCGCTAGCCGAGCCAAAGAACCGGTCCAGCCTTGGGTGGGCGGGGAAGGCGCGGGGCGAGTCGTCGGAGACACTGGCGATGAAGGGCATCGAGCGCGGTCCGGTGGCGTGCGAGGAGACGCCGTTGATGGCGTCCGTGGGAAGTCACCCGCCGGGCAGAGCGGACAACCGTCTCTGCCATCGGCGTTTAGGGCGGCTCGGCTCCAATCCGACCCGCGCCGTCGAGCGAGCGATCGCCAGCAACGCCACGAGTGATCATGCGCACACCTACGAACGTCGCGTGTATCTGCTCAGTCTCTCTATCGCTGAGTCAATACAACGACACGACATGGCACGGGCGAGAACATGTTTAGCGTCAAGATCTGCGGCGTAACAACGCCCGAAGACGCGCTGTTCGCCGTGGACGAAGCCGGCGCGGATGCCGTCGGTCTCAACTTCTATGCGAAGAGTCCACGCTGCGTCTCGATCGACGAGGCGCAGGCGATCTCCGTGGCCGTTGGCGATCGAGCACTCCGCGTCGGCGTCTTCGTCAATGCGTCGGCCGAAGAGATCTCTGCCGTCGTCGCGGCGGCGCCGCTCGATGCGGTGCAACTGCACGGGGACGAGCCAGCAGAGCTGCTGGCAGAGCTGCCGCCCGGCGCCACGGTCATCCGTGCCGCTCGAATCGGAGCTGCGGGACTAGCGCCAGTCGCTGAGCACCTCGACGCCGCCAAGCGGCTTGGCAGGCCATTCGCGGCGGTGCTCGTCGACGCAGCCGGCTCCCCCGGCGAGTACGGCGGGACCGGCAGGACGGCAGACTGGGAGCGGGTCGCGGCGGAGCGGGCGCTGGTCGCCGGGACCCCGCTCATCCTCGCGGGCGGCCTCAGGCCGGAGAACGTCGCGGAGGCGGTTCGTGCGACCGGCGCCGACGGCGTCGACACGGCCTCCGGCGTCGAGGCGACCCCCCGGAGGAAGGACCCGGCATTGGTCCGCCCGTTCGTCGAGCAGGCCCGCGCCGCTCTCGGCTTGCCACGGGCCTGACGTCCCCGCTGGACTGGCGGTTGCCTCTCCCGGACGGTTTACGGTCACAGTAAACAGAGCCTGGACGCCCCAAACGCCTTGAGGCGGACAGCCTGCCTGACTTACACTACTGGTCGCGCTAATCGATGACGCGATCTCCCCTTCGCGACGACTACGAGTCGCGGCCAACGAGGGCCGCCGTGCGTCGCCCCGCCTAGCTACCCCCGATACGGAGACTCCCCGTGGCGACTGTTGCTACCGAAAAGCTTCCCTACAAGGTTCTCGATTGCACGCCCGAGGAGTTCGAGCGTCTGGCGGAGTTCGGCCGCAAAGAGATCACGCTGGCCGAGAACGAGATGCCGGGCCTGATGGCTCTGCGTGAGAAGCACGGCAAGGACAAGCCGCTGAAGGGCGCCCGGATCGCCGGCTGCCTGCACATGACGATCCAGACGGCCGTCTTGATCGAGACGCTCGCCGAGCTGGGCGCCGAGGTCACCTGGTCGAGCTGCAACATCTTCAGCACCCAGGACCACGCCGCCTGTGCGATCGCCAAAGCGGGCATCCCGGTCTTCGCCTGGAAGGGCGAGACCGACGAGGAGTTCGACTGGTGCATCGAGCAGACGCTCACGGCGTTCCCGTCGGGCGAGCCGCTCAACATGATCCTCGACGACGGCGGTGACCTGACCGCCATGGTTCACGACAAGTTCCCCGAGCTGCTGGGCAACATCAAAGGCCTCTCGGAAGAGACGACCGCGGGGATTCACCGCCTCGAGGTCCTCAACAAGGAAGGCCGCCTCGGCGTCCCCGCGATCAACGTCAACGACTCGGCCACGAAGAGCAAGTTCGACAACTTGTACGGCTGCCGCGAGTCGCTCGCCGACGGCGTCAAGCGCGCCACCGACATCATGCTCGCCGGCAAGGTCGCGGTCGTCTGCGGCTACGGCGACGTCGGCAAGGGTTGCGCCCACTCGCTGCAACGCTACGGCTGCCGCGTGATCGTCACCGAGATCGACCCGATCAACGCCCTCCAGGCCGCGATGGAGGGCTTCGAGGTCGTGACGATGGAGGACGCCTGCAAGGAAGGCAACCTCTTCGTCACCACGACGGGCAACAAGGACATCATCCTCGGCGAGCACATGGTGCACATGGCTGAGGACGCGATCCTCTGCAACATCGGGCACTTCGACACGGAGATCGACATCGCCTGGCTCGAGGAGCAGGTCGCCGCCGGCAAAGCGACCAAGAGCGAGATCAAGGGCGAGAAGGAAGGCGCCGTCGATCGCTACACGTTCAAGGAGAGCGGCCGCTCGATCTTGGTGCTCGCGAAGGGACGCCTTGTGAACCTGGGCTGCGCGACGGGCCACCCAAGCTTCGTCATGAGCACCTCGTTCACCAACCAGACGCTCGCGCAAATCGAGCTCTGGAACAACGACGGCGAGTACGAGACCAAGGTCTATCTCATGCCGAAGAAGCTCGACGAGGAGGTGGCCCGCCTTCACCTGGAGAAGCTCGGCGTGAAGCTCACGAAGCTCACCCAGGAGCAGGCCGACTACATCGGGGTCCCGGTCGAAGGCCCGTACAAGCCGGAACACTACCGGTACTGAGTCTTGACGCCTGAGGCTTCGGGTCTGAGTTGACAACGACGCTTAGCCCCCGGTGACTCACCGGGGGCTATTTTCTTGCCCCGACGGGAGACAAAGCATGATCCGGCTTTCCGCGCTTGTTGCCATCGTCTCCGTGAGCACGCTCGTCGCTGGCGACGAGCTTAAGCTTCCGACGCCCGACGCGTCACATGCGAGCTGGGAAGCGACTGGCGAGTTGGCCGAGCTGCTCGAGAAGATGACCGCCTCGTGCGAGGCGTCACAGGAGGCCTTCCGCCCGCTCACCGCCACGCAGATGAACTGGCGCCCGCCGAACGGAACCCACACTCCGCGCTGGAACGCGGAGCATCTGGCCGGTCGGCAGCTCTTGTTCTTCTCGCAGATCTACGCGGCGATCGACCCGGAGACGCACCGCGTCGTCGACATCAACCCGGCCCAGATGCCGCCCGACTACGAGGCGGCCCACCCGGAGTGGTCGGGCGCTGACGAGGCCAAACAGATGCGCCGGGTGAACGACTACGTCGTCGGCTTCGCCTACCTGCTCGAGGACCTCGACCTCGACGAGCAAGCGCCCGGCAGCCGTTGGAAGCTCCGCGGCTTGCTCAACCAGATGGACCGCCATTACGGCGAGCACACGGCGAACGTCGTGAAGAAGTTCGAGCTGCCCGAGTGGCCGGCTGAGTAGGGCTCAACCGGCAAGGGACGCAAGCCGGCTGGCGCGTTTGGCTCTCCGGCGGCTCAGCCGCCAATCGAGCCAACGATTGGTGGCCCAAGCCACCGGTCGGTGGATCACCCAGGCAACGGCCGAGCTGAACGTCAACGAGAAGAGCAGCGGCACGGCCAAGTCGCCGGCGAGGCGAACGACCGCTAAGACGGCCGCCAAAATCGCGGTGATCGCCAGCAGCCGCCAGACGCTAAACCGGATCGGGCTGCCTCTTTTCCTCCGGCGGCGTCGGCGTCGCAACCCACTCAGCGACCCGAGGTAGCCTCCCGCCTGGGCCGCGGCGATCGCGCCGGCTCCGCCGAACGCCTGCCCGAGCAGCAGCCCGAGGGCGCCGGCTGTCGCAGCAGCCGACGACAAGCCTGCCGTTACCTGCACCAGCCCGAAGACCGAGCCAAAGATCCCGACCGCCGAACCCGCGACCCAGCCGGTCGTGTCGCGGGCGATCGGCTCGGCGATCATCCGCTGTGCGAGCGCGAGGCAAGGGAGCAGCACCAGGCTCAGCAAGCCATTCGTAAGGAAACTGCCGACCCAGCCAAGCGGAATCGCCACCAACAGAATCAACGAGAACCATCCGAGCGACGCTACCACGGGCAGGACCACCAGGCTGAACAGCACCGAGGCGTGGGCGCTCACCAAGGCGATCTTCCACCCCAACAGACGCCAGGAGGCCAGGCCGCTGACGCCCAAGCCGTAGTGCGAGGGCCCGCTTCCGCTCAGTCGAAACGAGGCGTGCCGGCGCTGCGACGGCGAGTTCGGACTTGGCATCGGGCGTGTGGAACGTCGCGTGGTGGTTTCACGTGCAACGACTTTGGCGATCGCCAGCATAGGGGGTTTCACGTGAAACAGCGAAGCGGCGGCAAGCCGGCCGGTTGTTTCACGTGGAACGCCGACGCGTCCGGCGCCAGCAGCCCCCCTCGAGTGGCGTTTCGCCGGCGGGCTGAGGCTCCTATCCTTCGCGCCGTTTCGAACTAATCCGCCACGGCGTCGGGAGTCCCTCCCATCGGCAGCGTCCTCTGCATCGCGAACCAGAAAGGCGGCGTCGGCAAGACGACGACCGCCGTGAATGTGGCGGCCGCCTGCGCGCTGGCCGGCCAGCGGACGCTGCTCGTGGACCTCGACCCGCAGTGCAACGCCACCGGGGCGATCGGCGGTGAGCCAACCGACCGCCACCCGCTGGTGCAGCGGACCCCGCTCCGCGAGACGGTCGCCCCAACGGCGATCGAGAACCTCGAGCTGCTCCCCGGCAGCCGCAGCTTCCACGACGTCGACCACCTGGCCAACGCCGAAGGCGCCGAGTCGCGGCTGGTCGCGGAACACCTGGGGGCCAGCCTGAGCGTCTACGACGCGGTGCTGGTCGATTGCCCGCCGTCGCTGGGCACGCTCACGGAGACCGCCCTCGCCACGTCGGACGAGGTGGTGATGCCCCTGGAGTGCGAGTACTTCGCCATGGAGGGGCTCACCCAGATGATCGAGCTGGTCAAGCGCGTCATGCACCGGCCGAACAGCCGTTTGCGATTCGGCGGCATCCTGCTAACGAAGCACGACCCGTCGCTCGAGCTCACGCACGAGGTCGAGCGCGAGGTGCGCGAGTTCTTCGGCGAAGCGGTCTTCCAGACCGTCGTGCCGCGGGACGTCGCCCTGGCCGAGGCGCCGAGCCACGGCCAATCGATCTTTGACTACGACCCCCGCTCGCGCGGAGCGCGGGCCTACATCGAAGCCTTCTACGAGGTGCTCGGAGATGAGTAACCAACGACGCTTGGGACGCGGCCTGGAAGCGCTGCTTGGCCGCTCGCTCGACGAACCGGCCCCGGGCGCTCTCGATCCGGGCGCGCCGTCTTCCGGCTCCCCGGAGACGTCTGGGGCCGAGCCGAGTAACGACAGCGTGATGACGCGTGACGAGGATGGCCAGCGATGGCTCGACATCGGCGTCATCGAGGCGAACCCATTCCAACCCCGCAAGCGGTTCGACGAGGAAGAGATCGCCGACCTGGCCGACAGCTTCCGCGAGCACGGCGTGCTGCAGCCGCTAGTGGTCCGGCGGATCGACGGCCGCTTCGAACTGATTGCCGGCGAGCGCCGCCTGCGGGCCGCGCAGTCACTCGACTGGCAACGCGTGCCAGTCCAGGTCCGCGACGTCGACGATCGCGAGACGGCCGAGCTCGCTCTGGTCGAGAACCTCCAGCGGAAGGACCTCAACCCGATCGAGAAAGCGGAGAGCTTCCAGCGCTACCTGGCGGACTACGACTGCACGCAGGACGAGCTCGCCAAGCGGGTTCAGATCAACCGCTCGACGGTCGCCAACCTCGTGCGTCTGCTGGAGCTGCCCGACGCCGTGAAGCGGATGGTCGTCGAGGGCGACCTGACCCAAGGCCACGCGCGAGCGCTGCTGACCCTCCCCGAGAGCGATCGTGAAACGACGGCTAAGCGGGTGCAGCGGGAAGGACTCTCCGTGCGAAAGACCGAGCAGCTAGTCCAGGACGCGACCCAACCCGCCAGCGACGACCTGCGCGTCGTCGGCGAAGACGGCGTCAGCCGCAAGCCGGGAGCGACCCGCAGCGAGCAGATCGCCGCCCTCGAATCGGAGCTGCAGGCGGCCCTCGGCACGAAGGTCGAGCTGAAGCAGAACGCCAAGGGCGCTGGGCGGATCATCGTCCACTTCAAGTCGGCGGATGAGTTCGAGCGGCTGCGGGGGCTGCTGGGCCCCGGCTCGGCGGCTTCGGCCGCCGGCTGAGGCCGTGCTCGTTGTGGCGAACCGGCGCTGGGCGTACGATGTCTTGACACCGCGGGGCGTGGCGCAGCCTGGTAGCGCGACTGCTTTGGGAGCAGTAGGTCGCACGTTCGAATCGTGTCGCCCCGACTTGGTTTCTTGCGGCTCGGCTTGGCTTCGCCAAGACCTCGCTGCCGCGTGTCTGGAGCCCACGAATGAAGCGAATCTCAGCGAATCTGTTTCGCTTGGATTCGATCGACTCGCGGGCCACTTTCCCTAAGCGAGTGCCGCCGCGCCCGCGCGTTCGGCAAGGCGATCGACGACCAGCGCCCCGATGTTTAGCGACGCGGTTGCTGCGGGCGACGGGGCGTTCAACACGTTGACGACACGGTCGGTCTCGTCGATTAGGAAGTCGTCCACCATCGAGCCGTCCGGCATGACGGCTTGGGCGCGGACGCCGGCCGGCGCCGGTTCGAGGGCGTCGGCCGTGATCTCGGGGACGAGCCTCTGCAAGGCTCGGACGAAAGCCGCTTTGCTGACGCTCCGCCACATCTCGCCGGCGCCCATCCGCCAGTGCTTGGCGGCGAGCTTCAAGAAGCCGCCGTAGCTGAGCGACTCCGCCAGGTCCGCGACGTTGAGCGTCGTCTTGCCGTAGCCTTCTCGCGCCCACGCGAGCACGGCGTTCGGCCCGCACTCGACGGCTCCGTCAATCATCCGCGTAAAGTGCACCCCGAGGAACGGGAACGCCGGGTCGGGCGTCGGGTAGATCAGGTTGCGGCAGAGGGGCTTCGCTTCGTCGCGAAGCTCGAAGTACTCGCCGCGGAACGGGACGATCCGCGACGCCGGTTCGGCGCCAGAAAGCTTCGCGACGCGGTCGCTGTGCAGGCCCGCGCAGTTGACCACTAAGGGCGCGGTGAATGCGCCCGCATGCGACTCGACGGCCACGCCGTCCGACGTCTTGCGGACGGCGGTGACCAGCGCGCCGGTGCGGACGCCGCCGCCCGATTCGGCCAGCTTCTCCGCAAGCCTTCGGCAGACCGCTTTGTAGTCGACGATCCCTGCTTCGGGGACGTGTATCGCCGCGACGCCCTTGGCGTGCGGCTCGAGTTCCGCCAGCCGCCGGGCGTCGATCCGCTCGCAGGTGACGCCGTTGGCTTGGCCGCGCTCGTAGATCTTCTCCAGCGCAGGCAGGTCGTCATCGTCGACCGCGACGATCACCTTGCCGCACAGCTCGAACGGGATCTCCTCGGCGGCGCAGAAGGTCTCCATCGCCTTCTTGCCCTCGCGGCAGTTGATCGCCTTGAGCGAGCCGGGCTTGTAGTAGATGCCCGAGTGGAGCACGCCCGAGTTGCGCCCCGTCTGGTGCAGGGCGACCTCAGACTCCTTCTCGAGGACCGTCACGACCGCGTCGGGGAAGCGCTGGGTGTAGCGGTAGGCGGTCGCCAGACCGACGATTCCGCCTCCGATCACGATGAGGTCGCTGCGCTCGGCCATGGCTCAGTAGTGATCGCCGCGTTTGCGGACGTGGGTCATGGGAGCGTCGTCGGATTGCAGGAACCCGTCCGTGACCTGGGCGAGGACGACGCGGTGGTCTCCCGCGTCGAGCGCGGACTCGAACCGGCATTCCATGACGGCGATCGCCTCGGACAGCCGGGGCACGCCCGCCGGAGTGTAGAGGGTCGCGACGCCTTCGAACGCTGGCTCGCCCGGCTCGAAGCCCTTGCCGAAGTGCTTGAGGAACTGGGTCTGGCCGTCGCCCACGATGTTGACCGCGAACGGCTCGCCCGCCTCGATCCGATCGCCGACGTAGCGGCCGCGCCGCATAGCGAGCGTCAGCATCGGCGGCTCGAAACTCGCCTGCTGCACCCAACTGGCAAGCATCCCGGTCGGCGCGTCGCCGCCGAGCGTCACGATGTAGATGCCGCTCGGCGTGCGGCCGAGCGCGGCGTACAGGCTTTCGGGAGCTTCCATGGCGGTTCGGTTAGTCGCTGTCGCGGGCGGCGAGCTTCCGCTCGACCGACTCCACCTTACTCCGGAGGCGGCCGCCGTGGCCGGGGCGGTAGTCGAGTTTCGCCGAACAAGTGACGCGTGAGCTCGTCTCGGCCAGTTTCTCGACGCACGCCTGGAGCAACGCCAGCACCGCTGGCAGCTCGCCCTCGACGATGGTGCCCATCGAGTGCAGCTCGTACGGCATCCCGCTCTGGTCGATCAGGCGGACGCACTCGGCGACCGCCGAGCTGACGCTCTCGCCAGCGTCCATCGGAACGACGCTCATCTCAAGCAGAACCATGATGGGCTCCCCGAACCGCCTCGGATGTCGAGTCGGCCCACCACGGGCCGACGCCCCTGTTGTAGAGGGACCACCGCCGACCGCCGAGCCCCATAGAGTCGTAAACCACAAAACGACAACAGCTTACGAAGCGTCAAGTTTGACCTGTCGGCTAGCCGATACAACCGCTACGGTGCTCACTGGCCGAAGGAACGGCCTGCGCTAGGAGTCTGCCCCGCCCGACCCGCTCGCATGGATGCGACCCTCCGAATCGCCGCGCGATCCGTCTGCACTTGGTTGTGCCTCGTCGCGGCATGGCTGAGCGCCGCCGCTGCGTGGGCCGATGGCCCGGCGATCGACCCCTTCTTGGCCGCCAGTCGCACAGCCGAAGCCTCGGCGGTGCGGCTTGCCGCGCTGCCCTCAGTCGACTCGGGCGCGAGCGACGGCGTGCAACTCACCAGCGCGGAGAACTACGCCGCCGCCTACCCGAGCGCGGCTTTGACGACGCCGCTCAGCACCCCGATCGCGGTCCCGACCGGCGCGCCGGTCGCCTACCACTACGACGCCCCCACGAGTGGCTGGGGCTACGAGCTCCTGCCCGACGGGCTCATCTACCGAAGCTACCTGGCCGGGCCGCGTGAGTCGCGGATGGCGCTGCACACGTTCCACAACGAGTCGGTGCGCAACGAAGCACTCTGGGAAGCGACGCTCGGCGGACGCCGCGGGATCATCCGCTACGGCAACGGCGACGCGGCGAATCCCGTCGGTTGGCAGATCGATATCGAGGGCGCCGCTCAAGTGCGGCTCAACCTCGACGAAGCCCGCGACGTCGACGCTTCCGACTTCCGGTTCGGCGTGCCGTTCACGTACACGGCGGGCGACGGCGTCGCCTACAAGTTCGGGTACTACCACGTCAGCTCCCACTTGGGCGACGAGTTCATCCTCCGCAACGGGAACACGCGCATCAATTACGTGCGCGACGCGATCGTTGCGGGCGTCTCGTATCAGTTAAATCCTTGCTGGCGTGTCTACGGCGAGACGGCGTTCGCCTTCTTCACGGCCGGCGGCGCCCAGCCGTGGGAGTTCCAGATCGGCGCCGAGTACGCCCGCCCGGGTCCGACCGGCTTCGCGGGGACGCCGTTCTTCGCAACGAACGCCCACCTCCGCGAGGAGACCGACTTCGGCGGCGACTGGACCGTGCAGACCGGCTGGCTGTGGCGCGGCGTCACCGGGAGCACGTTCCGGCTTGGCCTGCATTACATGAACGGCAAGAGCACGAACTACCAGTTCTTCAATCAGTTCGAAGAACAGCTCGGCTTCGGCATTTGGTACGACTACTGAGCGAGGCGCTAGGCTTGAGGCGGTAGGCGCTAGTTGGGAAGTTGGTGGCAAGCCACCAACCAACTCACCTCGACTAGAACTCCACTGTGCTTCGCCTTCTGACGATCGAGTCGACGTGTGACGAGACCGCGGCGGCGGTCGTCACGGACGGGCTAGAGACACTCGGCGCCGTCGTCGCTTCGCAGACCGATCTGCACGAGCGATTCGGCGGCGTCGTGCCGGAGATCGCTTCTCGGGCGCACGTCGAGCGGATCCTGCCGGTGGTCGACGAAGCGCTCCGCCAAGCGGGGCTGACGCTCGCGGACCTCGACGCGATCGCCGTCGCGAACCGACCGGGGTTGGTCGGGTCGTTGCTGGTCGGCGTCGCGGCCGCCAAGGCGCTCTGCGTGGCGACCGGCCTGCCGCTGATCGCGGTGAACCACCTTCAGGCGCACGTCTACGCCTGCAAGATAGCCAGCGGCGAGGAGGTGTTCCCGTGCGTCGGGCTGATCGTCAGCGGCGGCCACACGAACCTCTACCGCTGCGACGGGCCGACCGACTTCACGCCGCTCGGCGGGACGATCGACGACGCGGCGGGCGAGGCGTTCGACAAAGTCGGCGCGATGCTCGGCCTCCCCTTCCCCGGCGGACCGGCCGTGTCGAAGGCGGCCGCCCAAGGCGACCGCAACGCGATCCGCTTCCCGCGACCCCTGCTCGACGACTCGGGGCGGCTCGCCTTCAGCTTCAGCGGGCTGAAGACGGCGGTGCGATACCGGATCGAATCGCCCGACGCGGAGCGTGACACGCCGCTCTCCGAAGCCGAGCGAAACGACATCGCCGCCGGCTTCGAGGAGGCGGTCGTCGACTGCCTGGTCGGCAAGTCGGAGCTGGCGCTGCGGCAAGCGGGCTTCGACACGCTGTGCGTCGGCGGTGGCGTCGCCGCTAACGGGCGTCTCCGCGAGCGGCTCGGCGAATCGGCCGAGAAGCACGGCTACCGCCTGTACATCCCGCCGATGTCGCTTTGCACCGACAACGCCGTGATGGGCGCGATCGCGGTGGAGCGCTTCCGGGCGGGGAAGTTCGAGTCGCTGGACCTGGACGTCCACCCGGGCCTGGAGCGGATCGGTTAGCCCCGACCAAGCTTGGTCGGGGCTATGGACTCTCCGAGCCTTCGGGCTCTCCGGCGCGCAAAAAAAAGAGCCGGGCCGTGGAAAACACGACCCGGCTCGTTCGTTTCTGTTCGCTGATCGAGATCAGCGACGCTGGCAGCTCGGGCAGTACGACGACGAGGTCGGCATCGCGTACTCGACCGACGAGCCCGGCATCGTGACGCTGGTCGAGTACGACGGCGTCGAGTACGACGGCGTCGAGACCGGAGCGGCCGACGTGGACGCCTCGCTGATCACCGGCTTGGCGACGGTGTAGCGGGTGCGGCCCTGACGCAGGCCCGACTCGTGTTGCGCGAGGATCGACTTCCACTGGCTCGTGGTGACATCGCCGCGGACGCGACGGACGATGACCGAGCCGGTCTTGTCGATGATCGCCACGTGCGGGAACTCCGTCACGTTGAAGACCTTCGCCACTTCCTTGCCGTAGTCGGTCGTCACGTCGATGCGACAGACCTCGTAGCTGTTCAGCGGGAACGCGCCGCTCTCGGCGCTCAGCAGTTCGGGGTTGAGGCTCTGGGCCTCGTCTCCCGGGGCGTCGAGCACCACCAGCAGCGGCTGCTCGGCTTGCTTCGTCTCGGCGAGGGCCTGGCCGTAATCCGCGTGCCAGTCGCTCGGGACCTCGGCGCCGGCGGTCAGGCCAGCGACGAACGAAACCAACATCCAGGTCGAAAGCATCCTTCTAGCTCCTAGGAGGGACGACGCGGCGTACGCGGGGCTCGGTGCGACTCTTGGGGGGTCGTACAACCGCCGCCACGCGGCGTCGGGGATTGGCGGCCCGAGGACCCGCGTCCTCCGGCCGAGGCGTGGAGCAAGGGAGCAACGAGTCCCTGTGTCGCACGCCGGCGGGAACCGCTTCAGGTCGTTGAAGCGGCTAATCGACCGAGCCGTGGATCATTCTCACGACCGATCGACCGGTACGACCCTACCGGGGCTTCGCGCTGGCACAAGGGGCTAGACGGGGCCACTTGTCCGATTGCGGAGATTGGCGCGAGCGCCAATCAATCGACTGAATAATCCCACTTGGCCGCTAAACCGAAGGCTACGAAGGGCTTAGCGAGCCAGGCTCACGTGTCGAAGGGCGCTGCGCGAAAGCCCGAGACCGCTCTAAAAAAACGCTGTGGCAGAGTGTCACGCTTCACAAACTGCGGCGACCGCGTCGAGTGGGAAAATTCGCCGTCGCCGAAGCTCACGCCTCTTCGAGCGTCACAGCCGACTGGACGGTCTGCCCGTCGCGCAGCAGCGTGAACACAACGCGCTGGCCCGGCGCGTAACCGTCCATGATCGCGATGAACTGGTCGTGCGTCGCGATCGGCTGACCGTCGATCGCGACGATGTAGTCGGCCGCGTCGCGGTCTTCTTCGAGCACGACGCGCCGGCGACCGAACGGGTCTTGGTACAGCTTCCTTGTGAACGAGAAGCCGCGCAGGCCGGCGCGATCGGCAGGGCCGTCTTTGCTGACGCGCGCGATGCGCAGCCCACGCGGCGTCTCGTTGACCATGACGATGCCGTGGTATGCGCGGACGACCTTTCCCTTCTCGATCAGTTCGGGCAGGAACCGCTTCACACGGTCGATCGGGATCGCGAAGCCGACGCCCGAGTTTTGGCCGACCGAACTGCGGATCGCGACACACATGCCGATCATCTCGGCTGAGGTGTTGAGCAACGGCCCGCCGGAGTTGCCGGGGTTCATCGCGGCGTCGGTTTGGATCATGCCCGTCATCACTCGGCCGCCGTTGCTGCTAGGAAGCGAGCGGTTCGTGCTCGAGACGATGCCGGTCGTGAGCGTGTGGTCCAGTCCGAACGGGTTGCCGAGTGCGTACGCCTTCTGACCGACACGCAGGTTGTCGCTGCGACCCAAGCGGATCGGGTCGAGCTGGTCGGCCGGCGCGTCGACCTTGAGCACGGCCATGTCGTACTCCTCGTCGAAACCGATGACCTCCGCCGGGTAGACGCGGTCGTTCGCGAGGGCGACGCTGACACGAGTCGCGTCGTCGATCACGTGGTGGTTCGTGAGAACGTGCCCCTGCTTGTCGAGCACGCAGCCGGAGCCGGCGCCCTCGCCCTCCATCGCGAAGCCGAACCCGTCGCGCTGGACGGTGCTGGTCGTGATGTGAACGACGCTGCGATTGGCCGCCTCGTAGACGCGGATGTTGGCCAGCTCGTCCGGCGTCAGGTCGGGCGACGCGGCCGGGCGCGACGCCGGCGCCGTCCGCTGGGCGACGGTTTCCGGCGACGAGAACAGCAGCAGGGCCAGCCCTGCTGCGGCGGCCACGGCGAACAACGAAGTGCGGGTGCTCATCGGTCTGGAAGTGAAGGAACTCGGCGGCGAGACGCTCTGGATGGCTACGTTTGAACGCGCCGGATCGTTCGCTGGCAAGGCGGATCGGCTCAGGAGAGCCGCAGCGGCCAGACCAGGCCGATGAGCACGATCCCGGCAGCGGCGATCAGCAGCGCCAGCGGCCCGCCAACACGCAGGAAGTCACGCGGCTGGTAGCCGCCGGGGCCCATGACCATCAGGTTGGTCTGGTAGCCGATCGGCGTGGCGAAGCTGAGCGACGCCGCGATCGCCACCGCCATGATGAAGGGCCGCGGGTTGACGCCCGCCTCGGCGGCGATGCCGATCGACAGCGGGATCATCATCGTCGCCACCGCGGCGTTGGTGATCGCCTCGGTCAGCACCATCGACAGCAGGTAGACCGCCGCCAAGAGCAGCCACGGCAGCCAGGCTTCCGGGAGCGGCGCCGCCTGAGCCATTCCGACAACGCCTTCGGCGATCCAACGATCGGCGCCGCTCTCAGTCAGTGACTTTCCCAGGCCGATCGCGGCGGCAATCGTGATCAACACCTGCAGGTCGATCGCGGTCCGCGCTTGGCTGACCGTCATGCAACGCGCGACGATCATCGCGGCGACGACCGCCACACCGGCCACCGGCTGGATGTCGGGCGACAACCACGCCGGCGAACCAATGGCGTCGCCAACCGACAGCGCGGTCGCCACCAACCAGCCAATCAACAGCAGGAACAACCCGCCCGCCACCAACGCTCGGTCGTGTCGCCGTGCCGACGAGCCGCCGACGGCGCTAACCAAGTAGAAGTCTCGGCTGTTGCGATGTGTCTCGACAAAGCCCGAGCGTGTCTGCAGCAGGAGGGTGTCGCCCGCCTCGAGGCGGATGTCGCCGATCTTCGTCCCCAGACGCTCGCCGCCGCGGTGCACGGCGACGATCGCCGCGTTGTAGCGCTGTCGAAAGTTGGCTTCGCGGACCGTGCGCCCGACGATTGGCGACGTCTTGGAGAGCACGGCCTCGGCGAGTTGCCGGCTCGCGCGGTCGGCGGGACGGAACTCGTACGTCATGTCGACTGCCGGCACGAGCCCGGGAATCCGCTCCAAGTCGGCGATCGTGCCGACCACGCCGGTGAAGACCATGCGGTCGTGCGACTTGATGACGTCTCGCGGCGTGACCGGCGTGATCACGTCGGCGCCACGGCTGATCTCGATCAGGAACAAGCCGGGCAACTGCCGCAAGCCTGCTTCTTCGACGGTCTGCCCGACGAGCCCGCAGCCCGGCTGCACCAGCATCTCGACCAGGTACTCGCGGCGGCGATCCCCGAGGTCCTCGATCACGCCGGTCCGGTCGGGCAGCAATCGCGGCGCAACGAAGATCATGTAGACGATCCCAAGCAACGCCAGCGGGAGACCGACCCAGCCGATCTCGAGCAGCCCGATCTCGCGGACCTCGGCGAGCATCGCGCCCTCGGCTTCGACGGCGCGCGTCGACATCGCCCGGCCGACATCGGCGATCTGCGCGTTGCAGACGAGTGTCGTGCTGGTGCCGATGACGGTGCCGACGCCACCGAGGATCGTCAGGAAGCTGAGCGGCATCAGCAGCCGCGACGGCGAGACGCCCCGCTTGTGGCACCAGTCCATCACGACCGGGGCGAGCATCGCCACCAGCGGCGTGTTGAGCACGACGGCCGACGCGGGAGCGACCAGCGTCAGACGCCACAGGGCGGCCCGCTCGGTCTTCGCCGTGCCGAGCAGGACTCCGCCAATCCAGTCGAGAGCCCCCGTGGTCCGCAGCCCCGCGGCGGCGGCGAACAACGCCCCGATCAACAGCACCGGCGGGCTGGCGAAGCCGCTGAGCGCCGTTCCGGCATCGATGACTCCCGCGAGCGTGACTGCCGCCAAACCGGCGAGGAACAGCAGCTCAACCGGCGTGGAACGCCGCCAGAGCAGCGTCGCGAAGATCCCCGCGACGACCAGCAACGCCACGCCGCCTTCGGCGGTGAGCGGCGCAGCGGCGATTGGCATCGCGGGGAGCATCAGTCGGGCTCAGCGGGCGAACGGGTGGACGCCTGGTGACGTGCGGGCGCTCAGAGGCGACGCCCTCTTACCGTAAATCGCCGCATTTCGCCCTCCGACAGAATCCCGCGACACGGCGGCGACCGCGACCGTCAGAACCGGCGCGACCGGCAGGTTGAAAAGGGCGAAATCAGGTGGAAGGGCCTCGGAGGCCCGGATAAGATAGAGGCTCTTGGCTAAATACGCAGCCGGCAACGGTTTGCGCCGCCAAATTAGCCATAGAAGACTAGCCACAGAAGCATGGCGACTGCGGGCCTTGCGCCCCGCGCCACCGGACAGACAAGAGACTGCCACTCCCTCGCTCGGCTTCGCCGTCCGAGGGAGCGCCTCCCCGCGGAGCCGATCCGACGATGATTCTGACACGCGCTCGCCGCTCGTCACTTCTCCAGCCTCTCGCTTGCCTCGGCGCCATTGCCGCGGTGGCGGGCGCCGCCAACGCCGACAGCCTTTCGGTCGACCTGTACGACGCGCCGGACGGGCAGCGGTACTACGCCGCCAGCTTCGCCGCGATCGACGCGCCGGCTCGCCCCGAGGCGATGGACCTGGTGATCGTCATCGACACGTCGGCCAGCCAAGTCGGCCCGTTCCGCACGACGACGCTCGCCGCGGTCGAGGCGTGCCTCGCGAGCCTGCACCCGAACGACCGAGTCGAGCTGGTTGCGGCCGACGTCTCGGCCCGCCACCTGACCGAATCACCCGTCGCGCCGGGGTCGTCGGAGATGGCCGCCGCGATGGCGTCGCTCCAGCAGATCGCGCCGCTGGGCGCTTCGGAGCTTCGCACGACGCTCGCGACCGCTGCCGACCGCCTCGCGGCTTCGTCCGAGTCGCCTCGCAAGGCAATCCTCTACCTCGGCGACGGTCTCTCGATGGGAGGCAACGAACTGGCCGGCGCCTGGTCGGGCGTCGTCGAGCGGCTCCGCGACCAGCAGATCGCCGTCTCGGCCTTCGCGCTGGGCCCGCAACGCAACCCGGCGCTGCTCGCGGCCTTGGCGAACCAAACCGGCGGCAACCTGTACCTCGACGCCCCGGGCCTAGCCGCGGACGACGCCGAAGCCTCCCGTCGTGGCGCTCGAGTCGGCCGCATCCTCTCGGACTGGGCGCACGCCGAAGTAGCTTGGGCCACGTCGAGCTCGATGAGCGAAGCCGCCGTGTCGGCCTACCCGACGGCGATGCCGCCGCTCCGCAGCGACCGAGACACGGTCGTCATCGGCCAACTCGCCCCCGGCGCCGAACGCTTGACGGTCGACGCCACCATCGACGGCGAGTCGTTGGCCTGGTCGGCCAACCTCGATCCGAGCAACGAGTCGAGCGCCGCGCTCGCGACGCTGGTCCAGCAGGCCGAGCGGGATGGCGGCCTCTCGCTGACCACCCTCGGGTCGGCCGGCCTGACCGAGACCATGCGGGTCGCCAACGCAGAGACGGAACGCTTGACCCGAATCGCCGAACGGGCGGTCGCCCTGGGCGACACGGCCGGCGCCACCAAGATCAGCCAAGCCGTGCTGAAGCGCGACCCGGGCAACCTGCGTGCGAAGACGGTGCAACGCGCCGGCGAGGAGCGCTCGGTGCGGACCGCCCAGCTTGAGATCGTCGAAGCGGCCCCGGTCGAGGACCTCGTCGCCCCGCAAGCGCCGGCAGCCCAACCGTCGGTCGTGTTCGAAGACCAAGGCTTCATGCCGCCGAGCGAGGTCGTCGTCGACGGCCGCTTCATGAACTCGGTCGACCGCAACCGCAAGGTGTTCGCCCAGCTCCTTGAGAAGGAAGTCAAGAACGCCATCGCCGACGCCCGCGACACGATGTCGACCGACCCCGAGTCGGCGATCCAGTCGCTCAAGCTGATGCTGCAAAACGTCGAGCGGGCCCCGGAACTCAGCTCGGCGATCCGCGCCGGCCTGTCTGACCGCCTTCAGTCCGCCGTCCGCGAAGCAACGCGGCAAGCGGTGATCCAAGACGATCTCGACCGCGAGCGCGAAGAGGTGCTCGCCGCGGCGCGTGAGCGCCGTCTGCTGCTCGACCGACTCGCGCTGAAGCGCGAACGCGAGAAGCAGCTCGTCGAGCGCTTCAACGCCCTGATCGACGAGCGCCGCTTTGCCGAGGCGACCGAGGTGAGCCTCGAGGTCGAAGAGATCGACCCGGACAGCGTCATCGCCCGCGTCACGCGTGTTTGGGGCGAGCAGAAGCGCTACCACGAGCTGAACCGCGAGCTCCGCGACCGCCGGGCGGCCATGTTCCTCGAGACGATGGCGCAGGTCGAGTCGTCGGCGATCCCGTTCCCGGACAACGTGCCGATGGTGTACCCGGACGCCGAGGAGTGGCAGCGGATCACCGAGGCGCGTCGCAAGTACAAGTCGGTCGACGTCGCCGGCGAGAGCGAGTCGGAGCGCGCCATCACGGACGCGCTTCAGAAGCCGCTGCCGACGAGCGGCCTGCAGTTCGACGACGCCCCGCTGGAAGACGTCGTGACGTTCCTCCGCGAGGAATACAACATCGAGATCGCGCTCGACTCGATCGCGCTGGACGACCTGGGCCTCGGCCCCGACGAGCCGATCACCGTCGACCTCCGCAACACGTCGCTCAAGTCGGCGTTGCGGCGGATGCTCGAGCCGCTCGAGTTGACCTACGTCCTGGAGGACGAGGTGCTGTTGATCACCACCGAAGAGGAAGCTCAAACGAAGCTCAAGGTGAAGGTCTACCCGGTTGCCGACCTCGTGATCCCGATCCCGCCGCCGCAGGCCGCGGGCATCGGTGGCGGCGGCGGTGGCCTTGGTGGCGGCGGTGGCGGCGGCCTCGGCGGCGGTGGCGGTGGCGGCCTCGGTGGCGGCGGTGGCGGTGGCCTCGGCGGTGGTGGCGGCGCGTTCAGCGTGCCGGACGAAGCCCCGGTCTTGTCGCTCCGCAAGGACGCACCCCAATCGACCCCGACGAAGCCCGAAGCGACGCCCGCGTCGCCCTCGGCGTCGACCGAGATCACCCCCGAGGTTTCGGCGAAGGCGCCCAGCCTGCGGCTGCCGGCGGCGGACGCTGACGACTCGGCTTGGGAAGGGCTGTTCGCCGAGAAGGTCGACCCCGCGTCGGTGCGGCGCGCGACGCGTCGCTTGGTGCGGACCGAGCGCTACGGCGACGCGGTGCGGCTGATCAACGCCGCCCTCCGCGCCGGCCAGCAGCAGTCGTGGATGTACGAATCACTCGGCCTCGCCCTGCAACTCGACGGCCGCCCGTTGGAAGAGATCGAACGCACGGTCCTCTCGTCGGTCGACTTCGCGACCGAGGCCGACCAGCTGGTCGCCATCGCCGATTACCTCGTCGGCCTGGGGCTCGACCGCCGTGCGGTGCAGGTCTACCGCATGGCCCTCGACCGGGCGCCGCTGCTCCAAGAGATCCTCGGCCCCGCGCTCGCCGCGGCGAAGCGCAGCGGCGACGCCGACGCGTTGCGTTGGGCGACGATCGCCGTCGCCGAGCGTGCCTGGCCGGCGACCTACGCCGCAATCGAGGAGCAATCGAAGCTCATCAGCCAAGCGCTCGTCGAGCGGCTCGAGTCGGAAGACACCGCTGCGGCCGCGAGCTACCGCAAGCAACTCGACGCCGCTTCGCGTCGCGACTGCCTGGTGCGTGTCACCTGGTCGGGCGACGCCGACCTCGACCTGGCCGTTAAAGAGCCGGGCGGCAGCGTCTGCTGGCTCGGCAAGGGCCGGACCGCCGGCGGCGGCGTGCGGGTCGAAGCGCCCGTGAACGCCGACGACGAGTCGGCAATCCGCCGTGAAGAGTACATCTGCCCCCGCGGCCTAGCGGGCGACTACGAAGTGCTCGTCCGCAAGGTCTGGGGCGAGCCGGTCGCCGACCTCGTGACCGTCGAGGTGACGGTCGCCGCGGGCGACGAGAACGAAGAAGTCCAGTCGCGGCAAGTCAAACTCGACGAGAACGGCGAGACCCGCGCGCGGTTCAACCTGCCGGTCGGCCGTCTCGAACAGCCGATCGACGAGGCGGTGCTCGCCCAGGCGCTGGAGCGCCAAGAGAACGTCGCGCGTTCGGTCGTCGCGCAGCAGCTCAGCTCGCTGGCCGAGGAAGGGACCGTCTCGCTGCGTCCCGGCGAAGAGCGGCGTCGCCGTCAGGCGCTCGCCGGCCAGGGCGCCGTCGGCTTCCAGCCGGTCATCATCACGCTGCCCGAGGGCACCAACCTGCAGGCTTCGGCCGTGGTGTCGGCCGACCGCCGCTACGTGCGGGTCAGCCCGACGCCGATCTTCTCGGTGATCGGTGACATCTTCACGTTCAGCTTCACCGGCGGCGGCATCGACCCGACGACGCAGTTTGTCGACCAGTCGATCCAGTCGGGCCAAGTCGGCCAGGCCGGCGTCGGCGGCGTGCTCGCCGGAGGCGGCGGCCAAGGCGGCGGCGGTGGCGGCCTCGGTGGTGGCGGCGGTGGCGGTGGCGGCGGTGGCAACCCCTGATCGGCCGCGCCGGCGTCGAAGCGATCGTCGCGTCGCTGCGGCTTAGCCGATCGCGGAAAGCTGCGCTGTCGCCACGTTGCTCAAGCCCTCCAGGGCCAGAGACAGCAACGCGTCGAACTGCTCCCGGCTGAAGGTTGCGCCTTCTCCGCCGCCCTGCACTTCGATGAGCGCTCCGGCGGAGGTCGCGACGACGTTCATGTCGACCGCGGCGGTCGAGTCCTCTCGGTAGTCGAGGTCGAGCGCCGACTCGCCGTCGACAAGGCCGACGCTCACCGCGGCAACCGAGTCGGCTAGAGGTGAGTTCGCTTCGCCAAACACCGGGTCGCCCGCTTCGTCGCGGATCGACCGGACCGCCTCGGCCAGGGCGACCCACCCGCCCGTGATGCTCGCGGTGCGTGTGCCGCCGTCGGCACGGAGCACGTCGCAGTCGATGGTGATGGTCCGCTCGCCCAGCGCCTCAAGGTCGATGCCGGCGCGAAGCGAACGACCGATGAGCCGTTGGATCTCGGTCGAGCGCCCGTCCGTCTTGCGGGGTTTACGCGGGCTCGTTGAGCCCGGGAGCATGTTGTACTCGGCGGTGACCCAGCCGCGTCCTTTGCCGGCAAGCCACGGCGGCGTGTCGGCGCCGACGCTCGCCGTGCAGAGCACGGTGGTCTGACCGAAGCTGACCAGCACGCTGCCGTCGGCCGCGGAGGTGTATCCGCGATCGATCTTCAGCGGGCGGAGTTGGTTGGCGGCGCGGCCGTCGTGGCGAGGCATGAGTGTGCTGTCTTGGGTTGAGCGGCGAGCGGCTGGGACGAGTTGCTGGTGGGCGATCGCGGAATGCGGACTTCGGAATGCGGATTCGGTCTGGGCGAAGACTTCTTCAAGACGCGAGCGGCTCGGCTTGGCGTGCGCTCATTCCGCATTCCGCATTCCGCATTCCCAAATCCGCAATCGTCAACTCGCGTGCGACGCGAGCAGCCAAACGAGGATCCCTTTCTGGGCGTGCATCCGGTTGCCGGCTTGCTCGACGATGACGCTCCGCTCGTGGTCCATCACGCCGTCGGTGACCTCCTCGCCGCGTTTGGCCGGGAGGCAGTGCATGAAGACCGCGTCGTCCGGCGCGGCGGCCAGGAGCGCCTCGTTCACCTGAAACGCGGCGAAGTCCTTGCGGCGCTGCGCTTCCTCGGCTTCCTGGCCCATGCTGGCCCAGACGTCGGTGTAGATGGCCGACGCGCCGGCGACCGCCTCGCGGGCGTCGCCGGTCACCGAGACCTTGGCGCCGGGGTTGTCGGCAACGACGCCCTCGATGAAGCCCGCGTCCATCTCGTACCCGGCGGGGGTGGCCATTACGAACTCGACGCCGAGCTTCGCGCAGGCGACCGCCAGGCTGCGGGCGACGTTGTTCCCGTCGCCGACCCAGGCGAGCTTGCGGCCGTGCAGGTCCCCGAAACGTTCTTTGATGGTGTACAGGTCCGCCACCGCCTGACACGGGTGGGAGACGTCCGTCAGCCCGTTGATGACCGAGCACGAAGAGTGCGCGGCGAACTCGGTGACCGTCTCGTGCCGTTTGCTGCGGATGACGACTACGTCGACCATCTGGCTGAGTACCCGCGAGAAGTCGGCCATCGACTCGCGCTTGCCGCCGAAGCCGGTGTCTTGGCCGAGCATGATGCTGCCGCCGCCCAGGTGGGTCATGCACGCCTCGAACGAGACGCGCGTCCGCAGCGACTGCTTCTCGAACAAGAGCGCGAGCATCCGGCCCGGCAGGAGCGGCTCGCGGACGCCCGCCTCGAACTTGCTCTTGAGGTCCGCGGTCAGCGAGAAGATCGTTTCAATCTCCGTCGCCGAGACGTCGTCGAGCGTGATGAGATGGCGCATGACAGGCTGTCAGTTGTCAGCGGTCAGGGAGTTCAGTGCGAAGCGACGTAACGCGCCACGCGTTGCAGAGTTACGCCTGGTGCTCGCGGAGCGCGTCGGCCAGGATCTGGCAACCTTGGTCGAGCTCTTCGTCGGTGAGCGTCATCGCCGGCAGCAGCCGTAACACGCGGCCCTGGGTACAGTTGATCAGCAGGCCGCGCTCCATGCATGCCGACACGAGCGGCGCGCCGTCGACCAACAGTTCCAGGCCGATCATCAGGCCGCGGACCCGCAGCTCCTGGGCGAACGGCAACTCGTCGACCAGCGGCGAGAGCGTCTCCTCGAACCGGGCGCCGAGTTGCTTAGCCCGCTCGAGCAGGCCGTCGCGCTCGATCGTCTCGATCGTGGCGATGCCGGCTCGGGCCGCGATCGGGTTGCCGCCAAACGTGGCGGCGTGCATGCCGGGCCTCAGGCTGGGGGCGATCTCGGCCGTCGTGAGCAACGCGCCGCCGGCGACGCCGCCGCAGAGGCTCTTCGCGAGCGTCATCACGTCAGGGGTGACGCCGAAGCCTTGATGGGCGAACCATTCGCCCGTGCGGCCGCAACCGGCCTGCACCTCGTCGAACACGAGCACCAAGCCATGCTCGTCGGCGATCTCGCGGAGGCCTTCGAGGAAGCCCTCCGGCGGGAGGCGGATGCCGCCCTCGCCTTGGATCGGCTCGACGAGGATGCCCGCCGTCTCGTCGTCGACCAGCTCCTTCACCGCCTCGAGGTCGCCGTACTCGGCGTACTCGAAGCCGGCCACCAGCGGGCCGAGCCCTTCGTGGTACTTCGGCTGGGCCGTGGCGGTCGTCGCGCCGAGGGTCCGGCCGTGGAACCCGCCGGTGAACGTGATGATCTTGAACCGCTCCTCGGGCGTGTGCAGCCGGACGAGCTTGATCGCCGCCTCGTTTGCCTCTGCGCCGGAGTTGCAGAAGAACGCCTGACCGCCGAACGACCGCTCGCTCAGCAGTTGCGCCCAGCGCCCTTGCGCCTCCGTGTACCAGCTGTTGGGCACGTGGATCAGCGTCGCGACCTGCTCCTGCACCGCCTCGACCACCGCCGGCGGGCAGTGGCCCAGCAGGTTGCAGCCCCAGCCGGGGAAGAAGTCGAGGTACTTGCGGCCCTGGTCGTCCCAAACCCAGGAGCCCTCGCCGCGCACCAGCGACACCGGGAACCGGCCGTAGTTCGGCACGACGTAGCGTTGGAACGTCTCCGCCGTGGCGGGAGACATCGACGGGGTTTCGGTCGCTGGCATGGCGGCTCCTGCTGGTCGAGGTCGCAAGGACCGATCGGTCAGCCCGCGGGTTCGGGGACGATCTGGGTGCCGACGCCCTGGTTGGTGTAGATCTCCAGCAGCAGCGAGTGCCGCAGCCGGCCGTCGATGATGTGGACCTTGCCGACGCCCTTGGTCAGCGTCTCGAAGCACGCCTCGACCTTCGGGATCATGCCGCCGGCGATCGCGCCGCTGCCGGTGAGCTCCTCCGCGAGGGACGGCGTCAGCGAGCTGATGAGCGTCGCCGGGTCGTCGGCGTCGCGGAGGACGCCCGACACGTCGCTCAGGAACACCAGCTTCTCGGCCCCGAGGGCCTGGGCGACCGCCATCGCCGCGGTGTCGGCGTTGACGTTCAGCAGCTCGCGCTTGCCGTCGGCATCGGGCGCCGCCTCGCACAGGCAGGGGATCACCGGCACCTGGCCCGCGAAGCAGAGGTTCTCGATCGTGTCGCGATCGACGCTCGTGACCCGGCCGACGTGCCCCAGGTCGACCTCTTCGCCGTCGTCGCCGGTGAGCGTGATCCGCTCGCCGAACAGCACGTTGTTGTTCGTCTCGCCGGCCGTGTTGAGCGGCATCGCCCGGCCGCCGTACAGCTCGATCTTCTCCGCGAGCGCCTCATTCACCTGGCCGCCGAGCACCCGCTCCGCGATCCGCAGCGTGTCGTCGTCGGTGTAGCGCCGGCCCTGCACGAACCTGGGGGTGAGCCCCTCGGCGTCCATCGCCTGGCTGATCGCCTTGCCGCCGCCGTGGACGATCACCGGCCGCATGCCGACGGTCTCCATGAAGACGACGTCAATCAGCAGGTGCCGCAGCGCCTCCTCGTCCTCGAGCAGGCTGCCGCCGAGCTTGATGACCGTGACGCTTTCACGGAACCGGCGGATCCAGCCCATTGCCTCGATCAGCACGTCCGCTTTCTCGATCGCTTCTTGCACGGGCGGACGCGGGGGGCTTTCGGGCGGTGGCGGGGCGAGCGTGGTCACGGTCGGGCCGGGTCGGGATCGGAGAATCCCGCAGTTTACGGCTCCGCAAACCGCCGGTCCAGGCAAACGGTGGCGGGCGAGCCGCTAATCGGCTGCGCGATCGCGCCGCTGGAACCCTGACCGCGATTCGGCGATGATCGCCACTCTCGTCGCCCGACGCCCGCCGACGCCAGCACCGCCCGCGCCTCGATGACCGCTCCCGCCGCCGCCCCGATGGCGATCGTCCTGGCCGCCGGCCAGGGCACCCGGATGAAGTCCGACCTGCCGAAGGTCCTTGTCCCCGTCGGCGGCCGGCCGATGATCCGCTACGTCGTGGACGGCCTCCGCGCCGCCGGCGTCGAGCGGGTCGTCGTCGTCGTCGGCTACAAGGCCGACCTCGTGCGGGCCGAACTCCACGACGAACCGGGCGTCTACTTCGCCCTGCAGGCGGAGCAGCTCGGCACGGGGCACGCCGTCATGATGTGCCGCGACGAAGTCACCGCGCACCGCGAGGCGGGCGGCGGCCCCGTCGTGATCGTCACCGGCGACTCGCCGATGCTGCAGGAGTCGAGCGTCCGCGCCCTGCTCGCGGAGTTCGCTGAGACGAACCCCGCCTGCCTGCTCGGCACGGCCCACCGCGACGACCCGACCGGCCTGGGGCGCGTCGTCCGCGACGACGCCGGCGACTTCGTCGGCATCGTCGAGCACAAGGACTGCACGCCGGAGCAGCTCCGGGTCACCGAAGTGAACATGAGCACGTACGTCTTCGCGCCGGGCGACCTGCTGTCGTCGCTCGAAGCGATCACCACCGACAACGCCCAAGGCGAGTACTACGTCACCGACTGCCCCGGCGTCCTGCTCCGCGAGGGCAAAGACGTCCGCGCCCTGGCCGCCCTCCAGCCGTGCGAAGCGCTGAGCATCAACACGGTCGAGGACCTCGCGGTGGTCGAAGCGGAAATGGAAAAGATGAGTGGGCAGAAGACAGAAGGCAGACGGCAGTAGTCGCCGGACGCCGAGCCTTCGGCTCACTTTGCTGACCACCTACCGCCCTCTGCCTACTGCCTACTTCAAATGCACGACCTCAAACTCTTCAGCGGCACCGCGAACCCGCGGCTCAGCCAGGCGATCGCCGACTACCTCGGCGTGCCCCTCGGGCGGATCTCGCTCGGCCGGTTCCCGGACGGCGAAATCAGTTGCAAGATCGAGGAGGACGTCCGCGGCCGCGACGTCTTCCTGATCCAGCCGACCTGCCCGCCGGTCAACGAGAACCTCATGGAGCTTCTCGTGATGATGGACAGTTGCCGCCGCGCCAGCGCCGAGCGGATGACGGCCGTCATCCCCTACTTCGGCTACGCCCGGCAGGACCGCAAGGACGAGGGGCGGGTGCCGATCACCGCGAAGCTGGTCGCGAACCTGATCACCCGCGCCGGCGCGACGCGCGTGCTGACGATGGACCTGCACGCCGCCCAGATCCAGGGCTTCTTCGACGTGCCAGTCGACCACCTCTACGCGGCGCCGGTCCTGAACGAGCACTTCCTGAAGACCGTCCCCGACCTGGACGAGGTCGTGATCGTCAGCCCGGACGAGGGGAGCATCAAACGCGCCCTCGGGCATGCCAAGCGGATCGGCGGATCGGTGGCGATCATCGACAAGCGCCGCGAGAGCGCCACGAAGACCGTCCAGGCGAACATCCTTGGCGGGCCGATCGAGGGCCGCGTCGCCCTGATGTTCGACGACATGATCAGCACCGCCGGCAGCATCCGCGGCGCGGCGCGCGTGCTCCACGACCACGGCGTCAAAGAGATCCACGTCGGCGTGACGCACGCCGTGCTCTGCGGCCCCGCGAAAGAGCGCCTCGAAGAAGCGGAGCTGGCGAGCCTGGTCTGCACCAACTCGATCCCGCTCTCCGTGTCGGAGCGCCCGCCCAACACGACGACGCTCGACGTCGCCCCGCTGCTGGGCGAAGCGATCAAGCGGATTCACCGGAACGAGTCGGTGAGCAAGTTGTTTCGGTAGAGCACGCAATGAGCAGCAAGTCAGTCCGCGAAGTTATGGCCGACGAGTTGGTGCCGGGAGAAGAGATTCGGGTCGCGGCAGAACTGCAAGTCAAGCCGATTCCGGTCAACCCTGCCGAATACCACTTCGACTATGAGTTTGAATTGGTACAAGAAGCAGACGAGACACACGAAGCCGTAAGCTTGCGTGTCGTTGGCAATGGCCTTTGGGATAAGCTGGAAGAGGTAGCTCCACCAACTGGCGGTGGGCACCTTGTGTTCTGCCAAGACGTGACAGCCGCAGGCGTGCTGATCGCCACGGAGGATGGAAGTGTCGAATTCTCGATCCGCAGCCTGAGCTACATGGACGACTACGACGATCGGCTAGTTCAAGTCAGCTTCTAGCCGGGCGCGGGTGCCACTGCTGGCTTGTCCAGCAGTGCGAAGTGGGTACCCGGCGCCCACTGCTGGACGAGCCAGCAGTGGCACAAAATGTAGGCTCACTGGCTCGGTACGACTCGTGTGTCAGGCCGGCTATGACGACACCTCGCCCGCCCCTTTCTTCTCGACACGCACGCGCACGACGCGTTCGATCTCGTCGGCGGACATCCCCTGCTCGGCCAACTCGCGTTTGAAGTCGAGGTCGGCGCGGTGGGCGGCGTACTTACGCGCCTCAGCAGCCACGACGGCGACCATGCCGCTCAAGCCGCCGAAGATCACCATCATGGTCAGGAAGTTGAACGGGATCGGGACCGCCATGATCGACTGGATAGCTTCGCCCACTGTACCTCGCCCTGGATTGGAGACCGTTGTCGCGTTGCCAGACCCTTACTTCGCCCCGCCTGACGCCATCTTGGCACAAATCGCCCCCAAATGGGGGCAAAGGGTTGGCCCAAGTTGGCGCGATTCGGCGACTTTGCCCAGCGCTCGTGTAGGATGAGCGCATGTGGCGTCGGCGTGACTTCCCGGCCCTGGTGCTCAAGAGCGGCCTCTGCACGGAGACCGACCTCGCCGACGCCCTCCGCGGCCTGGACGCGTCGCGCTGGTCGGAACGTGATCGAGTGGCGACCCGCCTCGTCGACCGCGGACTGCTCACGCGTTGGCAGGCGGACAAGTTACTCGAAGGGAAGCACCGTGGCTTCTTCCTCGGGATTGCAAGCTGCTCGGCCCGCTGTGGGGCGGCGAACGCACGCACGAGTACTTGGCGCACCACACGCAACTTGGCGTCGATTGCGTTGTGAAGGTGGCGACACGCAAGCTGCGGTCGGCTCGCGACTACCCCGAGTGCGTCCTGCGGGAGGGGCGCATCGGCCGCAGCCTGGAGCATCCCAACGTCGTCAGACGCTGGGGTTCGGCCCTTCGAAGGACCTTGGGACCGCGGCGGCGACGGCCGACCACATCGCCTACCAGCACGACGGCGGTGTTCCGCTCGACGAAGTGATCCGCTCGCGCGGACAGTTCGATGTCGAAGCAGCCATCGACCTCTTCACGCAAGCAAGTCGCGGATTGCAGCACCTGCACGATCGGGGCTTCCTCCACCTGGATGTGAAGCCGCTGAACCTGCTGCTCACCGCCGACGGCCGGGTCCTCTTGCGGGACTTCCTGTCCGCCTGTCGGCGCCGTGAAGACGGGACCTACGAGGACCCGTGCGACACAAGCGGCGAGCCTTGGTTGACCGCACTCTACGCGCCGCCCGAGGCCGCGCTCGCCCGCGATGAGCTCTCACCGGCCTCGGACGTCTACTCGCTTGATTGCGTCCTCTACGAGCTGCTGGTCGGCCAGCCGCCGTTTCAAGCGGAGCCGGTGGCCGAGCTGCTGCTCCAACACCAGACCGAAGCGCCTCCCGACGTCCGTGTGCGCCGCCCTGAAGTTCCGTTGCCGATCGCCAACGCGATCCACCGGATGCTCTCGAAGCGACCGGAGAAACGTCACGGTTCTGTGGCAGAAGCGGCCGACGCGGTGTGCGGCTCTCGGGACGGCCCGACTTCGCCTTGCTGAGTCCTGCGGCAGCGTCGCGGACAGGTCATGGCAATGCAGCGAGCCCGACGTCGCCGTAGCGACGCCGGGCCCGCCGGTGGAGAGAACCGAGGCTCGGTCCGGGGATCGGTCTTGTCAGCGTCCGCTCAACGACGGCGGGTCGCGACGCCGCACGCGGCGAGCAGGGCGAGCGCCGCCGCCGTCGGCTCCGGCACGACGGCCTGGATCCGAGCGTCGCCGACGTCGGCGCCGGTCAGGTCGGTCGACGCCAGAGCGTTGTCCTGCAGGAAAACTGGGCGAACTCCGACGAGACGACCAGGTCGACCGACAGGTCGAGCAGCGTTTCGCTCTGCTCGGCGAGGCCGGTCACCTGGGTGTCGAACAAGATCGCGCTAACGCCGGTCGTGCTCTCGACGAAGAAGCCGCTGTTGCCATCGACGGCGCGGCCGGCGTCGAAGCCGATCGTGAAGTTGCCGACCTCAACGGTGTCGGTGTTGAAGAAGACCGAGCCGGTGTGCTCGATCGTCCCGCTGAACGTTCCCGCGTTCGGGAAGCTGCCTGGCGTGTAGGCGAACGTGGTCGGCAGCGAGGCGGCGCCACGCGAGTTGATCGGGAAGGCGACCGAGTCGGGCAACACGCCGGCGCCGATGCCTGGCGAGACGCTCGACAAGGTGAGCGACGCGGCCGCGCGCAGCGAGCGTGTCGGTGTCGAGGGCGACGCTCGTGAAGCCGCCGATGACCTCGACCTGAGCCGAGACCGCGGCCGGCGTGACAACGAGCGAAGCAAGCAAGAACAATCGGGTAACCGTCTTCATGGTGATGTCCTTCGAGTTTGACTTGGGTTGGTGGGGCGCCTGGTGCGCGCCGGGAGTTTTAGGGTTCGCGCGCACCCCGAGCTCGACAGACGACGCCGTTTCAAAAAAACGGGGCCGCGAAACGCGGGGCTAACGGGCGAGAAAACAACGCAAAGTGGGTCACCCCCGCCTGTGGCGGGCGACGGCGTCGTGCGGGGCACGACGGGCTCGGCTTCACTAGCGTTTGCGCCTCAAGGGAATCTGGAAGTGGGAGAAGGCTCGGTTCAGCCGCGAGAGGTCGCAGCGTGGTTTTCAAGTTGTGTCACGGTCACGGGGCGTTCCGGCGCCGGGTCGCAGCGATCGACGAGGGCGCTGGCCGGCAGCGCGGGCAGCAACGCGGCGGCCAACGCCACGCCGAGCGCCCAGCGCCCGGCGGTGGCGAGGGCCTCCACTCGCCTCTGCAAACGCCGTGGGGGGATGGCGTCGCGGAGAAACTGGAGTCGCTCCATCGTGATCTGGCACGGGCGGATCCCCGTGAGCTCGGCTTGCGGGTTCAGCTCGCTACGCAGCTCGAGCACCCGCAGCAAGCCGCGGCCGTACTCGACCACGCTGGTTTGCAGGTCGCGTGTGACGGTCAGGTCGACACACCGCTCGACGAGCGATTCGGCCTGGCGCCCCGCCCACCAAACAAGCGGGTTAAACCACCAAACGACGCGCACGGCGGTGTGGAGCATGGCGCCAACGGTGTCGTGACGCGTCGTGTGCACCAGTTCGTGCAGCAGCACCGGACGCAACGTCGCTGGGTTTCGATCGTCGATCAGTCGCTCCGGCAGGATCATGCTCGTCCGCCAGATGCCGGCGACCGCGGGTCCGAGTTCTTCCTGGGAAACCACGACTCGGTTGGGCGCCTTCAAGCCGTACCGCTCGGCGAGGCCCGCGATGTAGCGAACCAAAGGATCGTCGTCGGGCAGCGCGTCACGGCCGAGGATCCGGTCGAGCTGAACGTGTCGTCGCCAGGCGGCCGTCGCGCTGACGACGAACCCGACGGCCCAGACCACGGCAAACGACACGAGCAACCAGCCGAAGCCCGGCGCGGCGGCCGCCCAGTCGACCGCAACCACGCCGGTTTCGTTCACGCCGGCGACGAGCCCCGGCGCTTGGGCCCAACTGAAGAGGCCGAGCGACGACGCGAACAACGGCGGCGTGATCGCCTTAACCGCAGCGACCGTCCAGAGCGCGAGCATCAAGCGCGGCGTTCGAGTCGCCAGCACGCGATGCAACATGCCAACGACCACCAGCAGCAGAGTCACCTGCCCCAGGTGGGTGATGGCGAGGTTCGCCGCCTGCTCGAGGAGCTGATTCAGGTTTGCCATGGCAGCGTGTCCGGCGCGGGTTGGAAGCCGTCTCGAATCGGGTTAGCCCTGGTTGGCGTCGTCCGTGCCGAGGCCATCGGCCTCCATCTCTTCCAGCAGCTTGCGTAGCTCGCTGAGTTCTTCGCCGCTGACGCGGCCTTCGTCGATCAGGTGCTTCATCAGCGAGAACGACTGACCACCGAAGAGGCGGTTGACGAAGTCGTCGACGGTCTCACGGATCACTTGGTTCGGCTTCACCTTGGCGGTGAAGACCTTCACCCGGCCTTCGAGTCGCGACGCGACGTAACCCTTCGCCTCAAGTCGGGCGAGGTAGGTCTGGATCGTCGAGAAGTCGCTGCGATCCGACGCCGGCAGCGCCTCGACAACCTGCCGCGCGGTCGCCGACCCGAGCTCCCAGAGGGTGCGGGCGATACTCGTTTCTCGTTTTGACAGCGACGGCCTCTTTGCCATCACGGCCTCCGCTCGGTTAATCGGGGAGTCGACAGATCTGCCGAAGCGACCTTGCCCGGGCCGCTTCAGCTACATCTGTAGTTTTGTAGCGACATGTGTAGCTACGGCAAGCTTTTTTCTTCTAGATTTCCGCTGGACGGCTCCTGCGGCGGAGTTTCCAAAGAGTTCCGGTCATCAAAGAGTGACCGAGACCGCCCAACGCCTCCTGCGCGCGGTCGTGGGATAATGGCTTCGCGAGCGCCGCCGCGACGTGCTTAAAGCCTTCTCGGGGGGCGACAAAACGCTAACCCGTGACGTGGCAACGAGTTGACGGCCGAAACGCCCCGCTTTTGTCGGGGGGTGGCCGATTTCGCACCCCCGACAAAACCCGGCCGACGGAATCCGACTGGCGCGCGGCGCCTCTCATCCGGCGCATCTTGCCAACGTCGCGGCTTCTGCCGTGGCATGAAGCCTCTCGCAGGGCTTGAAGACGGTTTGAAATCCGTCATACTTCGCGATTCGCGACCGTCTGCGAGCCTCAGTAGGGGGCGGCGGAACGGGACGCGTCCAGACAGTCCACAGCCGGGCCGTGGCGAGTGTGCCGCCGCCCGATCGCGAGCCCGACGACCGAGCCATGGCCGACACGATCACCGTCAAGCGTCGAGAGACCACCGGCAGCCGAGCCAGCCAGCGGCTCCGTGCGGGAGGCCAGATCCCCGTGGTCCTGTACGGCCACAAGGAGGACGCGGTCAGCCTCGCGACCTGTGAGAAGGAACTCATGAAGGTTCTGGCTCACAAGACGAAGGTGCTGAACCTCGACGGCGAAGCGTCCGGCCAGGCGATGGTGCAGGCCCTGCAATGGGACACGTTCCACCGCGACCTGTTGCACGTCGATCTGCTCCGCGTCGACGCGACCGAGCGGGTCCAGACGTCGGTCCCGGTCGAGCTGAAGGGCGAGTCGATCGGTGCCCGCGAGGGCGGCATGATCGAGCAGACCTTGATGTCGGTCGAGATCGAAGCCTCGGCGACAAACCTGCCGGACGTGCTGCACCTGGTCATCGACGAGATGCACCTGGGCGAATCGCTCACGGCCGGCCAGATCGCCGATTTGCCTTCGGGCGCCAAGCTGGTGACCGACCCTGGCACGGTGATCGTCCACTGCGTGAAGCCGGCCGGCGAGCCGGACCTCGACGCGGTCGCCGAGGGCGCCGACTCGCCCGAGGTGATTGCCAAGGGTGGCGAGAAGGAAGAAGAGTCCAAATCGGATGAGTAAGGATTGGCGGGCCGATCGATGAAGGTCGTCGTCGGGCTCGGCAATCCCGGGAAGAAGTACGAGGGCACGAGGCACAACGTCGGCTTCGACACGCTGCGGCTGCTGGCCGAACAGTGGTCGGCCGAGACGCCGAAGGCCAAGTTTGAGAGCTACGTCGCGGAAGCGTCCATCGGCCGCCCCGAGAGCGGCCCGGAGCGGACGCTGCTGGTGTGGCCTCAGACTTACATGAACAACAGCGGCCTGGCGGTTCGCCAGGCGATGAGTTTTTACAAGGCGCCGCTGGAGGATTTGCTCGTCATCTGCGATGATTTTCACCTCGACGTCGGCCGTTTGCGGCTGCGGACGAAGGGGTCTTCGGGCGGCCAAAACGGCCTGAAGGACATCGCGAGGCAGCTCGGCGGCGAGGAGTACAACCGTCTGCGGATCGGCGTCGGGCCGGTCCCGGGCGAGCGCAACCCGGCGGACTTCGTCCTGGGACGATTCGGCGGCAAGGAGCGCGAGCTGGTCGACGTGGCGATCGCCGACGCCGCCGCCGCGACCGCTTGCTGGGCGACCGAGGGCGTGACCGCTGCGATGAATCAGTTCAACGGCGTTGGCGGCTGAGAGCCGCCCGCGACCGGATCACGAGTTACCGCGAAACAACCACAGCTTCCCGGCGCCGCTTCGACGGCGTCACCAACGAGGGCGATTCCTTGGCACAGAACACTTACGAAGGCCTGTTCATCTTCGACGCGAACAAGTTCGCGCGCGACCACGACGCGTTGCCTAAGGCAGTCGAAGAGATGATCACCTCCGAAGGAGGCGAGGTCGTCGTCAGCCGCCTCTGGGAAGAGCGTCGGCTCGCTTACGCGATCAAGGGCCAGCGGAAGGGCGCCTACTGGCTGATCTACTTCCGCCAAGACGGCGAGAAGATCACCGCGCTGAACCGCGCCTGCGAGCTGCAGAGCGGCCTGTTGCGGCACCTCGTGCTGAAGATCCACCCGCGTCTGGTCGAGCCGATCCTCGAGCACGCCGCCGGCCAGCCCGAGGTCGAAGCTCCGGCCGAGGGCGAAGCCGCTCCCGCCGAGCCGGCCGCCGCCGCCCCGGCTGAGTAAGCCCCAACTAGCGCCCAGCGCCTCCCAGCTTGCGTTCCTACACCGACGCCTGAACCGCCATGGCTAGTTACAACCGCGTCGTCTTGGTCGGCAACCTGACCCGGGACCCCGAGCTGCGGTACATCCCGAGCGGCACGGCCGTCTCGGAGATTGGCTTGGCGGTGAACGACCGCGTCAAGAAGGGCGACCAATGGGTCGACGAGACGACGTTCGTCGACGTCACGCTCTGGGCCCGCACGGCCGAGGTCGCCAACCAGTACCTGACAAAGGGCTCGTCCGTGCTGATTGAGGGCCGGCTGAAGCTCGACCAGTGGGAAAAGGACGGTCAGAAGCGGTCGAAGCTCCGCGTCGTGGCCGACAAGATGCAGATGCTGGGCGGTCGCGGCGAAGGGGGCGGCGGCCCGCGTGGAACGCGTGGCCCGGCCCGCCAAGACTCGTACGACGAATACGGCAGCGCCCCCGCGGGCGACAGCTACTCGGCCCCCGCCCCGGCGGCCCCCCCCGAAGACGACATTCCATTCTGAGCTGTTGGCTGTTGGCCGTTGGCGATTAGCTGACGACTGACTCCCCTACAGCGAACGACCAATAGCGAACGGCTCCCGATGCCCACCCAACACAAGAAGCTCAAGCGTCGCCCCACCCGCGCCAAGCGTTTGCCTCGCGGCGAGCATGGCGGCGTCGAGCTGCTGCTGATCCAGTCGGTCGAGAATCTCGGCAAGCAAGGCGAAGTGGTCGAGGTGAAGAAGGGCTACGCCCTGAACTACCTCCTGCCAGAGGGCCTCGCGACGTTCGCCACCGAGCATCACAAGCGGATGGTGGAGAAGCACAAGGCGAAGCTGGCCGAGATCGAGAAGCAGCGCCAGTCGGACCTCCGCAAGCAGGCGGCCGAGATCGCCAAGCAGAGCGTCACGATCGAGGCCAAGGCGACCGAGGAGGGCCACCTCTACGGCAGCGTCGGCGCCCCGGAGATCGTCGCGGCGCTGAAGAAGAACAACGTCACGCTCGCCGCGGAGCAGATCAAGCTCGAGGGCGTGCTGAAGGAGCTGGGCCTCTACACCGTCAAGATCCGCTTCTCGAGCGAGGTCGAGGGCGAGCTGAAGGTGTGGGTCGTGCCGGCCGTCGGCGACGAGAAGTAACGCCAGTCACCAGCGACGTTTACAACGACGAGGCAGTCGTCCCCGCGGGGCGGCTGCCTCCGTCTTTGCGATAGCGCGACGCGACCCACGCGTCGCACGCCGGGCCCCGAAGGAGCGAACCCGATGGCCACCGCCGACCTGTCGACCCGCGCCGACGCCCCTCACCGCCAAGGCGGTGGCGAGCCGATCCTCGAGCGGCAGTTGCCGCAGAGCCTCGAGGCGGAGAAGGCGGTCATCTGCAGCCTGCTGCTGCTTCCCGAGTCGGCCGACGAGGTCGCCCTGGCGGTCCGGCCGGACGACTTCTTCGACGACTCGAACCGTCGCATCTACGGCCACCTGACCGAGATGCACGACGAGGGCATCGCGGCCGACGCGATGCTGCTCATCCAGCGGCTGAAGGACGCCGGCGAGTACGAAGCGGTCGGCGGCGCCGCCTACCTCGCCGAGCTGAGCGAAGCCGTCGCCACGGCCGCCCACGCGGAGTACTACGCGAAGATCGTCCGCGAGAAGGCGACGCTCCGCGGGCTGATCGAGGCCAGCACCGACATCCTCCGCGACGCGTACGACCCCACGGTCGAGGCGAGGCCGCTGCTGAGCCGCGCTGAAGAACGGGTCTTCGGCATCCTTGAGACAGGAGGCCAAGGCCAGGTCTCGAATATCCGCGACGTCTTGCACGAGGCGATTGCGCGGATCGACGCGCGGATGAAGCACGACCACGCCTTCGGAGGCTTGGAGACCGGCTTCGACGACTTCGACGAGCTCACGGGAGGCCTGCACGGCTCGGAGCTGTTGATCCTGGCGGCCCGGCCCTCGATGGGCAAAACGGCGCTTGCGATGAACGTCGTCGAGCACGTCGCGATCGACTGCCAGCAGCCGACGCTCTTCGTGAGCCTCGAAATGTCGTCGCTCGAACTGGGCGACCGCTTGCTCTGCTCGCGCGCGCAGGTGAACGGCCACCGCCTCCGCAACGGGCAGATCACGCCCGAGGAGAGCCAGAAGCTGATCCGCACCGCGGCCGAGGTGAGCACCGCGCCGCTGTACATCGACGACTCGCCGAGCCGGACGATGACCGAGATCGCCGCCGCTGCGCGACGGCTGAAGCGGCGCGACGGGCTCGCGTTGATCGCGATCGACTACCTGCAGCTCATCGAGCCCGACAACTCCCGCGACCCGCGGCAGGAGCAAGTCGCCAAGATCGCTCGCCGCCTCAAGGGGCTAGCACGCGAGCTCGAGGTGCCGGTGCTCTGCCTCGCGCAGCTCAACCGCCAGGTGGAGGCCTCGCGCGACAACAAGCCGCAGCTCAGCAACCTGCGTGAGTCGGGCGCCATCGAACAGGACGCCGACGTGGTGATGTTCGTCCACCGCGAGGAGTACTACGCCTCGAACGACGAGGATCGCGAGCGGGTGAAGGGCGAGGCGGACCTTCTGATCCGCAAGCAGCGCAACGGCCCGGTCGGCGACGTGAAGCTGACGTGGCTGCACGACTTCACGCGGTTCACCAACCGGGCCCCTCAGCAGTACGACGAGTTCTCCGGCGACCCGGGAATCCCGCCCGGCGAAGGCGGCGGCTGGTAGCGGCGGCCGCGGCGCCAGCATCGCCGGAAGCCGATCCCTTCGCCGGTCGCCTGGGCTTGCGTCGGCAGCCACATCTGGGTTGCTCCCCTCGGGGGGTTTCTCTACTTCTACGCGGCCAATCTGCCCGCGACGGCTGTCGCCGCTGCGCGGGGTGTCTACGCCTGAAGAGGCGAAAGACGCCTCACGGAGTCGTCGACAGCCACGGCGAGTTTGCTCATCGAAGCCCCGCGACCCGCGATGCCGCAACAACGCTACCGCTCAAAACCCCCAATGGCCGCGACCCGCCGCGCGCTGGCGATGACGACGCTCGTGGGCGTCGTGTCGATCGCCGTTCCCGCGTGGAGCCAGGGCCCGCGCTCGCCCGGAGCGGGGTTCAATGGCTCACCGGCGGCACGGCCGACGGTGCCCGTCGCGCGGCCCGCCGCGACCGGCGGTTTGTCGGAGTTCGCCACGGACGAGGTGGTCGCGGACATCCAGATCCGAGGCAACGCGACCGTGCCCGCCTCGCGGATCACGGGACAGATGCAAACACGCGTCGGTCGTCCGTACGACCCACGGGCGCTGGCCGCGGACATCAAGAAGCTCGCTTCGCTGCCATACTTCGTCACGGTACGGCCCCTGACGCGGAAGAACGAGACCGGGCGGGTCATCGTGCTGGAGGTCGTCGAGCGACGAACCCTGCGGTACGTGGAGTACCTGGGCAACGAACGTCTCAAGGACAAGAAGCTCGCCGAGGCGACCGGCCTGGAGGTCGGCGGCGCCGTCGACCCGTACGCGGTCGAAGAAGGCCGGCGGAAGATCGAGGCGCTCTACCGCGAGAACGGCTTCGCCCGAGCCGTGGTCTCGATCGTGGAGGGCTCCAAGCCCACCGACAAGGGCGTCACCTACAGCGTCCACGAGGGGCCTCAGGAACAGGTCGGCGGCATCGAGTTCGAGGGCAACACGTTCGCCTCGGACGGCCAACTGAAGAACAAGATCAAATCGAACCCGAACATCTTCCTGCGGATGTTCGGCTCGAAGCTCAAGCGAGACGAGCTCGAGGCAGACCTCGACCGTTTGACGAACTACTACCGTTCGTTCGGCTTCTTCCAGGCGCGGGTCGGCCGCTCGGTCACGCTCAACGACAAAGGCACGAGCGCCAAGATCCGTTTCGCGATCCACGAAGGCCCGCGCTACGCGGTCCGCAACGTCACGTTCAACGGCGTGGAGAAATTCCCCGAGACCGAGCTGCGCAACGGCCTGCAACTCAACTCGGGCGAGTACTTCGAGCGGGCCAAGGCCTCGACCGACGTCGGCTGGCTCCGCGACCTGTACGGCAGCCGCGGGTACGTGTTCGCCGACATCCAGGCGGAGACGGTGTTCCTCGAGGAGCCGGGCAAGATCGACCTGGTGTACAACGTCGAGGAAGGCGAACGCTGGCGTGTCGGCAAGGTGTTCGTGAACATCAACGGGGAGGGCTCGCACACGCGGATCCAGACCGCGCTCAACCGGATCGGCCTGCGGCCGGGCGACGTGCTCGACACGCGCAAACTCCGCGACAGCGAACGGCGCCTCCGCTCGAGCACTATCTTCAACACCAACCCGACGCAGGGCGCGCCGCCCAAGATCACCTACGAGGCGTCGCAGCAGACCAGGGAACGGCTCGCCGCCGAGGCGGAAGCCGAAGAGCGGGCGCGCGGCGGCGTCTTCCGCGGGCAGAACCCCGGGCCGAGCGCCCAGCGCCACACGGCCTACAAGCCGCCCTACTCCGAACCGGTGCGTCCGTCCGCCTATCAGATCGAGCAGTCGTACGCGAACACACCTGAGTCGGCGTTGATCCAGAGCGGGACGCCGTTTGCCAACCCGGGCCCGGTCGAGAACAACCGCTACGGCGGAACGCCGGTGGGCCCCACAAGCCCCGGAGCCGCCCCCGTGGGGTACGCGTTCGGGGGCCCACCGCAGCCAGCCGCCGCGACCGCGCAGCAGTTGGGCTCAACGCCACCCCAACCGGGAGGCGTCGCTCCCGTGCAGTACAACGCCCCGGGCATCGGCGCTCCGCCGCCGCCCGTGCCGGTCAACACGCAGATCTTTCCGATGCAGGTCTACGCGCCGACGCCGGTTCCCAACCCGAACGACCCGTTCGCGGACCTCTACGTGAACCTTGAGGAAACCCAGACCGGCCGGTTCATGATCGGCGCCGCGGTGAACTCCGACGCGGGTCTGGTCGGCCAAATCCTGCTCGACGAACGGAACTTCGACTGGCGGCGCGTGCCCACAAGCTGGCGTGACTTCGCCGACGGCACGGCGTTCCGCGGCGGAGGCCAGCGTTTCCGGCTGGAAGCGGCGCCCGGCACCGAGGTCCAGCGCTACGTCGCCAGCTGGCAGCAGCCCTACCTATTCGACACGCCGGTCAGCCTCAGCCTTTCGGGCAACTACTACGACCGCCGCTTCGACGACTGGGACGAACGCCGCCTCGGCGGGCGTATCGGGCTGGGCTACCAGTGGCTCGACCGCGACCTGTCGGGGTCGCTGACCTACCGCGGCGAGAACGTGAAAATCACGCGGCTCGCCGCCTCGATCCCCGAGTACGACGAGGTCGCCGGCGACAACGCGCTGCACGGTTTCGGCATCCGGCTTGTCAACGACACGCGAGACAACCCGTTCTTGGCCACCGAGGGCTACTACTTCGCCGGGACCGTTGAACAGGTCATCGGAGCGTTCGACTACGCCCGCGCCGAGTTCGACGCCCGGACCTACTACCTGCTCAGCGAGAGACCCGACCACACCGGGCGCCACGTGATCAACTACCAAGCGAGGCTTGGCTTTACGGACTCGCACACGCCGGTGTACGACCGGTTCTACGCCGGCGGCTTCTCAACCCTGCGCGGCTTCGACTTCCGTGGCGCCTCGCCGATGCGCACCAATGGCGGCGCGATCGCGCCCGTCGAGGTCGGCGGCACGTTCATGTTCCTGAACACGCTTGAGTACATGTTCCCGATCACGGCGGACGACATGATCAACGGCGTGTTGTTTGTCGATCACGGCACCGTGAACGAGAACGTGTCGCTCAACAACTATCGAGTGGCTCCCGGCGTCGGCCTGAGGATCACCATCCCAGCGATGGGCCCGGCGCCGATCGCGCTCGACTTCGCCTTCCCCGTCGCCGAAGCGGGAACCGACGACAAGCAGGTCTTCACCTTCAACGTCGGATTCCAGCGCTAGCCGGTCGCCCCGGAAGAACGGGGAAACGACTCAATACCGGCGGTGAGTAGCCCAGCGAACGAGCTCGCCGTTGTAGTCGCGGTGCCAGGCGACACGCGGGTGGTACCGCTCGGCGCCGAACCAACCCCAACGGAACGTGGGGGCGAGGTGCGCGTGGTTCACGTGACCGGCGTAGGGGGCGACGGCGGGATTCACGGTCATGTCGACCGGCGAGTGCGTGTAGGCCTCGGCGAAGCCGAGCGAGCACAGAGCGTAAACCGCAGCGACCCCAAGCAGACAGGACCTGCGGCGGCGTGAGATCGAATGCATCGCTAGCTCCTGCTCGCGACCGACCAGGCATTGGTCGACCTTAACGATTGTGTCGTCCCGGTCAGCCTGACGACTTGCGGCTACTCGTGTCGTTTAAGCAACACCCGTGCTGGCGCCAGCACGCCCGAACGAGTTCTCGGTTCGTGGTGTCCGAGCCAAGAACCCTGGCGTCGCGCCGTTCGTAGACGAATCGAGCGCCCGGGGACCGGGCCGACTTGTCTCGCGGCCACGGAGGTGAATCATGCCCGTCAGTCTCGTTCATTCGCTCCGTGGCACGCTTCTCGTGACGGTGATGGCGGCGCCGTCGGTCGCCGTCGAGCTGCCGGATCTCGAGATCGGTGGCTTCGACACGAAGACCCCGGAGGTCGCGTTCGACGTGCCGAGATCGCTCGAATGCCGGGACGTCACAACGCCAGAATTCCAGGCCGCCAATCCCGAGAAGCGGCTCGTTGAGATCGAGGCGCCGGTGTCGCTGCTCTTGTACCACGGCGAGGCGAACCGCGTCCGAGACCTCGTGATCGAGATCGACGGCGGCGAGGAGCTGACCGTCCACGACTACACGCCGCGGACCGCGCTCACGAGCGAGCTCGCCGAGCCGATCGAGGTCCGTCGGTCGACCTCGACCGACAAGTCGATCGGCGCCTCGCTGGGAGGCAAACTCGCGGGCGACGTCGCGCTCACCCCGACCATCTCCGGCGCTCATGGCAGGACCGAGTCTTCGACCGAGACGCGTCACAAACTGCCTCCGAAGCAGGCGGTTGTCGTGAGCGGGACGATCGGCGGCCGCCGCGGCGTGTTCTACAAGCTGCGGTCGTCGTCGCAGTCGACGCTGGAAGGCGAGCGGACGTTCCGGGTCACCTTCGTCGCCCCGGCCGAATGGGACGGCGGGTCGGTCGAGGTCCGCTGCGTCGCCCGGGGGCAACGCAAGTGGCTCTTCGTCGAGCAACGCCGCGTCTGGAACGAGTTGGCCCGGCCGGTCGAGCTGCGGCTCGTCAGCCACACCGTCGCGAAGCCCACGGCCGAAGACCTCGAAGCCGACGAGTAACCCGCACTCGGTTGTGCCGCAATCGAGATCAGCGACACTCGTGGCATGGCCCGCATCCGCTTCGCCATCGCCGCGCTGCTGCTCGTCGCCTCGGGGTGTGCGGATCGCCCCATCGAGCGCGACGACCGCGAAGAGGTCGTCTTCTGGCACTTCTGGGGCGGCCGAGACCTGCCGGTCGTCGAGGACGTCATCCGGCGGTTCAACGCGAGTCAGTCCCGCTACCGGGTGCGAGGCGTCGCGATGCCGGGGGCGAATCTCGACCTCAAGCTCTTCCTGAGCATCGCCGGCGGCGACCCGCCCGACGTGATGAATCACGACGACCCGGTCGTGGCAGACTGGGCGCACCGCGGCGCCCTGACGCCGCTTGACGAATTGGCGTCGACTGGTGAGATCGAAAGGCTACGCAACTGGCTGTACCCGGCGGCAGCGCAACTCGGCAGTTACGACGGGCGGTTGTTTGCGCTCGTTAACGGCCTCGACATCCGGGCCCTCTACTACAACAAGACAGCGCTGCGTGAGGCGGGGCTACCGGGACTTGCGCAGTCGGGTCCCAGCACGATTGCCGACCTCGAACGCCTCGCAAACGCCGTGGCTCCGGCGACAACCGATCGCCTTGAGCGCGTCGGCTATTTGCCTGATCCACGCCGGCTGTGGGCGTGGGGCGTCGTGTTCGGAGGCAGCTTCGGCGACCCGAACGCCGAGGCGCTCGATCAACGAGTCACCGCTGACGACTCCAACGTCCTCAACGCTTTGCGCTGGATGAAGAGCTACGCCGATCGCTACGGCGCCGACCGAGTCGCCGCGTTCCGCAGCGGCGACCAGGCGCTCACCGGCGCCTCGTTCCCATTGCTTGCCGACCGGCGTTATGCGGCGATGATGGATGGTCAATGGCGTGTGCGCGACCTCGCCGAGGCGACAACCGAAGCCCAACTTCGCAACAAGCCGATCGACGAGTTCGGCGTTCGCCCCCTACCGATACCTCCCGGGGGGGCCGAACGCGCCGGCTGGGTGAACGGCAACTTCTTCATCGTGCCACGTGGCGCTCGCAACGCGACCGGCGCTTGGGAGTTCATGAAGTTCTGGTCGGGATTCGACGGCAACGAGCGCGACGCCGCCGTCACCGCCGCCGCCGGAGGATGGATCCCCGCGAGTGATCGCGTCGTCGCCGAGGAGCCGTTCCAAACGTTCCTGTCGGCGCGCCCGTTGTTCCGCGTCTTCGTCGAACTGGCTTCGAGCGCCAACCAGGCGCCCACACCCGCCCTGCCAGTCGCCTCGGCCTACTACCGCGAGGTGGTCGCGGCGGCGCAGGACGTGATGTACCGTGGGGTCGATCCCGAGGCGCGACTCCGCCAGGCCGCGCAACGGACGCGGAAGCGGCTGGCCGCCGCCGCGGAATGAGGCGTCACCGGAGCAATCAATCGTGCCGCGCTGGTACAGCCATCTGCCGCTGCTGATCGTCACAGCCGCGCTCGCCGGGCCGCTCCTGTGGATGGCTGGAGCCTCGCTCAAGAGCGGCACTGAGTACGCCGCGGCGCCGCAGCGGATGCTCCCGCTTGCTCCCAGACCGGCGAACTACGCCGACGCTCTCGACGCGATGCCGTTCTGGCAATGCCTCGGCAACACGCTGGTGCTCTGCGCAGGCTCGGTTGTCGGAACCCTCGTTTCCTGCTCGACCGCGGCTTACGCCTTCGGACGGCTCCGTTGGCCAGGGCGTGATCTCGTGTTCGGTCTCGTCATCGCGACGATGCTCGTGCCGTGGCAGGCGACGATGATTCCCAAGTTTCTGCTGATCCGCGAGCTCGGGCTCTACAACACGCTATCGGCGCTCGTGGCTCCTAAGTTCCTAGGCGACGCGTTCTCGATCTTCCTGCTCAGGCAGTTCTTCCGAGCCGTGCCGCAAGAACTGACCGACGCCGCGCGGATCGACGGCTGCCGTGAGTGGGGCGTCTTCTGGCGGGTCGTCCTGCCACTGAGCACGCCGGCGCTCGTCACCGTCGCCCTGTTCCAGTTCGTTGACGCCTGGAATGACTATGGCGGGCCCTTGCTCTACCTGAGCGACCCTGCCAAGTTCCCGCTCACCTATGGGCTGGAGCGCTTCGTCAGCTCGCGCTCGAGCGAGACCCACCTGCTGATGGCGGCCGCCGTGCTGTTCACGGCACCGATCGTCGTGGCTTTCCTTGCCGCCCAGAAGGCCTTCATCCGCGGCGTCACGACGACGGGACTGAAGGAGTGAGACAGACGACCGGGCGGCTCGCGAAAAGTAAGCCAGCCCTTCGCAGGCGCCCTTTGCGTAGCCAGCAGTCGGCTACTTCTTGCGGTGGCGGATCTTGGCCCGCATGCGGCGCTTCTTGCGGCCCTGCTTGCGACGACCTTTGCCTGACTTCTTCGTGCCCAAACCTAGACCCGCTCTGATTGATCCGGCGGCCGTTTCGCCGCCTTCGAGTGATACAGGGCTGCCGATCGACTAGCCCGCAGCTCCGCAGAATAGCAGCCGGCGAGCCCGCTTCGCAAGGCCCTGACCGCTCGCGGTCGCCGATTGCCAGGCTCGCTAGGCCTCGCCCATCTGCTGATTTATCCAGGCCTCAAGCTCCGCCAGGTCGACTTCGGGGGGCGACTCCAGGTCGGGTCGCAGCCGCTCGGCGCCGCGCGCGTAGACGTGATGCACCTCGTCAGCCGGCTTGTCGGTATTCCAGTGCAAGAGCACCCGGATGCAGAGCGGCAGGGACCCGGGCACCTCGATCTCGTACCCACACAGCAGTGGCACATCGGCCCATCCGAGCTGTCGGGCCGCCAGGGCCGGAAACTCGGCGTCGATGTCACGCGTCACCGTGAAAATCACGCTCGCGATGTCGGCTCGATCGATCGCGTTGCGGCGGATCAACAGCGCCAGCAGCTCCCGCGTCGCGGTGAGGATCGCCTCCCGCTCGTTGGCGTCGACCGTCGTGGCGCCTCGGATTCCGCGGCAAGGCATGGGTGGTCCGAACGTACTGAGAGCCCGCTTGGTAATCGCCGTGAGTCATCGGCTCGGCAGAGGTCCCAACAGCTTAGCGACGGGCGGCCCGGATCGGTAGCAGCGACAGCTCTTCGGATCACGGAGAACTTGCCGGTTCTGTGTACAAAGAGGCCCCGTCATTCACTAGTCTCTGGGTTCCGACACGCGCCTCTGCCACGTCCTTATCGCATCAACAACGTCCCTCGACCGCCCCACATCAGCGCCATGAGTTTCCGCACGTCAGCAACCCGTCGCCTGCAGTTTGAATCCCTGGAGTCGAAGCAGGTCCTCGCGGGCGATGTCACAGTCTTCCTCGCCGGCGGCTCTCTGTTCGTTACCGGGGACGCGGACGCGAACCAGGTCAGCATCGCCTCGGGGGCGACGGACGGCTCGGTCGTCATCACCGCGAACGACAACGAGAACCTGGTCGACCGGACCGGCGCGGTCATCGGCGGGGCGGGAATGCCTGTCGAGCTGGATGGTTTTCGTGGCAACGTGATCCTCCGCTTGGGGGATGGCGACGACAACGTCGGGATCAACGACCTCGTCGTTCCACGCTCAGTCCGAGCCGACATGGGCGCCGGCGACGACACGCTCGGCATCGGCAGCATCGAGGACGCGGACCCGGGCGAGGTCTCCGCCGACATCGGCGGCAGCGTGGTTGTGTTCGACCGCGTCGGCGACAACACGTTCACGATCGGGGACGCCCGCGTCCGAGCGAACCTCTACGTCGCCGCCGGAGCGGGCGACGACGAGGTCAACCTGGGGCTGTTTGACCCCGTCGACGCCAACCCAGAGACGACCCTCGAGGTCGGCGGATTCGCCCTGGTCCGCCTCGGAGCCGGCGCCGCAAACGACGTCCGGGCGGGGTCGGTGACCGCACGCGACCTGCGCCTGCTGGGCTCAACCGGCGTCGACACCGTTGCCGCCGAAGACCTGACCCTGAGGAGCCTCTTCTTTAGCGGCGCTGGCGGAAACGACGCCCTGACCGTCGCGAACGTGACGACAACCGGAAACGTCTTCGCCCGCGGGGGCGCCGGCGACGACGACATCACCATCACGGACGCCACGACTCGCATCGCCCGGTTGATCGGCGACACGGGAGTCGACGAGTTCGACCTCGAGGACGTGGACGTAGCCATCACGCTGATCGTCAACGGCGGCGGGGGCGCCGCAGCCGAAGACTTCAACCTCGACAACGTCAACGCACGCAACCTCCTGATCATCGCCGGCGCTGACGCCGTCGGTGACAACATCGTTGTGGCCAACTCGATGGCCGCGACGAATCGGTTGTTGCGTATCGTCGCCGGTCGCGGAAACGACACCGTCGAGGTTCGCGACTCCGCCTTCGCAACCCTGCTGAACGTGCGGCTCGGCTCCGGCGACGACGACCTGACGATCGACACCGTCGATGGCGCCCGGGGCTTGCTCGACGGCGGTCCCGGCACGGACATGCTGACGGAAACCGCGAACATGATCGCCCTCTCGCAGACGGTCCGCTTCGAGACCTAGGCGCCTTCTCCGCCGCGACGGCGAGAAGCCCCGTCACCGAGAAGATAGACGGCCTGCGTCGCCCTTGCGGCCGTTTGAGGCCGGCGAGGAAGCGGGACACGGAGTTTTCCTGCTGGAGTCGTTGACAGCAGCCTGCCGAAGGTTAAGATTCCGCTCCCGATCGAGACGGCGGCCACCGAGCGACGCTCAGCGGCCCGTCCGAAAAAGCTCCCCGAGGCCCTTGACGGCCTCACTGGGATCGGGAATATTGGGGGGCTCGCGACGAAATCGGCCTTCGGGCAGGGGACGTCGCGGCAGAGAACGATCTTTGACAATCTGGTGAGTGACCTCCTTTTAGTCAGCCAAGGCTGTATTAACTACAGGCTTGGTTGGTGGGTCGGTTGCGACGCATTTGCTGTCGGGCAATCGGCGTCGAGACTTCGTTCTCGGCGGCGGCTCGGTTGGCGATGAAGAGCGGTCGGCTCACAAACCAGACCAACGAAGAAGTAAGTAGCCACTCAAGCTACTTCGATAATGGCTCGTTAGTCGCGGTCGGGTCTTCGGACACGGCGGCGGTTGATGCATACATCAATTGAAGGGTTTGATCCTGGCTCAGAATGAACGTTGGCGGCATGGATTAGGCATGCAAGTCGAGCGAGAAGGGTTTTTTGCTTGCATTAAACCTGGACAGCGGCGCAAGGGTGAGTAACGCGTAGTTACCTACCCCCGGGTCCGGAATAGCCACGGGAAACTGTGGGTAATACCGGATAACATCTCAGGATCAAAGGTGTGATTCCGCCCGGGGAGGGGACTGCGTCCTACTAGCTTGTTGGTGGGGTAACGGCCTACCAAGGCTCCGATGGGTAGCGGGCGTGAGAGCGTGGCCCGTCACACTGGGACTGAGACACTGCCCAGACACCTACGGGTGGCTGCAGTCGAGAATCTTCGGCAATGGGCGAAAGCCTGACCGAGCAATGCCGCGTGCGGGATGAAGGCCCTCGGGTTGTAAACCGCGAAAGTGAGGAGGAAGGGCCCGTGAAGAGCGGGTCTTGACCGATCCACAGTAAGGACGGGCTAAGTTCGTGCCAGCAGCCGCGGTAACACGAACCGTCCAAACGTTATTCGGAATCATTGGGCTTAAAGGGTGCGTAGGCGGCGCGTTAAGTCGGGTGTGAAATTCTTCGGCCCAACCGAAGAACTGCGCCCGATACTGGCGTGCTCGAGGGAGACAGGGGTGAGCGGAACTGATGGTGGAGCGGTGAAATGCGTTGATATCATCAGGAACACCGGTGGCGAAAGCGGCTCACTGGGTCTCTTCTGACGCTGAGGCACGAAAGCCAGGGTAGCGAACGGGATTAGATACCCCGGTAGTCCTGGCTGTAAACGTTGAGCACTGGGTCGAGGACTCCCCCATAAGTTCTCGGCCGTAGCGAAAGTGTTAAGTGCTCCGCCTGGGGAGTATGGTCGCAAGGCTGAAACTCAAAGGAATTGACGGGGGCTCACACAAGCGGTGGAGGATGTGGCTTAATTCGAGGCTACGCGAAGAACCTTATCCAAGCCTTGACATGTACGGATGCTGCCTGTGAAAGCAGGTTCGTTGCCTTCGGGTGAAACGTACACAGGTGCTGCATGGCTGTCGTCAGCTCGTGTCGTGAGATGTCGGGTTAAGTCCCTTAACGAGCGAAACCCTTGTCTCTAGTTGCCAGCGCGTTATGGCGGGGACTCTAGAGAGACTGCCGGTGTTAAACCGGAGGAAGGTGGGGATGACGTCAAGTCCTCATGGCCTTTATGGCTTGGGCTGCACACGTCCTACAATGGTGCGTACAGAGGGAAGCAAACCCGCGAGGGCAAGCAAATCCCACAAAGCGTACCCCAGTTCGGATTGCAGGCTGCAACTCGCCTGCATGAAGCCGGAATCGCTAGTAATCGTGGGTCAGCATACCACGGTGAATATGTTCCTGAGCCTTGTACACACCGCCCGTCAAGCCACGAAAGTGGGGGGGGCCTAAAGTCGCTGAGCTAACTTCGGAAGCAGGCGCCTAGGGTCAACTCCGCGATTGGGACTAAGTCGTAACAAGGTAGCCGTAGGGGAACCTGCGGCTGGATCACCTCCTTTCTAAGGATTCTTAGACTGCTGCTCTGGTGACAGAACAGCAGAACAATGGGGCGGCTCTTGGTCTGACTGAGAAGGTCACAGACAGCGTTTCAGGGAACTCCGTTCCCCGACACGCCGAGCTGTAAACTCACCTGATTGACACTGATAAGCCCGGCGTTGGGATTAGCCTCCCGACGCCGGGCTTTGTTTGCGCTCCCCGCAGGCGCCCTCTGTCGCGCGAACCTACTCGGACTGGCGGTGCTCAGACGGTGTGGCCGAGACACGCCATTGTGCCCCGAGAGTTCGAGATGATACGACCAACGACTGCCGCAGATCGCCCGGCGTTGTGCGACCTCCTGGTGGCGACCAAGCTCTTCGGCGATGACGAGCTCGAGCCGGTAATGGATATGCTCGACTCCCACCTCGACGGGGGAGACGATGCGGGTCATCGCTGGTTGACCAACGACGTGGAAGGGCCCGTCGGCGTCGCCTACTGTGCTCCCGAGACCATGGCCGAAGGGACCTGGAACCTCTACCTGCTCGCGGTCCACCCCGACCAGCAGGGCAGGGGGCACGGCGCCGCGCTGGTCCGTCACGTCGAAGAGTCACTCTCCGCCGGTGACGCCCGCCTTCTGCTCATCGAGACCTCGGCGCTCCCCCAGTTCGATCGCGCCCGCTCGTTCTACGAACGCCTCGGCTTCGAACGGGAAGCGGCGATCCGCGACTTCTACGCAGCCGGCGACGACAAGATCATCTATCGCAAGGCCCTGCTGTAACCTCTTCCGGTTGTTGCCTTTCTGGCCAGCCAAACGCAGTTGCGGCATTGCGCACAGGAGCCGCGATGGTGCGGTTAAGCGCACCGAGCCAACCTGACTCCTGCGGACTGCGTAGACCTAGTGAGCCCGTCGCGGCACGCATTTCCCGTGTCGGGCTCCGCAGAACCGGCCTGATTGGCGTAAGGCGACCCCGCAGCGGGGGCGATTGTACGGAACGGCGCGCCGCCCGGCCTCGGGCGGCCAGCGAGGGGGAACACTTCAGAATGCTCGGCTCCGGCGCAAGACGGTGGCTTGTCGGCGGCGCGATCGCAATGGCGGTCGCGGCTCTGTCGGGCTCCGCGCCGACCGAGGACCCGCTGGCCGCGTCGCCCGTCGCCGAGGCGGCGCCTCTGGCGACGATCGGCCCCACCGCCCGGGTCACCGAGGAGCTCTCGGGGGTCGAGTTCCACGCCCGCGTCGACACCGGCGCCGCGGTCAGCTCGATCCACTGCGGCCCCGACGACTTCGTCATCGAGGGCGGCTCGGACGACCCCTGGCAGAACATCGACAAGCCGGCCCGGCTCCGCCTGGCGAACGCCGACGGCCACGAGGCCTGGGTCGACACGGAGATCGACGACTACGTCGAGGTCCGCAGCGCCAACGGCGCCGAGCACCGCTACCGCATCCGCCTGCCGCTCCGCTGCCGCGGCGTCCGCAAGCGCACGATCGTTAACCTGAACGATCGCTCGCGGATGACCTACCGCCTGCTGCTCGGCCGCGACTTCCTGTCGGGCAACTTCGTCGTCGACGTCTCGCGTCCCTGCGAGGCCTCCCCGACCAGCGTCGCGTCGCTCTAAGCTGAGCGGATGAAGATCGCGACTCCCGCGCCGGTCATGCTCGTCCTCGGCCTCGTGGCGGGGATGGTCCTCTCGCGTTCGGATCGCCCGGAACGACTGCCGACGCTCGGCGCGACGGCTCTCGTCACCGAGACCCAGACCGGCGTGCGGCTCACGGGCCGCGTCGACACGGGCGCCGAGGTCACCTCGGTCCACTGCCCGCCCGACGCGATCGCGATCGCCGACGCCGCCGAGGACCCGCGGGACAACGTCGGCAAGCAAGCGACGCTCCGACTCGCCGGTCGCGGCGACCAAGGTGGCGAACTCACGACCCGCATCGAGGGCCTGCTACGCGTTCGCAACGCCGACCACGCCGAGGACCGCTACCAGGTCCGCCTGCGGCTGCGGGTCGAAGGCGTCGAGCGCGACGCCCTCGTGACGCTCAACGACCGTTCCGCGATGCGTTACCCGATGCTCCTGGGCCGCGACTTCTTGCGAGGCGAGTTCGTCGTCGACGTCGACCGCGACAACGACCAACCCCGCTGAGCCCGCGATTCCCCACCGCCGACTTTTGTCGGGGCTGCGGTTCTCGGCGCCCCCCGACAATACCCCCGGTTTCTGACGCGGAACCCGTTGCCGCCCAACGGATTGGATTTTTGTCGGGGGGGGTCTCTGGGTGACCGAAGCCGATCGGTGCGTCCAACCGCTCGGCCCGAGCCCCCATTATCGCTGATCGCGATCACCCCTGCGCGGCGAATCGGTCACCGCCTTGTGCCATAAACTGCTCCCGTGTCGCGTGCCGGGCAGTCTGCTTGCGGCTCGAAGCACGCGCGTAGCCCCGTCACACAGCCGTCGCTCGCTAGCCGCCGGCGTCCCTCGTGGCGAGGCCGCCGTTGTCCGGCATCGATTCGTTCAGATTTTCGCGCGCCGTTTTTAGACGCCGTGCGTTCATGAGACGGGGAGCGGGCGTACGAACCCGTTCGGACCGCCGGTTTCGGAGTTGGGAACTCTTCTGCGCTGGGCGTACGCAAGCATGTTTCCTTTAGCGGCGCGAAGTAAACTGCGTCGCGCTGGACGCAGGCCAGCGCGACATCCAGCGGCTGCCCTGCGACGACGGCGTGCGAACAGCGCGCGAGTCGTGCCGGCGAGTCGGCGCAAGTGGCCGACACGACGAAGCGATGTGAGTCGAGTGGATGGATGATCGTTGAGCACGGCGGCATACGGCCTTCGACTGGAATGTGACGGCCCAAGGCGATTGGCAAACTAGACGCACTCTTAGGGATGCCGCTAATGAGCACGACACAAGCTGAGTCTCCCTGCGCCCAGCCCATCGTTGGAGTCTCGAACTGGGCCCGCGACATCCACGCGGAGATCGAGAGCACGGCTCCGTTTCCGTCCAACGTCTTGATCTGCGGCCCGACCGGCACCGGCAAGGAGCTCGTCGCCCAAGAGATCCATCGCCGCAGCCCTCGCGCCAGCGGCCCCTTCGTGGCGGTCAACTGCGCGGCGGTTGCGCCTTCGCTCTTTGAGAGCCAGCTCTTCGGTCACGTGAAGGGGTCGTTCACCGGCGCCGACTCAGACGCGACGGGCTACTTCCGCGCCGCGGACGGCGGCACCCTGTTCCTGGACGAGATCGGCGAACTGGACCTGGCGCTGCAAGCCAAGCTCTTGCGTGTGCTGCAAGAAGGCGCCGTGACGCCGGTCGGTGGGCACGGAGCGATGCCGGTCGACGTCCGAATCGTGGCGGCCACCAACCGTGAGTTGATCGACGAAGCGGCTGCGGGCCGGTTCCGCGAGGACCTGTTCTACCGCCTCGCCGTGGCCGTGCTGCGGACCGTCCCGCTGGCCGAAAGGCCCGAGGACATCCACCTGATCTCCCAGTTCTTGATCTCGAAGCTGTGCCACGGCGCGCGGATGCCGTTCAAGCCGCTGTCGTCCGAGGCCGAGGCGCGGCTCATCGGCCACGGCTGGCCGGGCAACGTGCGGGAACTGCAGAACGTCCTCGAACGCGCCCTGATGCGAGCCAAAGGCCCGTTAGTGCAAGCCGAAGACATCGTTCTTGACCGGGGGCCCACCACCCCTTCGCCGCAGCGCGATTCCGCCGCGGCGGCCGACGAGCCGAGTGACACGGGCCTGGTGCTGCGGCAGGCGATGCAGGCGGGCGGTGGTTGGCCGACCATGAAGCAGTTCGAACGCTACGTGTTGGAGATGACGCTGGCGCGAACCGAGTTCAACCAGACCGAAGCCGCACGCGTTCTCGAGATGACCCGCGGCTCGCTGTACCGTCGCCTCAAAGAGCATCGCATCGACCGAAAGCGACCCCGTGACGCCCGTCGCAACCGCGAGACAAGTGTCGCGGTTGCCGGTGCCTGAGCGCTAGCCACCGGGATCCAACTCCGCTCCGTCACCTTGCGGCCAGACGGTCGTGCTTGGAGTTTCTCCGCGCCTTCTGCGCTTCGTCATCGATCGTCGACTTGCAGGCGATCGTGTTCTCTTCGCGCTGATCTAGCCGCAGCCACCAGGCGCTCTCTGGGTCGGTTGCACGGCTCGCCGCTGCAGGTTTCAGCCGACTCGCTGCGCGCTCGCCGGCAAGCGCATCAACGCCGCTAGCGCGCTCGCCTCGGGGCGCGGCGCGCGCTGGCGGACGCTCGGAAGTGGCCGAGGACGAGTCGCTGCGGTCGTTCGGTTTTTTTAATCGCTTGCCTCGCAACACCTTGCGTCGCTCTGCCCGGGAATCGCGGCGCGTTTTGGCGCCCCTCGTGCAAAGAAGGGTTGCCAGTGCAGCAAACGCGGCCGCCCGAAAGTCGGAGCGGCGAACTCGACACGAGATGAGCCACCGTGAAGGACCTCGCCTTCCAACTCCGAACCCACCGCCACCTGGTGGTGGTAAGCCCGTCGGCCTCGACCGGCGAACGGCTGTCGGAGGTCCGACGCGACCGCGGCGAAAGCCTCACCTGGACCAACCGCGGGACCACGGCGTTGCGGCTTGTCCCGAGCCACCACGACTCGGTTTGGCTCATCGGCGAGACGCTAACCGACATGCCGGGGCAGCAACTGCTCGAACTGCTGCACGCGATCGAACCGGCGCTCGACGCGAGGGTGGTCCTCGACTGGGCGTCCGTCGCTCTTTTGGCGGCGACAACCACGCGGCCCGGCTCGCAAACGGTCCCCGCGCCAAGCTGCTGATCCTCATCAAGACAACCAGTCCGCCTCGGATTCATTCCCGGAGAAGCCTCATGCACGCCACGGCCAGTCCTTCGACCCCGCTCGTCGACGACCTCTACGACAGCGAGCTTCTCGAGTTCGATCACACCGACGCCGGCAAGACCGACCGACGTCGAGTCCTCATGCCAACCGGCCGCGACAGCAACGCGAAACGCGCCCGCTACCGCGCCATGGCCTCTTACCGCAAACGCAACGGCTCCAATCCGGGCCGCCGCCGAGACTGCCGACGCGGCGCCGCCAGGAGGGTTTGCATGAACTAGGGACGCCCGTTTCGTCACGGCAACGACAAGTCAACCAATCGACATTTGAGATCAGTTCACACCTAAACCAACGAGAAGACTCATGAAGACCAACATCACGCTGCTCGCTTCGTTCGTTGTTCTGGCCGTCGCCACCCAAGCCGCTACCGCACAGTTTGTCACCTTCAACGACCGTGCGGCCTTCATCGCGGCTCTCGACTCAACGCTGATCAATGACGACCTTAACCGGTACGCTCCCAGCGACATCGACTTCGAGAACACCTCGGTCAATACCGTTAGTGCAGGCAATCCGCTGATGGGCTTCGACGTGAGCCACGTCGGCGATGAAATCACGACTCAATTCGTGAACGGCTCCCTGACCAACAGTGCAAATACTGGCAATGCCACTCCGGACATGCAGTTCTTGCTCGACCTGGCCGGCGTTACGGGGGCGTTCGGTTCTGCGAGTAATGTGGCAGACACCGCCACGATCACCAACCAGACGGCGACCGTCAATGCATTCGGATTTGACACCTTCGGATTTAACGATCAAGGGCAGAGCTTCCTCGTGGACCCAGGAACGCTCGGCGTCGAGATGGGTGTGACGACAACCGTTGTGGATTCCGCCGGCAACTCAGCCGACTTCACCGTGGCCGCAAGCGACCCCTTCTTTGGGGTCATTGCCTTCACCGGCGGAGCAACGATTGACACGATTACCTTGTCTGCCAACACCACCTTCGCGAGCTCCGGTACCGAGTTCATCGCTCTGGACAACTTCGTCGGCGGGACGTCGAGTGTGCCCGAGCCGTCCGCTCTGGCGTTGTTGAGCCTCGCGGGCTGCGGCTTCGTGCTACGCCGCCGCGGCTAGGCTTCGACGGTCAAGCCTGCCACTAAACAACTTGAAGCCGCCGCGTCTCCGACGCGGCGGCTCCTTTCTTGTTGGTACCCAACGTAGAATCGGGCCCTGGCCACGTAACAGGACGAAGCAGGGACTGCCGATCGTCAGGACCTCGGCATGCCCCGTCGGCTCGGCTTGGCGGCGTGGCGGCGTCGGCTACGAAACCGCCGACGCGCCGGCTTCGGCGACCGTGTGGTCGTTCTCGACCGTGCTGCCGCTGACGCCGATCGCGCCGATCACTTCGCCCGAGCCGTCCTTGATCGGCACGCCGCCGGGGAACGTGATCAGGCCGCCGTTGCTGTGCTCGATGCCGTACAGCGGGCCGCCCGGCTGCGAGAGCTCGCCGATCGCGCCGGTCGGCATGTCGAAGTAGCGGGCGGTGCGGGCCTTGATCTGCGAGATGTCGATCGAGCCCTGCCAGGCGCCGTCCTCCTTGGCGAACGCGGTCAGGTTGCCGCCGGCGTCGACCACGGCGATGTCCATCAACGTCCCGATCTCCTGCGACTTCTTGATCGCGGCGGCGACGACGGCTTGGGCTTGCTCGAGCGTGATCCCAACGGCAGACGGCATGTCGAACTCCTTAGGGTCGTTTGATTGGTTGAGTGGGAGGCCCACGAATCGATCGAATCCACTTCCGATTCGCGACGATTCGCTCGATTCGTGGGCTCCTACGCCAATGAGTTGATTGACGAGGGCTTGAAGGGTCGATACTGTACAAAAGTATGGTATCGGTCGACTGGCTCTTTCTCGACATGAACGCCTTCTTCGCTTCGGCGGAGCAGCAGATGCGTCCGGAGCTGCGGGGGCGGCCGGTCGCCGTCGTGCCGACCGAGACCGACCGCACGTGCTGCATCGCGGCGAGTTACGAGGCGCGGGCGTGGGGCGTGAAGACCGGCACCAACGTCGGCCAGGCCCGGCGGCAGTGCCCGGGCCTAGTGCTCGTGAAAGGTCGGCACGAGGACTACGTCCGGATCCATCACCAGATCCTCGCCGCGGTTGAGACGGTGCTGCCGATCCACAAGGTCTGCTCGGTCGACGAGATGGTCTGCCCGCTCGCGCCGCCCGACCGGCCCGTGCCGCAAGCGCGACTGGTGGCGGAGCGCGTGAAACGAGCGATCGCCCGCGACGTCGGGCCTTACCTGCGGTGCTCGATCGGATTGGCGCCCAACCGCTTTCTGGCGAAGGTCGCGAGCAACCTGCAGAAACCAGACGGCCTGTCGGTCATCACACGCGAGGAGCTGCCGCACCGGCTGCACCGGCTCGACCTGGAAGACCTGCACGGTATCGGTCGGAACATGCGGCGGCGGCTCGAAAGCCACGGCGTGCGGAACACGCGGCAGCTCTGTGCGTTGTCGCGTGACGCGATGGTCGATGTCTGGGAGAGCGTCGTCGGGGCGCAGTGGTGGCACTGGCTGCGGGGCGAGGAGACGGCCGAGCGGCTCGACGTCCGCCGGTCGGTCAGCCACTCGCACGTGCTGCCGCCGGCGCAGCGGACGCCCGACGGCGCCCGCGCCGTGATGGTGCGGCTGCTGCACAAGGCGGCCGCCCGGCTGCGGCGGCTGGAGCACGTGGCGTCGCGGATCGAGTTCTCGGTCGGCTTCGCCGACGGCCGGCCGAAGTGGCGGGCCCGGTCGCCGCTCGCACGGACGAGCGACACGCCGACGATGCTGCGCGTGCTGGACGAGGCGTGGCGACGCAACCCACCCGAGGGGAGGCCGATCAAGCCGTCGGTCTGGTTGACCCGGCTGACGCCGGCGACGCAGACGCCGCGGTCGCTGTTCCCCGAGGAGCAGACCGCCCGGCGGGCCGCCGAGACGATGGACGCGGTGAACGCCCAGTTCGGGCCGAACTCGATGTACTTCGCTTCGATGCACACGACCCGCGAGGCGGCGCCACTGCGGATCGCGTTCACGAACATCCCGGACGTCAAGGCGGAGATGGGCGGCTAAGGCGACCCCCGACCCACGCCAATTTGGCAGACGCGGACACGGCCCGCTCAGCAATCCGGCCCCGGCCGTCGTCGGCAGCCGTCGGTCCGAGCGCCGAATCCGCCGGCTGCCGCCCGCGGCTTGGGCCCCACGCCGCGATGGCACGGCGGTTGCTTCTATTGTCCTGCGGAGAAGGTGCGCCTGCCAAAACGGCCCCCGGCGCGACGTTTCCCGTTATCCAGCTCCCGCACACAGCCGCCCCGCCGACGCGTGGGGCTCTCCCATACTTCGCTCCTGCTAGAGGATCCTCGCCGTGGCAAAGCAGATGGTTTTTGAGGACGACGCCCGCAAGCCGCTCGCGGCGGGGGTCGAGAAACTGGCCCGCGCCGTGAAGAGCACGCTCGGCCCGCGCGGCCGCAACGCGGTGCTCGACAAGGGCTGGGGCTCGCCGAAGGTCACCAAGGACGGCGTCACCGTCGCCGAGGACATCGACCTGGACGACCCGTACGAGAACCTCGGCGCGCAGCTCGTCAAGGAAGCCGCCAGCAAGACGAACGACGTCGCCGGCGACGGCACGACGACCGCGACCGTGCTAGCCGAAGGCATCTTCCGCGAGGGCTTGAAGATGCTCGCCGCGGGCGCCGACCCGATGGCTCTGAGCCGCGGCATCAACAAGGCGGTCGAGGCGGTCAGCGCGGCGGTGCTGAAGCTCGCCGACCCGATCGAGGTGAAGGACAAGAAGTCGCTGCAGCACATCGCGACGATCGCCGGCAACAACGACCCGTCGATCGGCTCGGTCTTGGCCGACGCGTTCGGCAAGGTCGGCAAGGACGGCGTCATCACCGTCGAAGAGGGCCGCGGCTCCGAGACGACCGTCGAAGTCGTCGAGGGCATGCAATTCGACCGCGGCTACCTGTCGCCGCACTTCGTCACCGACGAAGACGACATGGAAGCGGTCCTCGAGAACGCTCAAATCCTGATCTTCGAAGAGAAGATCTCCAGCGCGAAGTTGCTCGTCCCGCTTCTCGAGGCGGTCAGCAAGAGCGGCAAGCCGCTGTTGATCATCGCCGAGGACGTCGAGGGCGAGGCGCTCGCGACGCTCGTCGTGAACAAACTCCGCGGCATCGTCCAGGTCTGCGCCGTGAAGGCGCCGGGCTACGGCGACCGCCGCAAGGCGATGCTGGGCGACATTGCGACGCTCACCGGCGGGTCGGCGATCTTCAAGGACCTCGGCATCAAGCTCGACGGCGTCCAGCTGACCGACCTCGGCAAGGCGAAGAAGGTCATCGTTGAGTCGGGCAACACGACGATCGTCGGCGGCGCCGGCGCGAAGGACGCGATCCTCGGCCGCGCCGACCAGATCCGCGCCGAGATCGAGACGACCGACTCGGACTACGACCGCGAGAAGCTCCAAGAGCGGCTCGCGAAGATCGCCGGCGGCGTGGCGCAGATCAAGGTCGGCGCCTCGACCGAGTCGGAGATGAAGGAACGCAAGGACCTGTTCGACGACGCCCGCGCCGCGACGCACGCGGCGCTCGAAGAGGGGGTCGTCCCCGGCGGCGGCGTCGCTTTGCTCCGCAGCGAGAAGGCGCTCGCGAAGCTCGACCTGGAAGGCGACGAGAAGCTCGGCGCCAACATCGTCGAGAACGTCCTCTCGTACCCGCTCGCCTGCATTGCGGAGAACGCGGGCGTCGACGGCGAGGTGGTGGTAAACCGCGTCCGCAAGCTCAAAGGCAAGACCGAGGGCTACAACGCGGACAAGGACGACTACGTCGACCTCGTCTCGGCCGGCGTCATCGACCCGGCGAAGGTCGTCCGCACCTCGCTGCAGAACGCGGCCAGCGTCGCGGCCCTGCTGCTCACCACCGAGTCGCTCGTCGCTGACATCCCGGTCGAGGAAGAAGAGGCCGCCGGCGGCCACGACCACGACCACGGCATGGGCGGAATGGGCGGCGGCATGCCGGGCATGGGTGGAATGGGCGGCATGGGTGGCATGCCCGGGATGATGTGATAACGAGCGATCAGCGGTCAGCAGTCAGCGATCAGCTAAGGCTGCGAGGGCTGACCGCTGAGAGCTGATCGCTGACTGCCTAGCAAACAACTCGCTTCACCGAAGCGCTTCATACACCGCTACCAAGGAACCCAATCCATGGCCAAAGGCATCAACCTCCGTCCGCTGGACGACCGCGTCGTTGTTCACCCGCTCGAGGCGGAAGAAGTCACTTCCGGCGGCATCGTGCTGCCCGACTCGGCGCGTGAGAAGCCGCAGCGTGGCAAGGTCGTCGCCGTCGGCGCCGGCAAGCTGCTCGACTCGGGCGAGCGCGGCGCGCTGTCTGTCGCGGTCGGCGACGAGGTGATCTACGGCAAGTACGGCGGCTCCGAAGTGGAAGTCGGCGGCGAGGAGTACAAGATCCTCCGCGAGAGCGACCTGCTCGCGAAGGTCACCGCCTGACGGCGGCGTCCGTAGTCAGTTGCCAGTCGTCCGTTGCGACTGCTGGCGCACTCAACTGACAACGGACAACTGACAACGGACCCAACCCACCGGACCGACCTAGCCGGCCCACCACGGCCGGAACAAAACAGGAGCCACTCATGGCCAAACAACTCATGTTCGACGACGCCGCGCGGGCGAAGGTGATCGCCGGCGTCGACAAGCTCGCGGACGCGGTGGCGGTGACGATGGGCCCCACCGGCCGCAACGTGATCATCAACAAGTCGTTCGGCGGGCCGACCGTCACGAAGGACGGCGTCACGGTCTCCAAGGAGGTCGAGCTCGAGGACCCGTTCGAGAACATGGGCGCGAAGCTCGTGCACGAGGTCGCTGATAAGACGAGCAAGTTCGCCGGCGACGGCACGACGACCGCCACGGTGCTCGCCCGCGCGATCCTCAAGGAGGGCGCCCGCAACATCGTCGCGGGCAGCAACCCGACCGCCGTGCGTCGCGGCATCGACAAGGCGGCCGCCGCCGTGTGCGAGCAGCTCGACTCGGCGTCGAAGAAGGTCAGCAGCAAGGAAGAGATCGCCCAGGTCGGCGCCATCAGCGCGAACAACGACCGCGTGATCGGCGACCTCCTGGCCGACGCGATGGAGAAGGTCGGCAAGGACGGCGTCATCACCGTCGAAGAGGGCAAGACGACCGACACGACGCTCGAGTTCGTCGAGGGCATGCAGTTCGACAAGGGTTACCTGTCGCCCTACTTCATCACCGACCAAGGCGCGATGGAGGCGGTCCTCGACGACGCCTACCTGCTGATCCACGAGAAGAAGATCAGCAATCTCCGCGAGCTGCTGCCGGTGCTCGAGGCCGTGAGCCAGAAGGGCAAGCCGCTGTTGATCATCGCCGAGGACGTCGAGGGCGAAGCCCTGGCGGCGCTCGTGGTGAACAAGCTCCGCGGCGTGCTCAACGTCGCCGCGGTGAAGGCGCCCGGCTTCGGTGACCGCCGCAAGGCGATGCTCGGCGACATCGCGACGCTCACCGGCGGCACGCTGATCTCCGAGGACCTCGGTGTGAAGCTCGAGAGCGTCACGCTGGAGCACCTCGGCCGCGCGAAGAAGGTCACGGCCGACAAGGACGCGACGACCCTCGTCCAGGGCGCCGGCTCATCGGCCGACGTCCAGAAGCGGATCGAGCAGATCCGCAAGTCGATCGAGTCGTCCACCAGCGACTACGACAAGGAGAAGCTCCAAGAGCGGCTCGCGAAGCTCACCGGCGGCGTGGCGATCATCTCGGTCGGCGCCTCGAGCGAGGCCGACATGAAGCAGAAGAAGGCCCGCGTCGAAGACGCGCTGCACGCCACGCGGGCGGCCGTCGAGGAGGGCATCCTCCCGGGCGGCGGCGTCGCGTTGCTCCGCACCAAGGAGGCGGTCGAGGCGGCTCGCTCGTCGGCCAAGGGCGACGAGAAGATCGGCGTCGACATCGTCTTGGGCGTGCTCGACGCCCCGATCAAGCAGATCGCCGGCAACGGCGGCCTGTCGGGCAGCGTCATCGCCGACGAGGTGGCCCAGAAGGGCAAGAACACCGGCTACGACGCCAACGCGGGCGAGTACGTCGACATGTTCAAGGCGGGCGTCATCGACCCGGCGAAGGTCGTCAAGACGGCTATCACCAACGCCGCGTCGATCGCCGGCCTGCTGCTGACGACCGAGGCGCTCGTCACGAACTTCGACGCCAAGGACGACGACAAGAAGGCCGTGGTCGGCAGCATCCGCTGACGCCGACGCGACCGACAAGAACCGACGCCGGGCCACCGCCAACGAGGCGCGTGGCCCGGTTCGCATAGGCTGAAGGAGTCGATCGTGCCAAAGGATGACGACGAAGAACGCAAAGCTGTACTCGGTTATCGCGCCGTCATCCTGGGTGCCTTGATCACGGGCGCATGCACTGTTACTGCCGCGGGAATCAGGTGGCTGCCTGACAAGCTGATTGATTTCATTCGCCCGGCAGAGATCGCGACTCAATACGTAGCTCTGCGACCGGTGGTCGACACCGCATTCGCTGAGAGTTCCGCAATTCGCGAAATCGCACCGGAGAAGTACGTCTGGCGAGAAAGCCAAGAAACGCGAGTTCGCGTGCCTATCGGCCACACGTCGATTTGCAAGTGTATCGTCAACGTACGTAATCTCGGCGAGTTCCCGCTACACCTGCAGCATGTGGAGTTTGAAATAGGAACAAGCAGCTGGAGGGTCTATTCGGAAGGCGGCGAAAGTACTGCTCCAGTTGCACTCGATAGCACCACCTACACAACATGCAACGTTGGCTCCGGCGAACGCGACATTCTACTAATCGGCAACATCGACCTACTGATCCCTGCGGGATCGAATCGCGAACTGCCTCTCCTGTTTTGGTCCAACGAAGTCCGTGACGGTCGGATACTGCACGTTTTTGGTCGAGTCGTCTTGCTCACTCATGACGGGCGGGAGATCGACGCAGGATTCGTTGACCTAACGATCCACCCGGAGAACCAGCCAACGGCTAACCGAAAAGGTGGGTGAACCCGCCGGCGGCGTCGATTGCCCGCACATCAACACCGACCGCGCCGGCAGAACCACCCACCCTACAAGAATCAGCGTGTGTCCGCGTTCATCTGCGGCTAACTCGTAATGCCCATCCAGCGCGACTACTACGAAGTGCTCGGCGTCGCCCGCGACGCGGACGGGGACACGATCGCCACCAGCTACCGCAAGCTGGCGATCAAGTACCACCCCGACAAGAACCCGGGCGACGACGAGGCGGTCGCGCGCTTCAAGGAATGCGCCGAGGCGTTCGAGGTCCTGGGCGACCAGGAGAAGCGCTCGCGCTACGACCGCTTCGGCCACGCCGGCGTGAACGGGCAGGGCCACGCGGGCTCCGGCTTCGGCGACGTCGAGGACATCTTCTCCGCGTTCGGCGACGTCTTCGGCGACCTGTTCGGCGGCGGCCGTGGGCGGGGCCGCGCGCGGGCGGGCCGCGACGTCCGGTGCGACGTGACGCTCACCCTGCACGAGGCGGCCGAGGGGGTCACCAAGACCGTCGAGTTCCAACGCCACGAGGAGTGCGAGGAGTGCGACGGCTCCGGCGCCACGCCGGGCAGCCAACGCGAGACGTGCGGCTACTGCGGCGGTCGCGGCCAGGTCGTGCAGGCGGCCGGCATCATCCGCATGCAGACCACCTGCCCGGCGTGCCACGGCGCCGGGGCGACGATCAGCAACCCGTGCCGCCCCTGCCGCGGCTCGGGCCGGCGGCTCCGCACGGTGTCGACCGAGGTGCGTATCCCCGCGGGCGTCGACGAGGGGACGCGGGTCCGGATCACCGGCCAGGGCGAGCCGAGCCCGGACGGCGGCGTGGCGGGCGACTGCTACTGCTTCATCAGCGTCAAAGAGCACCCGCTCTTCGAGCGTGAGGGGCAGCACCTCGTGTGCCGCGTGCCGATCACCTACACCCAGGCCGCGCTCGGCTGCGACCTGGAAGTCCCGACGCTCGACGGCCGCGACTCGGTCACCTTGCCGCCCGGCACGCAGTCGGGCGACGTCTTCCGACTCAGCGGCCGGGGCATGCCCGACCCGCGGCGCCACGGGTTGGGCGACCTGCTGGTTCAGGTGACAATCGAGGTGCCGAAGAAGCTCTCGGCCGACGAGGAGCGCGTGCTCCGCGAGCTGGCCGAGCTGGAGCACACCAACGTCGCCCCGCAGCGCAAGAGCTTCTTCGGGCAACTGAAAGACTACTTCGTCGGCGAAGAGGACGCCTCGACCGCCGACGCCTCGCAGCAAGACTGACGCGCCATGCCCGACCCGCAAGACACCGACGAAGCGTTCGCCGCCGCCCCCGAAACCGACGCGGCGACGGACGAGGCGCAAGACGCCCCGGTCGACCCGGCGGAGACGATCGACTTCGAAGCGGCCGACGGCGCGCCGTCGGCCGAGGACCAGCTGGCGGCCGCCGAGGACCGCGCCCTGCGTCTGCAAGCCGAACTGCAGAACGTGCTGAACCGCACGCGACGCGAGGTCGCCGAGGAGCGGAAGTACGGCCCGCTCGGCGTCGCCCGCGATCTGCTGCCGGCGATCGACAACATCGACCGCGCGCTCGAGGCGGCCGAGAAGGCGTCGGGCGACGGGGACGGCGACCTGCTGACCGGCTTCCGGATGGTCCGCGAGCAGCTCATCGGCGTCCTCGGCCAGCACGGCTGCGAAGCGATCGCGACCGAGGGCGGCGTCGAGTTCGACCCCGCCTTCCACGAGGCGATCCTCCAACAACCGTCCGAAGACGCCCCGGCCGGCATGATCCTGATGGCGACCCAAACGGGCTACAAGCTCCACGACCGCGTGGTGCGCCCCGCGCAGGTGATCGTCTCTTCCGGGCCTGCTTCGCCGTAGGGACCTTGTCCGTGGTCAGTGGTCCGTCGTCCGTCGCAACTGTTCGACGCGGCCAAAGACACAAACAACAGACCACTGACAACTGACATCTGACCACCCATGCCAACGTACGACTACGAGTGCGACGCCTGCGGGCACGAGTTCGAGCTGTTTCAGCAGATCTCCGAGCCGGTCAAGCGGAAGTGCCCCGAGTGCGGCAAGCTGAAGCTGCGCCGGCTGTTCGGCACGGGCGCGGCCGTCGTCTTCAAAGGCTCCGGCTTCTACGAGACCGACTACCGCAGCGATTCGTACAAGAAGGGCGCCGAGAAGGACAAGAAGTCGTCGGAGAAGAAGTCTGAGAAGAAGGGCGACTCGAAGAGCGAAACCAAGTCGGAATCGACCAAGAAGTCCGACTCGAAGCCCAAGAAGAAGTGAGTATGGCGGTTGGCTGTTGGCCGTTAGCTGACTGACGTCGCGTAACGCTTGAGGGCCAACGGCCTACAGCCAATAGCCTACAGCCACCGCCCCATGCTTTGCCCCACCTGCGACCAGGAGTTCGACCCGGCCGAGACGCCGGCGATGCCGTTCTGCAGCGAACGTTGCCGAACCCGGGACCTGGGGCGTTGGCTCGACGAAGAGTATTCTCTCCCGCACGTGCCCGACCCGGACAGCGACGAGGCGGGCGAGTTGTAGATCGGCGTCAAGCCGGACTTTTCGGTTAGCGATGCGGTCGCCGGCGGCGGCTTCAAACTGCCCGTGGCGTGTCAGCGTCCGAAAAGACCCGTTTGACGGACAGGAGCTGAGGGTCCCACGCGCCCGTGTCCGAATCACCCGACAGCCCGCCGGACCGGATGCCGCCCGAGTCGCTGCGGCGCGTGGACTGGCTCGCCCTGGCGCCGTGGCTGCTGGTGCTACGTTCGACCGGGGCCGCGATCGGGTGGCCGCTTGTGATCGGCGCCGCGGGCATGCTCGTGCTGGGGCCTTGGACGCCGCTGCGTGGTGAGCCGGTTGAGCAAATCGAGGACTTGGCTTCGCTGCCCGCCCTCTTGATGACACCCGAAGCGCGATCGGCGGCAGTCCTCTGGCGACTCGCGCTCGCCTACGTGGGGTGGCTGGCGTTCGGCCTGGCGATCGCCGACCACGCCGCTCGCGGCCTGACCGAATCGCCAGGCTCCGAACTGGTGGATTCGCTGCGCCGCGCCGGCGCGCGTCTCCCGCGGGTCGCGACGGCCCTCGCCGTTGTCGCGGCGCCCGTGCTTGCCACCGCGGTGGCGACCTGGCTCTTCGGCCTGACGCTGCGAGTGCCCGTCCTCTCGGTCGTAACGGCGCCGCTGTGGGGCCTCTTCGCTGCTCTCGGGGGACTGCCGGCCGTCGTGGCGATCGCGATCGTCACGCTCGGCGCGCCGCTCTTGGTGGCGGCGATCGTCGCCGACGACGCCGACGGCTTCGACGCCGTCAGCCGGTTGTTCGCCTACACGACGCAGCGGCCCGGCGTGCTGGTCGTATGCTTGGCGTTGGCTTGGATCGGATTGGCTTTGGGCGGCGCTGTCCTCGAGTGGGCGCTAGAGTCGGCGGTCGCGTTCACGGGAGGCTTGACGGCACCACCCAATGGCGAGTGGGCGCAGTGGCTCGCGTCGGCCTCAATTCAGGCGTTCACGCTCGCGGCGCGTGGCTTCTACCCCGCTTATGTGTTCACGGCCGGCGTCGCGACCTACCTCGTGATGCGGCACGCGGTAGACGGCCAGCCGCTGAACGAGATGGCGTCGCCCGTGGCGGCTCAGCCTTCCGCCGAGGCGTGACGCCGCAGCAGCTCTTCGACCTGCTTGTGGAACTGCCCACGCGAGACGACCAGGTCGCAGCCGGCGTCTTGCGCGGCCTGCAGCTTCGCCTCGTGCACGTGGGGGCCGTAGGCGAGCAGCGTGGCTTCGGGTGAGCTGGCGCGGAGCTGCGCCACGAGCTCTGACAGGTCGGCGATCGGAGCCGTCAGGTCGATCGCGACGAAGCGGGCGTCCCGCTCGTCCGACGCACGCCCGGGCGCGACGATCTTCATCGACACGCCCGCTCTCTGCGCGGCGCCCTCGGCCATCGAGCCGGCCATCAAGTCGGCCGTGATCAACAAGGCGGTCATGCTAAATCGCGCTCGGCCCCGCGAGCCCGTCGCTGATCTGATACGCCTCGGCCATCGGCAAGACGAACGCCTTGCCGTCGCCGATGTGGCCTTCCTTGCTCGTGCGGGCGTGCTCCTCGAGGCAACGCAGCACCGGCTCGACGAAGTCGTCGTTCACGGCGATCTCGAGCTCGACCTTCCGCAGCAGGTGCGTCTCGTACTCGTGACCGCGGTACGTCTCGGCGTGGCCGCGTTGGCGGGCGAAGCCCATCGCGTCGGCGACCGTCATGCGCGTGACGCCGATCGCGGCGAGCGCTTCCTGCGTCGCCTCGAGTTTCGTGGGCTGGATGACCGCGATGATGAGCTTCATGCCGCCGCCTGGCGAGTCGTCGAGGCGCCCCGCCGATCGGGCCCCGGTCAGAGACCAGGATAGCCGCCCGTCGGGTCGGCTAGTACCGGCGCCTGGAGGCGACGGGCCGCTTCCGCAGAGGCCGCGTCGGTCTCCTTCCCGAACAGCAGGAAGTCGAGCAGCGACGCGCCGCCGCCCCCCTCAAAAAGCCGGTCGGTCTCGAGCACCTTGCGGATGCGGTCGGAGGCCTCACGCAAGTGCGCGGCGCTGTAGCGATCGAGATCCGGCTCGTCCTCCAGCAGCTCGTCGATCGACACCTTCAGGTTCGCTAGCTCGTCGTAGGCGAGCGTCTGGCAGTCCGCCGGCGCCGACGTGCGGCCGAGGGCCAGGTCGGCCAGGCGGCCCAGGTAGCTCCGTTGCAGGTTGCGGCGGAGGCTCGACACGAGCGGCTTGCGGTTCGTGTACTCGCCCTCGGCGTCCGAGTCGAACTCGGTGATCTCCGAGAAGATCGTGTCGGTGAGCGTCTCGATCAGGTCGGCGACCGTCAGGGCCTCCTCCTCGGCGGGGATCTTCAACTCGTTGTCGTGCAGCCGGCTCATCGTCAGCGAGCCGAGCAGTTGACTGAGCAGGCGGTCCTGCAGGCGGAGGATGACGTCGTGCACCTCATAGTCGCTGCGATAGACGTACTCAGTCCCCCAGTGACGCCAACGCGACGGCGCCAACTTGTTGTAGAGCTCCGGCGGGATGCTGAACGGCTTGTCGCTGAACACCTCGTTGGCCACCAGGTCGAGCGCCGCGCGTTGTTGTTCGACATCGACGACCTCAAACGGCTCCGGTGCGTTGTCGTCCCCCTTGTGGGCGCGGCTCACGTAGACGCCGCCGACATAGCGGGACGCCGCGAACACCGCGGCCGTGTGGGTGCGGAGCAGGATGCCAAACGCCTGACGGGCCTTCTGGTACCCCTCGCCCTCTTCGACGAGGTCGTCGACCACCCGCGGCAAGGACTCCGCGACCACCTTCGCCTGCTGCTCGGCGTAGGCGACGAGGTCGTCGCCCATGTCCCAACGCCGGGAGTGCGGGTCGGGGTCGATGCCGCGTGTCTCTTCGTCGGTCGAGAACGCGAGGCCGTGCTCGCCGCTGCGCGACGCGATCTTGCCGAGGTCCTTCTTCTCGTCCTTCAGCGGCTTGTAGCCGTACTCGATCGCCCAGTAGTCGTACGGGCCGATCGTCTGCGAGTAGTAGAGCCCCTGCTTCTCGTCCTCGGGGACCATGTAGACCGGGGCGTAGTCCATCACCGAGGCGGTGAGGCCCGTCTTTGCTGTCTTCTCGGGGTCCTTCAGGTCGTCCAGCGAGTAGAGGGTGCTCGCCTTGAAGTTGTGCCGCAGGCCGAGCGTGTGGCCGACCTCGTGCATGGTGACCTCCTTGAGGCCCTGCATGATCAGTTCCTCGAGGTCCTCGGGCGACTGCTTGCGGCTCGCGGCGACCGCGGCGGCGTACGCCAACTGCTGCGAAGCCCCGCCGAGCAGGTTGCACGAGCACCGCCCGTTGTGGCCGTTGCGCAGGTGGCGCGGCAGCGTCCGTTGCTGGGCCGCGTAGGTCTCCATCTCGATCGGGCCGCCGGTGAAGGCCTCGATGCCCTGCGGCGTGAAGTACTCGTACTGCGTCTTCCAGTACTGCAGGAAGTCGGCGTCGAAGATGATGTCCGCGTCAAGGATCTCGCCCGTCGTGGGATTCACGCGCGAGGGGCCCATCGCGAAGCCGGCGCCCGACGTGATCCAGCGGAACGTGTTGTAGTTGATGTCGCCCGGGTCCCAATCGGCGTCCTTCGGCTGCTGCTCGACGTTGATCGCGTTGTAGAAGCCGGCCTTCTCGAACGCCTTGTTCCACTCCTCGATGCCGTCGCGGATCGGCTTGCGGTACTTGAACGGCACCGTCTTCTCGAGCCAGAATTTGATCGGCTCCTTCGGGTTCGAGACGTCGGCCGACGGGTCTTCCTTCTGCAGGTTCCACCGCGTGATATAGCGGCGGAAGCGGTCGTCGGCATCTTTTTTCGAGAAGTCCTTCACCGCCGAGAGGAAGTAGCCGATCCGGTCGTCCGCCTCGCGGGGCCGGTAGTCGGTCTTGGGCAGCTTGCTGATCGAGTAGTGGACGTTGATCGTCGCGGCGCGCGAGTCGGGCACCGTCTCCAGGTACGAGTAGCCGCTCGACGCGTAGGTCGCGGCGACCTGGATCTCCATGTTCTTGTCGTAGCCCTTGACCGGACCCCAGGTGCTCCGCTGCTTGCTGAACGAGAAGCCGGTGAGCACCTGACTGATCTGCGGCAGGTCGGTGAAGAAGACCGGCGTCAGGTCGATGACGTATGCGCCGCCCGAGCGCGTCGCGATCGGCAGGCTGAACAGCACGCTGTCCGTGTAGGCCAGCTTCACCGCCTCGGCGGTCGGCGTGCCGGGCTTCGCCTTGAAGCGGACGTTGCGGCGGACCACCTGGATGTTGTCGCCCCGCTTGCGGAACTGCCACACCCAGTCGTCGTTCCAACTGAAGCCGCCCAAGAGCGGCACCTTGCCGATGCCCTTGGCGATCGTGATCAGGATGATGAAGTCCTTGTCGAGGTCCGACGACTTCAGCTCCGCGAACAGCTTCGTGTCCGACAGGTGCATCTTCAGCAGCCCGTCGATCGGCTTGGTGTCCTTCAGGACCTTCGACGCGGGCGGGTACTTCGGCTTGGGCGGCGCCGGCTTCTCGTCGGACGAGCCCTTGTCGTCTTTGTCGCCCGCTTCGGCGGCGACGGGCGACGGCTTGGCCTGCTCCGTCTCCTGAGCCTCGGCCTCGTCGTCTGCGAAGCCGACCGTCGGGCTCCCGACGAGTGTCAGGCAGCAGAGCGAGGCGACCGCGAGGCGGGTTCGCCGTGAGGCCAGGAAGCCGTACCGGGACGCGTGCGACATCGAGGAATCGTTCGGTTCGAAAGAAGCCGCCTGGCCGAATCGGGCCGTTGGCGGCGGGTCGGTGTTCCGCAAAATGGTTACCGCTGGCGCATCCGGAACCGTCACGGCGGACCGGAGCCGTCAACTATACCCCATGGCGCCTGTCTTGCTCGACCGCCCCATTCCGCCAACCTGATTTGCCGCCCTCTTGTCCGCCGACACCCTCCCAAGCCGTGCGACGCGAGAAGCGATTGAAAAGCTGCTGGCCGGCGGCCCCTTGGGGACGCCGGCTAGGTGGTCGGCCGCCGGGGGGGGACTGAGTCCCGCCTCGGTCTGGCGTGTCGAGGTCGGTACCGATTGCTACGCCGTCCGAAGCCTCGGTGTTGGCGAGAATCCCGAGCTGGCTCGCTGGCGGGTCGAGCTGCTTCGGGAAGCCGCTCGTTGCGGCGCCCCGTTCGCGGCGGCGCCCCTCGCGACAGGCGTGTCGCACGACGGCGGCCCCTGGGAAGCGGCGCCCTGGCTGCCCGGGACGCCGTTGTCCCTGACGCCTGATGACACGATCGCCGTCGAGGCGGCTGTCGACGGGCTCGCCCAGTTCCATCGCGTCACGCGGCAGCTCGGTCAGCCAAGCCAGTCGCAAACCGCTTCGCCGATTGATAACCGCCTTCGCCGGCTCGCTTCGATCCGCGGCGAGCCGCTTGGGCGAAATGACCAAACAGCAGTCGCCCGGTGGCCTGACCTGAGACCGATCGCGGATCAACTCGCTGCCGCCGCCGACAAAGCGACCGCGTTGCTCCACGCGTGCGTCGAGGCAACCGACGCCCAGCCTGTCCACGGTGACGCCCGCCCCGAGCACTTCTTACTGCAGGACGGCGTGCTCACCGGCCTGATCGACTTTGGGGCGATGCGTGTCGACAGCGTTCTGGCCGACGTGGCGCGCCTCGCCGGCGAGCTCGCGGCGGGTGACGCCGACCGGCGAGATCATCTCGCGGAACTCTATGAGGTCACCTCCGGGACACCGGCGCCCCGGCAGACGATCGCGGCACTCGACGCCGCTGCCGCCGTCATCTCGGCCGCCAACTGGCGCCGCTGGCTCGGCGAACCCGACCCGCCGAGCCGCGACCCGGCGCTTATCGCCCAACGGCTGCGTTCGATCCGCGCGAGGCTCCCGGTCTAACGTGTCCGAAGTCGTTTCCGTGAGACGGCTTACGGCTAACCGTGACGGGCGCGAACACTTGCTATCGCCGTTGCATACAGATGCCGATGCCCGCCATAGTGCCCGTTCTCCGGGTAGAATCCCCCTCACGGCTCCCGCCGTCCCACCCCCGCTCTTCGGCTGACCGGCCGATCCCCAGGCGATGCTAGCGACCCGCTCTCTCCACTGCCTCGCGTTGATGGCGACCACGCTGGCCGCCTGCGTGGCGTCTGCGCAGTACAGCCCGACGATCGACATCGGCGCCCTCGGCCAACCGGCCGACGACGGTTTCGACTTCCCTGATCCGGAAAGCGCCGCCGAGTCGGCAGTGTCCGCGTCCCCTGGAAGCGATCTGGTAGCGCTCTCGGCTCGCTACGCTGTGGCCGATGGCGAAGCGCCCGCGATGATCGAGGTCACCGCCCGAATCGCAAGGAACCACTACGTCTACTCGACGACCCAGGCGGCCGGCGGCCCGCTGCCGACAAGCATTAAGGTTGACCCTGCCAGCGGCGTTCGCGTCATCGGCCCGTGGCAGGCAGACGTCGCGCCAACGGTCGACTACTGGCCTGACGCGTACGGCGACTTGCCGCTCGAGGAACATCACGGAACCGTCCGTTGGCGTGCGCCGATCGAAGTCGCTCCCGGTGCTGTTCCGGCGTCCGCGAGCGTTGCGGGAACGGTCGACACGAGCGTCTGCGGAGGCGTCGGCGACGCCAAGTCGTGCGTGCCGCTCGACGGCCTCGCGTTCGAGGCGACGCTCGTAGCGCCCGGATCGATCCCGCCGCCGAGCGCCGCGCCGATCGCGCCCGCCGCCGAGCCACTCGAGGTGTCGGAGCTGCTGCCGCTGCTCGGTCTCGCGCTCATTGGCGGACTGATCCTCAACCTGATGCCGTGCGTGCTGCCCGTCATCGGGCTGAAGGTGCTGTCTTTCGCTGAACAAGCGGGGCACGACCGCGGCAAGGTGCTCGCGCTCAACCTGGCGTACGTCGCCGGACTGATGTCGGTCTTCCTGCTGCTGGCCGGCCTGGCGTCGCTCGCGGGCTTGGGCCTCGCGAGCGAGAGCCTCGGCTGGGGCGAGCTCTACACCATCACCGAGTTCAAAGTGGGCGTCACCGCCCTCGTCTTCGCGATGGCGCTGAGCTTCCTCGGCGTCTGGGAGATCCCAATCCCCGGCTTCGCGGGCGCCGGCAAGGCGAACGACCTGCAAGCCGAGGAAGGGTTCTCGGGCGCGTTCTTCAAAGGCGTCTTCACCACGGTGCTCGCCACGCCCTGCAGCGGGCCGTTCTTGTTCCCCGTGTTCAGCGCCACGCTGACAACGCCGCCGGCGATCACGTTCTTGATCTTCGCCTTCGTTGGACTCGGCATGGCGTCGCCCTACCTGTTGATCGGGCTGTTCCCGTCGCTGATCACGTGGTTGCCGAAGCCGGGCCCGTGGATGGAAACGTTCAAGCAACTCATGGGCTTCGTGCTGCTGGGGACGGTCGTGTACCTGATCACGACGATCACCTACGAGTCGCGCACCGCCGTGCTCATCACGCTCGTCGCGATCGGATTCGCCTGCTGGTGGATCGGTCGCACGCCGCTCACGGCGCCGGCGTCGACGCGGACGACCGCTTGGGTCGGCGGCACGGCGACAGCTGTCGCCACGGGCCTGCTCGCTTTCACACTGCTTGGGCCGAGCGACCACACGCTCCCGTGGAGTCCCTACTCGCAGTCGGCGCTCAAGGTCGCCAAGGCCGAGGGCAAGACCGTGCTCGTCGACTTCACCGCCGACTGGTGCCTCACCTGTAAGCTGAACCTCAAACGGGCGATCAACACCGAGCGGGTCCAATCGGTGGTCGAAGCCAATGACGTCGCGACGCTGCTGGCCGACTGGACCGACAAGAACGCCGAGATCAAACAGGCGCTGATCGCGCTCGGCAGCCGCAGCATCCCGCTGCTGGCGATCTACCCCGCCGACCGCCCGGACGAGCCGATCCTGCTGCCCGACGTGATCTCCGAAGACGACCTGCTCGCGGCGCTAGCCGAAGCGGGCGCGGTGCAAGGCAACGCCGCTGACGTCGACACGCCGCTGATCGAGATCGGCGACGCGACGACCGGCGCGTACCGCTAGCCGAGTCGGGGTGTGTACAATGGCCGACATGGACACGACGCTCTCGTCGCCGCTCGAACCGGTCCTGCCGACCTTCCCCGTGAAGCGGTTCACGGCGGACCAGTACCTGGAGATGATCCGCGCCGAGATCCTCACGGAGGACGACCGCGTGGAACTGATCGACGGGGTGATCACGGCCATGGCGCCAGCCGGAGACGAACACACCTGGGAAACGGTTTTCCTCAGCGAGGCGTTCGCCGCCGCGCGTGAGACCCATTGGATGTTCGTGCAGGGAACGGTCCGAATCGGAGAACGGCACGTCTTCGATCCGGATATCACGCTCGTGCGACGCCGTGGTCCTGAGCAACGCCGCCGTCACCCCGATGCTGCGGACGTCGACCTTGTCATCGAAGTTGCGAAGTCGTCTCTTCGGAAAGACCGCACTAAGAAGGCCGCCGCGTACGCCGAGGCCGGCATCCCCGAGTACTGGATCGCCGACGTGAACGGCCTGGCGATGATCGTCCACCGCGATCCGTCGCCCGACGGATACCAGAGCGTCGAGAGGCACGGTCTCGACGCCGTGCTGACGCCGCTGGCGTTTCCCGCGATCGCGGTGCGAGTCGGCGACATCCTGGGCGACGAACCGCCCGCCGGCGATTCGGCGTAGGCTAGCCGAGCCACGTCGCGATCAGCTCAGCGAAGGCGTCGGATTCCAGCGTCTCGTGGGCGAGCAGGTGGTCGGCGACGCCGGCGATCGCCTCCCAGTGCGTGTCGTCCGACAGCAACCCGTGCAGGCCGACGACGCGGCCCTCGAGCCACTGCGTCCGCCGGAGCTCGTCGGGGACGATCGGGGTCGCTTTGCCCCACGCCTGACGCCAGTCCTCGGACCACTCGGCCACCAGCGCCGGGTGGAACGGCTCGCCGCGGTAGATCATCTCCGCCACCGGCCCGGCCAGAGCGACCAGCACCAGCTTCTCCGCCAGGTCCCGCGCGGTGAATCGACCGCGCGACCAAGCGACCTGCGTGTCGCCGTAACGGCTCGGGCCGTCGTCCCAGTCAGGCGCAATGGAAACGCTCAGCACGCGTCCCCCCGCGTAGGCCGCCGCGAAGGCGTGCCCCGCCTCGTGGTAGGCGGTTCTCTCTTCGTCCGATTCCATTCTGAAGCCTAGGCGCCACTAGTCGCCCTCCCCCGTTTCGGGGGAGGGGGATAAGCGGGTCTCTACTCGATCCGGCCAATAACCCAGTTCTCAAGACCCTGCTCGGCGAGCTGCCGCTGGAGGCTGTCGGCGAAGTGCTCGCTAACCACCAGCGCGAGGCCGACCCCCAGGTTGAACACGCGGGCCATCTCCGCGTCGTCGACCGAGCCGAGGCGCTGCAGCCACGTGAACACCGGCGGCACCTTCCAGCTCCCCTCGTCGATCTTGAGCGACACGCCGTCGGGCAGGATGCGCTCGACGTTCTCGCGCAGCCCGCCGCCCGTGATGTGGGCGATGCCGTGCACCACCTGCTTCTTGCGGTAGTGCCCCAGGACGCGGCCGATCGGCTGGACGTAGATCCGCGTCGGCTCCAAGAGCAGCTCGGCGACGGTCTTGCCGCCACACTCCTCGACCGGGTCGTCGCACGAAAGGCCCGCCGTGTCGAAAACGATCTTCCGCACCAGGCTGAAGCCGTTCGAGTGCAGGCCGCTGGAGGCGACGCCCAAGACGACGTCGCCCGGGCCGATCTTCGAGCCGTCGATCAACCGGTCGCGTTCCACGACGCCGACCGAGAACCCCGCCAGGTCGTAGTCCTCCTCGGCGTACAGGTCGGGCATGATCGCCGTCTCGCCGCCCAGCAGCGCCGAGTCGGCCTGCACGCAGCCGTCCGAGATGCCGGAGACGACTTGCTCGAGCCGCTCCGGGTCGTCGCGGCCCATCGCGATGTAGTCCAAGAAGAACAGCGGCTCGGCGCCGCAGCAGAGGGCGTCGTTGACGCACATCGCCACGAGGTCGACGCCGACCGTGTCGTGCCGCCCGGCGAGCTGGGCGACCTTGAGTTTCGTGCCGACCCCGTCGGTGCAGGAGACCAGCACCGGGTCGCGGTACTGCCGGGCGAACAGCTTGCCCGCGAAGTCGAGCCGGAACAGCCCCGCGAAGCCCCCCTCCAGCGGTAGCACGCGCGGCGTGTGCGTCCGCCGCATGAGCCGCGGCAGGCGGGACATCGACTCCTGGTAGACGTCGAGGTCGACGCCGGCGTCTTTGTAGGAAAGGGGCATCTTGCTGGGGGCGTCGGGCGTGGGACGGCCCTACAGGATGCGCCGCCCGCCGCCGCTGCGGCTAGGCCCTCCGGGTCACCAGACAAAGGGGACGAGCCGCTTGGTGCGGCGGCGGTACGCCTGGTAGTCGTCGCCGAACCACTTGGCCAGGCATGCCTCTTCAACCCGTATACGCCGCCAGAGGGCTGGCGTACCGATCGCCAGTCCGACGAGCAACGCGCCCCAACTTCCGAAGCAGAGGGGGAAGCCCACCAAGAAGCCCAGGTAGGCCGTGTACGCCGGATGCCTAACGCGAGAGTAGACGCCGCGCGTGACGAGGCGATGCCTGTCGTAGGTCTGCACGTAGCCGCTGAAGTTCTTGCCGATCGTGAGACGCGCCGCCACGCGGACCGCGATCGCGACGGCCACCAGCGCGGCCCCGGCGCGAGTGAGCGGGTCGGCCCAAGCCGGCAGCGTCGTGCGCTGGAGAAATGCCGCGTCGACGAATCCGTAGGCGACGCACGCCTTGAACGCGACGAGCAACCACGTGAGCCCGGCGCCGCGCCGATCGGGCTGCTCGGGCTGAAACACGCCGGCGTAGTGGATAGCCCCCTCGGCGATAGCCCACACAACGTAGAGCCAGACGCCCCAGATCGCGTGCGTCGGCATGGCGGCCAGGCTCGCCAGGGTCTCGTTGAAGAACACCACGGATTCGGCAGCCGGTTGAGGTTGGCAAGACGCAGCGACTTCCAGCTAATGCAACTGCGAACGGGAACACCAACTCCTCGAGGGCAACGATATTGACGCCGGCGTCTTCGCCGAAAAAGAGGCGTCATGTGCGGCCAGCCCTATAACCAAAGGTGCAACCGCCCCCCCAGCAAGTCCGGCAACTTCTGCTTGACCATCTTCTCCACCTGCCGCGGGTGGTAGCGCGTGCTCAGGTGGGCGGCGATCACCAGCTCGTTCTCGAACAGCGACGCGCGGTCGACCCAGTCGTCCAGGTGCATGTGACCGTGCTTGTGGATCTTCTCCTTGCGGTGCTCGGGCGAGACGAACGTCATCTCCGCGATCAGCACCTTCGCGCGGTACATCTCCGGTGATTGGTCGAGCCCCTTGGGCGAGCTGTCGCCGAGGTAGGCGACGATCGGTGTGCGGACCTCGCTGGTGACCTCCGTGCCGGCCTGACGGAGGTCGCGTATCTCGTGACCCTCCAGGTCGACGTACTCCGGCTTGAGCTTCTTGCGGCGGTCCCAGACGACGTAGCCGACGGACGGTACCGTGTGGGTCGTCGCCGTGACGGTGACGACCAGCTCGCGTGAGAGCTCGATCTCTTGGCCTGCCGTGACGCCGACCAGTTCGCACGGCAACCGGCCGCGGTCGAGCCGCTGCATGGCGGCGAGCAGCTGCTTCGTCGACTCGACGTTCTCCTCCGGCAGGTAGATCGTCGGCGGCGCCATCTTCATCATCCGCCGGCGCGCGACGTAGACCGGCAACGCCGCGATGTGGTCGAGGTGCGCGTGCGAGACAAACCAGGTCTCCGTGCCTTGGAAGCTCCACGGCTGGAGGCCGAGGTCGAAGCCGAGGCTCATCTCCGGCAGGCGCCAGTAGCTCTGCACGGCCGCGCGGCTGTAGCCCTCGATGGTGAGGTCGCCGTGCTTGAGCATCTTGACGGGGGCGTTGTTGACCAAAGCAGCAGTCTATGAGGGGTCGGGGACGGAGCGCGACCCACCATTATTGGGCAGATCGCCCCGGCGATCACGGGGCCGCCCGTCAGCCGGCCGCGGTCGTCGCGGCGACGCCCGCCAGGGGCAGGGGGCCCGGTTCGACGGTGATCGGCCCGTAACGCTCGGGCTGAAACGCCAACGCGTGGCGGTAGCGGACGAGTTCCAGCAGCGCGAGGAACATCGCCACGAGCGTCGACTTGTGGACCGCGTCCTCCGGGAAGAGGTCGTCGAACGCCACGGGCCCGTCCGCCGAGCGTATCTGCGTGTCGATCCGCTCCATGTAGACGTGGACCGGCGTTTCGTCCTCGATGATCGCCTCCGGCTCGGGCTCGAGCCGGTCGCGCATCACGCGGCCGAATGCGCTGACGAGGTCCCACAGCTCGACCCCTTCGACGGGGCGTTCGGTCGGCTTGCTCGCCGGCGTGGAGGCCAGGCGGCGATGGCGTCGCGACCAGTCGAGGCGGAGCGCCTCCAGCTGGTCCGCCATGTCGCGGTACTCCTTGAACTGCAGGAGCCGCTCCACGAGGTCGCTGGGCGACTCGATTGGCTCGTCGAGCGGGTCGCCGTCGGCCGCTTGCTCGGCCGAGGGCAAGACGCTGTGCGACTTGATCTCCAGCAGCAGGCTCGCCACATCCAGAAAGTCGCCGACGGCGTCCGGGTCGAGACGTTCGAGCACCGCCACGTGCTCCAGGTACTGGCCGGTCAGCTCCGCCAGCGGCAGCTCGGCGATCGCCACCTCGTCCTTCTTGACGAGGTACAGCAGCAGGTCGAGCGGACCGTGGTAGGCGTCGAGATGGACCTGAAACGCGGACATCGGCCGCAAGGTAGCAACGCCAAGAAGCCCCCGCGAGGCGAGTCGTGCTAGCAACGAGGGGTCGATTGCAGGCTAGCCGTGTCCGCTCGCCCGTGGCAACACGCAGGGCCAAAGCGGAAGGCGGACCGCGGACAGCGGTTAGGCTTCGCTCGCGTTGCCGTCTTCCTGCCTGCCGCTCTCCGCTTTCCACCCTCCGCTGTCAAAAAAAAACCGCCGCCCCCACGAGGAGGGCGGCGGGCGTCGTTCAGGTTGTCACGGCGTCGGCGTCAGCCGAACGACCGCTCAGCAGCCGCAGGGATTGCAGCAGCGACGAGCGGCACGCTTGGCGCGCCACTTGGCGAACAGACCGCAGCGCTTCGGCTTGCAGCAGGGGTCGCACGGGTCGCAGCACTCCGGCTCCGGCTCGCAGCAAACCGGCTCGGGCTCGCAGCACGGGGCGGGGGCGGGCTCGCAAACCGGGGCGGGCTCGCAGACGGGCGCCGGCTCGCAGACCGGAGCGGGCTCTTCGCAGCAGACCGGCTCGGCCTCGCAGCACGGGGCCGGCTCTTCGCAGCAGGCGTTCTTCTTGCAGCCGAACAGGCCGGCTTCGGCGGTGGCGGCCGACGACAGGATCGCCACAGCGGCGACGACAACAGCAAACTTCGCGAACTTCATCTTGTGCTTCTCCGAAAGCTCGGATCGCCGCTCGTCAGGAGGAGCGGCTCGGGTGGGAGTCGGATCCGCAGGGGGCGATGGCCGCCCTCCCCGCGTAGCCGACGTGGCTTATCTCCGCCTCGCCTCAGGAGACGCGGCGCCAGGGCAATCGGGCCATCTGCGTAACGCACAGCAGATAGACCGAGTTTGCGGCCTGGGCGGGTAAAGCTATCAGCGTCAGGAGCGTTGTAAAGGGAGGGGGGACAGAATGTCGCGGAAAAAGTCCCCTCCACGGCGGGGGAGTCCTCGGACGCCGAAGCCCGGGCCGCCATCCCGAACGCTCAGCTAGCAGAAAGCCCGCGGTCGATTGACGCCTGTTCACGTGCGTAGACGGCCAGGACCGCTTCGAACGTCTCCGGCCCGACCCGCCAGACCGGGTCCGACTCGGTGTGCGTGTTGCAGTGGGTCGAAATCAGCCGGAAAAGGAACTTGAACAGGTGCCGCGGCGTGCGGAGGGTCCGCAACGCCTCGGCGATCCGGGAGTCGGAGACCGCCGGGTCGATCATGTCGCGGAGCGTCGGCGTCGCGCCCTCGGCCGAGCACGCCGCGAGCCGAGCTGCCGCCAGGTCGCGCAGCGAGTCGGCGGTCCAATCGAGCGACGGGACGACGTTCTGTTTGTCGAGCCGGGCCCGTTGGTGGAAGTCGCGGTCTTCGCGGTTGAGATGCTCCAGCAGCTCGGCCGGCAGCAGCAGCTTGAAGCCGATGCCGGGCTGGCGGAGGAACTTGTTGTCGAGCATCGACCAGACGAAGTCGCGGATGTGCTCGACCCGCCCGCCCAAGAGGTGCGGCTCGTCGACCCGGTCGACCAACACCATGACGCCGCCGTAGCCCAGCGCTCGGAGCACTCCCTGCAGCTTGCCGAGCAGCTCGTAACGGTCGTCGGTCCGCGGCTTGTTCGGCAGCGGCTGGTTCTCGAGGTCTTGCGAACGCAACCGCATCAAGAGGTCGGTCATCGTGCGGTCACGCCGCAACACGCGGACGTTCTTCGCGATACCGCGGGCGAGCAGCTTGCGGTGCGCCCACTTGACCCAGTACGGGACCCAGCCGGCGAAAGCGACCAGGTACGTCAAGTACCAAGACAGGTAGTCCCAGGCCTGGAAGTAACCGATCAGCGCGCCGATGGCGATGGACGACAACTGGCCGAAATAGGCCCAGCCGTGCGGTTGCCAGAACGGGTAACGGGCGACGCGGCGCAGACGCCGCCAGCGATTGCGGCGCGGCTCGGCGGTCGAGTCGTCGTAGCACGCGGCGAGCAGCATCAGGTCGCGGCGCTGCGCGGCGTCGAGACGCTTCACGTCGCGGCGGTCGAGTCGCGTCTTGTCGAGCAGCCGGTCGACGAGGTCCGTGACGGCAATCGAAAGGACGCCGTCCATGTGGTCCCACAGCTTCCACTCCTCGAGCACCCGCGTCGCGTCGCGTCCCTTGCGAGCCGGCAGGCGGTCGGCGAAGCGGTCGAGCAGCGGGTTGAAATCGTCGTACTCAACGACCCAGACCCGCCCTGGTGGGTCGGCGTCCGCCGCGCAAGCGTCGTTGTGCCGCTCGATCGCCTCGGCGACCTGCAGCCGCATCGCGGTCTTGCCGGCGCCCTTCTCGCCGAACACGAGCGACGTCGCCGGATCGGCCGGGTCGCCGTAGACCTTGTCCCAAGCGGGATGGCGCACGTCGACGCAGAGCGCTTTGAAGACCTGGTCGGTCTGCGCGTCCTCTTCGGCGAACGGGTTCCGCGTCACGCCGTGGTGGGCAAGGAATTGGTCGGTTCGCATCGCTTTCTGGGTCGGATCGAAACATCGTCATCTAGCATCCAAGGGTACGCCACGCACCGGTTTGCGACTCGCACGCCTGGGTGATTGCGGCCCGCTACAATCGAAGCATGCCGGACAACCCACCCCCGCTGCCGCCGCTGAAGACCGACCCAAAGTACGGTTACTACCCGTGGTGGCCCGAGGACGGCGACGCGTGGGTCCACCCGGAGGACGCCCCGCTCGCGCGGACGCTGATCCCGAGTCCCCGCGTCTGGCGACGCGACGGCGCGATCCCGGCGCGGGCCGGCGACTTCGTCGTGATGCACTACGGCGAGACGCGCCTCCGCGTGCGACGCACCCTCTGGCGAGAGGTTCGCCACGAGGGGCTCGATCTTGGCGACTGGGTCGAGGTCCGCCCGCGCGGCATGACCAACGAGCCGCACACCGGCCAGGTCCGCGAGATGCACTGGGACGACCACCACGCGGTCGTCCGCTACTGGCTGACGCTCGCCGACGGCACCCTGCTCGACCGGGCGTTTGAGGTGATCGACCTGAAGCCAATCGAGCCGCCGACTCCGCAAGCGGAGTCTCGGATCGAATCGGCATCCATCGACATCGACGGGGCTGATATACTAGAGCTATGACATCTCTCACGCCCGCTGACATCGTTCAAGCCGCTCTGCAGTTGCCTGCAGCCGAGCGTTTGCGGATCGCCAACGAGATACACAGCAGCGTCGTCCCTCCGGGTATCCTCGTTGAAGGCGAGCCCGGGTTCTTCGAAGAGCTAGATCGACGCGCCGCCGCGGTTCGATCCGGTGAGATGTCCACGAGCTCTTGGGAGGAAGTGGAAGCGGAACTCACCGAGATGCTTGAGCGCAAGCGAGCTGAGCGTGGAAGTTAGGCTCAGCGATGCCGCCAAAGAGGAACTCTGCGAAGCCACTGCTTGGTACGAAGATCGTCAAGCGGGCCTCGGAGATGAATTCAAGCGCGAGGTTCGTCTAGCTACTGAGGCGATCGGCCTGGATTGGGCCCGATTCGCCGCCTACGAAGGCGGCAAGACACGCGACACTTTCCGACGTGTGTTGATCGAACGCTTCCCTTACGTGCTCATCTTTCAAGTGGAATCCAACGAGATCATCGTGCACGCTGTCATGCACGCCTCCCGCGAACCCGGCTACTGGGAAGGCCGCTAGCCCGCCGCTTCGGCGCGGTCTTCCAGGCCCAGCCGCTTCATCTTCTTGTAGAGCGTCGTGCGGTTGATGCCGAGTTGGTCGGCCGTCTCGTTGCGGTTCCAGCTGTTCAGCTCGAGCACCTCGAGGATGATCTGCCGCTCGGGGCCCTCAAGCGCCTCCTTGAGCGTCTGGCCCGTGTAGCCGACCGACGCGCCGGCGGCGACGCCTGGCACTCGCAGCTCGGGCGGCAGGTCGTGCGGGCGGATGACGTCGCCCTTGCCGAGGAGCACGGCCCGCTCCACGACGTTCTGAAGCTCACGCACGTTGCCGGGCCAGTGGTACCGCTGCATCGTGGCGAGCGTCTCGTCCGTGAAGCCAGTGACGTTCGGCCGGTTCGCGTCCTCGCGGACCTCGTCGAGGAACTTTTGCGCCAAGAGCGGGATGTCGCTCGTGCGGCCCCGCAGCGGCGGCAGCTCGAGGTTGATGACGTTGATCCGGTAATAAAGGTCTTGGCGGAACGTCCCTTCGGCGACGTTCTTCGACAGGTCCTCGTTCGTCGCGAGGATGACGCGGACGTCGACGCGGTGCGTCTCCGTGCCGCCGACCGCCTCGAACGCGAGTTCTTGCAGCACGCGTAGCAGCTTGACCTGCATCGCGGGCGTGGCGGTGCCGATCTCGTCGAGGAAGATCGTGCCGCCGTCGGCTTGAAGGAACTTGCCGACCTTGTTCGACACCGCGCCGGTGAACGCTCCGGCGACGTGACCGAACAGCTCGCTCTCCAGCAGGTTCTCGGGCAACGCGCCGCAGGCGACCTCGACGAACGGGCCGGTCCGGCGGTCGCTGCGGGTGTGGATCGCCCGGGCGATGAGGCTCTTGCCGGTGCCGCTCTCGCCCGTGACGAGGACGGTCGCCCGCGTGTCGGCGACGCTCTCGATCACCTCGAACACGCGCTGCATCCGCGGGTCGGAGCCCACGATGTGGCTCATGCCGTGCTTGCGGTCGAGCTGCTGCTTCAGCTCGGTGTTCTCGGCGAGCACCTTCCGCTGACCGAGCGCCCGCTCGATCGCCATCAGCAGCTCGTCGTCGATGAGCGGCTTGGTCAGGTAGTCGAACGCGCCGGCGCGGATCGCGTCGACCGCGGCGTCGGCCGTGCCGTAGCCGGTGATCAGGATCACCTGCGTCTCGGGCCGACGACGGAGCGACTGCTCCAGCAGGTCAAAGCCGTCGCCGTCGCCCAGGCGGATGTCGCACAGCACCAGGTCGTACGACTTGGCGGTGAGACGCTCCAGCGCGTCGGCCTGACCGGTGGCCGTGTCGACGGCGAGGCCTTGGTCGCGCAGCCAGTCGGCCATCGACTCGAGGACTTGCAGGTCGTCGTCGACCAGCAGCAACGAACCGTTCTCGACGGACGACGGGTTGCGATCTGTAGACATGAGTGGCGCGCAGGGGTTTGGCACAGGACTTCGTGTCGCCAAATACCTACGTCACAGGGGCCGTGTGTCAAAAACGCACGCCCGCAGCCCGTCTCGCCGACAGAATCCTCCCCTCGGGCCGGCGCAACCGTGATAAACTGCCCCTCGCGACATCCGCGTGACGGAGGGACCCCGTCGCTTACCCCTTTCACAGGCAAGCGATCCTACGGAGGTCCCCATGCGATCCGTCCTAATGCTCCTTGCTGCGTCACTCGTCCTTGCCGCCGTGGGCGTAGCCGAGGGACAAACCATCTCGGGCGTGCTCAACAAGTGGGAGACGGTCACCCTCGACTTCGAGGGTCCCGACAGCTTCGAGCTGAGTGGCCGCGCGCAGGTCGATGAAGTCGTTGCCTTGGGGAACCCGTTTCTCGACTACCGCCTGCAAGTCGAGTTCACCTCGCCTACCGGCAACAGCTACGTCGTCCCGGGCTTCTTCGACGGCGACGGCCAAGGGGGCGCCTCCGGTGATGTGTGGCGCACCCGCTTCACGCCGGACGAGGTGGGCGACTGGACCTACACGGCGTCGTTCCGCCAAGGGTTCGACATCGCGGTCAACCTCGACCCACTCGCCGGCACGCCGGCTTCGTCGATCGACGGCGCGTCGGGTGGCTTCTCCATTGCGGACACCGCGGCGAACGCCGAAGGGTCGTTCCAAACCGGCAGGCTGGAGTACGTCGGCAGCCACTACCTGAAACAGCGTGACGGCGGCTACTGGATCAAGACCGGCGCCGACAGCCCGGAGAACTTCCTCGGCTACCGCGGCTTCGACAACACGCAGACCAAAGGCAACGACGGCCCGGGGCGCCGCGGGATCCTGCACAACTACGGCGGCCATGCGGGCGACTGGAACCCGGGCGACCCGGCGTGGGACACGCCCGACTTCGACTTCGGCAACACGCTCGCCGAGGGCGGCGACGCCCGCAACCTCATCGGTTACCTCAACTACCTCAGCGAGATCGGCGTCAACTCGCAGTACTTCCTGGCCAGCAACATCGGCGGCGACGGGCAAGACTCCAACCCGTTCGCGGCGATCAGCACGCCGGCCCAGCTCAGCGGCGAGAGCAACTCCGGCGTCGCGAACGACAACCTGCACTACGACCTGTCGAAGCTGGCTCAGTGGGAGACGGTCTTCCGCCACGCCCAGGAACAAGGCATCCACCTGCACTTCGTGCTGAACGAGGCGGAGAACGCCAACAAGCTCGAGCTAGACGACGGCACGCTCGGCGTCGAACGCAAGCTCTACTACCGCGAGCTGGTCGCGCGGTTCGGGCACCACAACTCGCTGCAGTGGAACCTCAGCGAGGAGTACGACCTGAACAACGGCTTCGGGCCGAACACCGCCGCCGAGGCGGCGCGGATCAACGAGTTCGCCGACTACTTGTCAGCGCTCGATCCGTACGACCATCCGCTGACGGTCCACAACGCCGGCAACAACAACTTCGCCAACGCCGGCCAGATCGCAACGAACTCGACCTACCAGTACTTCATCCCGGACGAGGACTTTGACCTCACCAGCCTGCAACGGGCCGGGCAGGAGGAGGGCTGGTCCGACGTCGTCGAGGCGTTCCGCACGGCGACGGCCAACGCGGGCCGACCGCTGGCGATCATGGTCGACGAGCCCGAGTCGATCACCCGCATCGGCGTCGGGACGAACGACGACACGGAACCCGGCACGACTAACGCCGAGCGTTTCAACACCGTCCGCAAGACGATGACCTGGGACATCCTGCTGTCTGGTGGCGCCGGCGTGGAGTGGTTCATCCACAACGCCGACCAAGACGTCGAGGACCAACGCGTCTACGAGCAGGTCTATGTCGAGGCAGCCAACGCCCGGCGCTTCCTGGAAGACAACCTGCCGTTCTGGGAGATGACCCCCGACGACGGTCTGCTCCGCAACGAAGACAGCGACTACGGCGGCGGCGAAGCGTTCGCCAAGTCGGGCGAGGCGTACGCCTTCTACCTCCCCGACGGCTCGAACGACGACGGCCCCGGGCAGTCGGCGCCGGAGATCGACCTCACGGCCGGCGCGGGGCGCGAATTCTTGCTGCGGTGGTACAACCCACGCACCGGAGAGTTCGAAGGGCCGACCGCGGTGCTCACCGGTGGCGACTGGGCGAGCGTCGGCGTCACGCCCGACGGGTTCCAGAACACGAACGACTGGGCCGGGCTCGTCACGCTGATCGGCGCGCCGGTCGCCGGCGACTACAACCGCGACGGCGTGGTCGACGCGGCCGACTACACGCTTTGGCGAGACACCGAAGGCGAAAACGTGGCGCCTGGCGAGGGCGCCGACGGCGATGGCGACGGCGTCATCACGCAGGCCGACTACGTTTTTTGGGCAGATCGATACGACGCTGCCTCCTCGGTGACCGTCCCCGAGCCCTCAACGGTTGCCTTGCTAACTCTCGTCGCTGCAAGCTGCCGAAATCGGCGGCCTCGGTCGCGGTGACGCGCTGCATGCCCCTGCCGCGCCCACTATGCTAGAGGAACGCGGCTGTCGCCCGCGTCTCGTCTGGCAGGAATCACAACGCTTTGAAGAAGAGGCCCCCGATGCCGGTCCGCATGCTCCTGGCTGCCGCCCTGGTTGGCCTGGGCTCCACGTCCCACGCGGATTTCCAGTTCATCGGCGCCGGCGAGTCGGACTTCAATTACACGTTTGGCGGCTTCACGCAGTCGTCTCTCCCGAGCGGGGGGGTCCGGCTCACCGACCCGACCGACGACTCGGGCGGCGCCGGCAAGGGCTACGGCAGTTCGCTCGACTTGTCGTCCTACACCGACGGCCGATTCGTGGTCGATCTGACGACCCAGCCCGGCAACGGCTCCGACGCGTTCCTCTTGGAACTCATCGACGGCGCGGGCAACGGCGGCAAGTGGCAGCTCTCCTCGGCGGGCGCCGGGCCCGGCACGCCGCAGACGATCGTCTCGTCCGGCACGCTCAGCGAGCCGTCGTCGGAGATCGGCAGCTTCGCGTCATTCGATCCGACGTCGGTCAACCTGTTCCAGGTGATCGGGACCTTCACGACGCCGGCGCCGTTCGACATCGCGTTCGACTCGATCCTCGTGTCGAACGACGTGGCGCCACCGCCCCCTTATCCCGGTTTCGAGCCCGACGCGCCGTGGCGTGCCGAAGCGGCGACCCGAATCGACGCGATCCGCAAGGGCGACCTCACGGTCCAGGTGCGTGACGCGGCGGGCAACCCGGTCGCCGGCGCCGCGGTCGACGTGCTGCAGACCGAACACGAGTTCGGCTTCGGCTCGGCGATGCAGGCGTTCCGCCTGCGTGACAACAACCCGACGCACAACACCTACAAGCAGATGGCCGCCGAGTTGTTCAACGTCGGCACGCTCGAGAACAACCTGAAGTGGCAGGCGTGGGACGGCGAGTTCGGGTCGAACTTCACCCGCACCGGCGCCGACGCCGCGGTCACCTGGCTCGAAGACAACGGCCTGGAGCCGCGCGGCCACGTGATGGTGTGGCCCGGCGTAAACAACGTGCCGACCGACGTCGAGAACCTGGTGAACTCCGCGCCGCTGAACGCGGCCGAGCAACAGCAGCTCCGCGACCGGATCGCCGGGCACATCGCGGACATCGGGGGTCGCTACGCGGGGCGGATCGGCGCTTGGGACGTCATCAACGAACCTCGCACCAACAACGACGTGATGGACGTGCTCGCCGAGGGCGACGACGCGATGATCACCTGGTTCCAGCAAGCGGCCGCCGCCGACCCGGACGCCGAGCTCTACCTGAACGAGTTCGGCATCCTGACCTCCGGCGGGGCAACGAACACGGCCAACCAGCAGCTTCTGGAGAGCCAGCTCCAAGCGCTGATCGACGGCGGCGCACCGATCGACGGCGTCGGCCTGCAGGGCCACTTCAACGACGCGAGCCTCACCGGCCCGGAGCAGCTCTGGCAGATCCTCGACCGTTACCAGGCTCTCGGGCTCAACATCCAGATCACCGAGTTCGACCACGGGTCGAACGACGAGCAGCTTCAAGCGGCCTACCTCCGCGACTTCTTCACGGCGGTGTTCGCCCACGAGGGGGTCTCGGACTTGATTCAATGGGGCTTCTGGGAGAACGCCCACTTCGATCCGCAACGGGCCCTGTTCCGCAGCGACTGGTCGATCAAGCCGAACGGCCAGGCCTACGTCGACCTCGTCTTCGACGAGTGGTGGACCGAAGAATCGCTCGCCGCCGACGGATCGGGCGACGCCGATCTGCGGGGCTTCAAGGGCACGCACGAAGTGACCGTCACCTGGGCCGGCTCGGAGGTCGTCGCGTTGGCGACGATCGATGGCTCGGGCAACGTCGTCAGCATCGACCTGCCGGTTCTCGTCGGCGACTACAACGGCGATGGCGCGGTCGACGCGGCGGACTACACCGTGTGGCGAGACAGCCTCGGCCAAGAAGTCGCGTCGCCCGGCTTGGGCGCCGACGGCGACGGCAGCGGCGTCATCGACCAGGGCGACCTCAACGTCTGGCGAGCCAACTTCGGCGCCACGGCGACGTCCACGTCCGAGGCGATACCGGAACCGAGCGCTCTGACGCTGCTAGCGCTCGCCGCCGCTTCGCTGTGCCGCCGACGAACTCGGTAGCGGGAAGCGTTTCATCCCGCCCGCGGGTGCGCCTTCTCGTAGGCGTCGCGCAGGCTGCGGGAGCTGACGTGCGTGTAGACCTGGGTGGTCACCAGGCTCGAGTGCCCAAGCAGCTCCTGCACGCTGCGGATGTCCGCCCCGCGATCCAGGAGGTGCGTCGCGAAGCTGTGCCGCAAGGTGTGCGGCGACGTGCGACCGTCGAGGCCAGCCGCCGTCAGGTGCTTCTCGAGCATCCGGGCGACGCTGCGGGTTGTCAGGCGACGGCCGAAGCGATTGGTGAACAGCGGTGAGTCGTCGTCGGGCGCCTCGCCGCCCGCGAGCCGCCGCTTGGCGAGCCAAGCCGCGAGCGCGTCGCTCGCGTAGGCCCCGATCGGCGCGAGCCGCTCCTTGCGCCCCTTGCCGCGGACGCGGAGCAGGCCTTGCTCCAGGTCGAGGTCGCCGTCGTTGGCGCCCACCAACTCGCTCACTCGCAGGCCGGCCGAGTAGAGCGTCTCGAGGATCGCGCGGTCGCGGAGGCCGAGGTCCGTGTCCGCCGGCGGCGCCGACAGCAGCGTCGCCACCTCCGCGTCCGTAAGGAAGTGCGGCAGCTTCCGCGCCTTGCGCGGGTTGCGGAGCGCCTCGGCGGGGCTCGACCGGACCCAGCCTTCGCGCTGGGCGAACTTGAAGAAGGACCGCACGGCCGACATCCGCCGAGCGACCGACGTCTTCGCGTAGCCCGCTTCGCCGAGGGCGGCGAGAAAGCCGCGAAGGTCGCCGACGGTCACGGCCGCGGGGTCGGGCGACTTGCCGCCCTCGTCGGCCAGGTACTCGGCCAGCGCCGAGAGGTCTTCGCGGTACGCCTTGATCGTGTGCTCGGAGGCGGCCCGCTCGCGCTCAAGGTGCCGCAAGAATTGTCCGAGCTGACGACGCACGGATGCCTCAGGCCTCGCCCTTGGGCAGGGCGGCGTTCCCGGACAACCGCGGGGCGAGCAGCTCGTGCTTCTTCGCCTCGTTGCGGATGCGCTTGCTGAGCACCGCGGCGTCGTACCACGTGAAGCTCAGGTTCGGGTCGGACGCGTGACGGCCGAGCGCCCGAAGCGCCTGGGCTTGCTGGTCGTCTTGGTACAGGAACAGGTAGCGTTCTTCGCCTTTGACAAGGGCGAGGACATTGACGTCGTCGTTCACGGCTGGGTCGCCTCCGTGCGGCGCGGGCGGGGGAGCGGCGGGGTGGGGCAGGCTAGCGCGGCGACGCGGCGGTCGGGCCCGGCGACCAGTCGGGTCGCCTCGGGCGCCGCTCGGCGTTGCTGTCGCTCCCGCCGCGTCCGTCCGTTGAACGCGACAAAGCAACACGCTACCGAGGGGTCTATCGGCCGCCGGACCAACGACGCACCACTCGCGTTTCACCGCCTCCGCCGCGAGCAGAGAGCGTTTCCACGAGGTGCAAGTGACAGCAGAAGCGGACGAAGTCCTCGCTGCGCGACAGGTACGACTGCCAGCCGCCGAAGCGTGCGTCGTCCCGAAAACCGACATAGGCCGCAAGCGCCGCCGTGAAATCGGGGTCCGTGCCCCGGTAGACCCGCGTGTGCGTCATAACCGGACCCGGGTTGCGCTGCGCGCGAGGGCGGGTCGGCGAAGGGCCGGGGGGCGTGAAACCCCGCGCGTCGGGCCAGTCGGGCGGCAACATGTCGGTTGCGACGATCCCTCCGCCCGTGACGGCCGGAGCGGTTAACGGGTCGGTCTCGTCGATCGGCGCGGCGAAGTCGGTTGCTTGCAGCGCCCCCGGTTCGGGCGGCGGCGGCAACGACTCGACCTCACGCTGGCGCCACGACTCGTCCGTGTCCGGCGTGCCCTCGAGCGCTGGCTGTTCGCGCATCGGCGTCAACACGGCCGTCTCGTCGACGAGGGGCGATTGCGTCGCAAGCTGCTCGCGCGCCAACGCCATCTCCGCCTCGAACACGAGGCTGTCCGGGATGTACTCCTCTTCCGGCGTGCCCCACGGCAAGCCGTAGCCGGCGGGGATCTCGTGGAACCCGGCGTTCGCCGCGTACCACTCGACCCGCACGCCGCAACGCGGCGGGTAGTACGGCGAGAAGTCGGTCACCGTGCCGACGATCACCGCGTCGACGCCAAGCCGTTGCGCCAGCAAACGGATCTGATCCGGCGCGCTCGAGGGCGGGTCGAAGGTGACGCCGTTCTGGATGATCGCGGCCTCGACGGCGGCGACCGGCACGACCTCGAAGCCGGGCGTGCCTTGCAGCTCCGCGAAGTAGGCTTCGGCGAACAACCGCCCGTCGACCGTCGGCTCGCCGCTCTGGTTGAAGAACGGCACGACCGCGACGCGGCTGAGCTGCGGGAACGGGTTGTGCACTACCGGCTGGTGCGTCACCTCGGGCAGCACCAAGTGGCAGCCGCTCGCCAAGAGGACGAGCGACGCAAAGGCCAGCAGCGAGAGTCGGGGGCCGAACGGCATCGACGCGTGGTTGAGCCAGCAGCCCCCCTGCTAGCAAGCGGACAGACAGCCCGCTGTCGTCACCATCGGCACAACCGGCAAAGTCGCTTGAACCGATCTGGGAGGAAATCCCGCCGCCCTGCAAACAAAAACACCCCGGCGCGGCTGAGCCGCACCGGGGCGCGTGACTGGCGGGTGTCCCCCCATCTGATGTGAATTCGATTGCCAGCACGCTGTTCAGGTCGTGGGCGCCGGCGCCGCGGTGGTCGCCGCCGTCGGAGCGGGCGTCTCGAGCACCGGCGTCGGGCTCGGAGCTGTGGTCGGCGCCGGGGCTGGGACCGCCGGCTTGGTGGTCTTCCAGTGCGGCGCCTGGTAGCCCCACCCGGCGTGCGACACGGTCGCCCGATACACCGGGGCGTGATAGACGCGAGCGCTGTAGACCGGAGCGCTGTAAGCCGGGCGATGGACGACGGAGTATCCCCCGCCGTAGCCGCCGTACCCACCGCTGCCACAAGCGAGGGCGGCTTGGCCAGTAAGCGTGGCGGCGAAAGCAACGAGGGCGACGGCGAGCGAGCGGGGCATGGTGGGTATCCGGTTCGGTCCGAGCGGGTGGTGTTCGTGCTGGCGAAGCGGGCGTTTCGTCCCGCCCACAACACCTCAACGCTCGGCGAGCGCCGTCCTTCCGCGAGAAACGAAAAAAGTTCTCAGAAACCGAGTCCGGGCCATGTCGTCGATGCCAGAGAGCCTGAACGTTCCTTGAGTCCCCGTCCTCCTTTAGGGGAGAGGCGTTAGGGGAGGAGGCGCGCCGGGTACCCGGGTTCACCCCCTCCCCTAGCCCCTCCCCCGCACGCGGAGGAGGGGGACTCGCGCGGTCGATGCCAGCAGGACAGATCAACCCCAGACGGGTCGGGGCGCGTCGTAGGCGGCCAACGCCTGCACGAGCTCCGTGGGCTCGTCGGCCACGACGGCGATCCGGCGGTGCTCGGCCGACATGAAGCCGGCGGCGACCATCTCGTCGAGGAACGCCAGCAGCCGGTCGTAGAAGCCGGCGACGTTGTAGAGGCCCACCGGTTTGGCGTGGTAGCCGAGCTTCGCCCAGGTCCAGACCTCGAACAGCTCCTCGAGCGTGCCGACGCCGCCCGGCAGGGCGACGAAGGCGTCGGCCAGGTCGGCCATCATCGCCTTGCGGGTGTGCATGTCGGGCACGACGTGCCGCTCGGTCAGCCCGTCGTGGGCGACCTCTTTCTCGACCAGGTCGTGCGGGATGACGCCGATCGCCTCGCCGCCGCCGGCCAGCACCGCGTCGGCGACGACGCCCATCAGTCCGACGCAACCGCCGCCGTACACGAGGCCGATGCCCGCCTCAGCGAGGTGCGCCCCGAGCCGCTTGGCGGCTTCGAGGTACTCATCGCCGGCGCCCGATTGAGACCCACAGTAGACGGCGATCCTCATCAGACTCCGCGGGCTTACGCCCACGGCTCACGCGGCGTTCACCACTTCAGGCCGAACTGGTCGCCGCCGCTGGGGCCGCCGATGCCGCCCTTGAGGTTCTTGAACTTCTTGCGCTCGCGCTTCGGCTCCTCGGGAGCTTCCTCACGGGCGGGCTTCTCGGGCTTGGGCGGCGGCGCCATGAGCGCCTTGAGCGAGAGGGCGATCCGCTGCTTGCCGCGGTCGACCGAGAGGACCTTGGCTTCGACCTCCTGGCCCTCGCTGACGATGTCCCCCGTGCGGTGGACCCGCTTGTGGTCGAGCTCCGAGATGTGGATCAGCCCCTCGACGCCCGGCCCGAGGCGGACGAACGCGCCGAAGTCCATGATCTTCGAGACCTTGCCCTTGGCGGTCGAGCCGACCGGGTAGTCGGTCTCGGCGGAGTCCCACGGGTTGGCGGCCGCCTCGCGGTAGGACAACGCGATCTTGCCCGACTCAGGGTCGATCTTCTCGATCTTGACCTTGATCTGCTGGCCCTCGGTGAGGACCTCCTTCGGGTGGCCGATGCGGTCCCAGCTCAGCTTCGAGACGTGGACCATGCCGTCGACGCCGCCGAGGTCGACGAACGCGCCGAAGTCACGCAGCGACCGGACGATGCCGTCGCGAAGCTGCCCCGGCTTCAGCTCGGCGAGCAACTGCTCACGCTTGGCGGCCCGTTCCCGCTCCATCACGGCGCGGTGGCTGAGGATCACGTTCTTGCGCGACCGATTCGCCTCGGTGATGACGGCGGTCAGCCGCTGGCCGACGTACTCCTCGGCGTTCTCGACGCGGTAGATCGAGATCTGCCCCATCGGCATGAAGCCGCGGATGCCGCTGACCTTGCACTCGAGGCCGCCCTTGTTCTTGCCGGTGATCGTCACCTCGACGACCTTGCCGACTTCGACCTCGTCCCAGTCGCCGATCTCTTGGGCGCCGGTCGGCAGCGTCAGGTCGTACGTACTCTCCTCGGCGTTGAGGCCGACGACGAGCACCTCGATCTCCGAGCCTTCGGCCGGCGCGTGCGACGCGGGCGTCTCGGCTTCGGCGACCGGCGTTTCGGCGGGCTTCGCTTCGGTTGTCGCTGCGGGGGCGGCTTCGCCCTCGGTCGCCGGAGCCGCGACTTCGGCCGCCTCTTTCTTCGGCTCGAACTGCTTGAGCGGGACGACGCCTTCCAGGTGCACGCCGAGCTCAACGAACACCGAGTCGCCGACCACGCGGAGCACTTTGCCCTTGAGCTTCGAGCCCGCTTCTAGCTCTTTGGGCGCTTCGGCGGTGCCGGAGTCGAGCACTTCCGCCACCGAAGAGCCTGACATCAACGCGTTGAGCTCGGCTTCTTCTTCTTCGGTCGGCGCTGTGCGCGCATTGGGCGGCGGGTAGCTCTTCTGTGCGGTCGGCTGAGCTTCGCCTTCGGTGACCGGGTTAACCGGCTTGGGCTTCAGCTCCTCGGCCGGAGCGGCGGCCTCGCCTTCGTCGCGCTGCGTGCCGATGAGGATCCGCTCGCTAGGGCGATCAGCCTCGGCGGTCGGCGTGCCCTCAACCGAAGCGTCTGCTTCGGCCGGCGCCGCCGACTCCGTCGCCGGAGCCGCTTCTGCCACGGGCTCCGCTTCTACCGGAGGAGCCTGCTCAGGCCGATCCACCGTCGCGGTCGCGGCGGCTGCCTCGGTGGGTGGCGTGGCGCTCTCGGGCGCGGCCTCGGTTGAGGCTTCCCCCACCTTCGTCTCGTCGTTCATCCCGCTCGCAAGCCTCGGTCGTCTGGCGCGCCGCATTAGCGCGGCGTGCTCGGCATCATCAATCGGCGTATATCGTTACGCGGTCGCCGGCCACGACCGCCGCTTGCACGGAGTGTACTCATTGCGGAAGAGCAGTTGCAACGATCGAATCCCCGCCTTGCGTAAGTTTCAGCGATCGTCGTGCGTCTCCCGAAACGCCCGAAGCGCCTCGGCGACTCCGGGAATGACCCGCGCCGCGTTCTCGGAATAAAGCTTCCGCAAGACCTCGTCCGGCAGGTCGATGCCGTGGATACTCCATAAACCCTGCGGCGGAAACGGGTTTTCGGCGTAGGCAAAGTACTCGTCGCGCGTCTGAAAGAACCGCCAATGCGGCAGCAATCGCCCCGCGGGGCGGGGGCCGTCGGTGCCGAACAGGATGCGGTCCTGATAGCGCAGAAAGAAGTCGTGTGCTGTGTACGGTTGTCGTCCCAATTCCGCGATGCGCGACGAGATTTCCACCACCAGGTTCGGATAACGATCCAGCCACTCGCCTACTTTCGCCAGATTCTCTGGATGGTTCGCCATGTGGGCGCCCAAGAACGTCGTCTTGGGGTGACGCGCGATTACGCGGTTACGCGCCGCGAGCAGCTGGTCGTGCGACGGCCACGGCCGACCGGTCGGGTCGTCGCCATAGAAGCTCCAATCGGGGTGGCGGTGCAGCTCTTCCCACCGCTCGTTGCGCTCGTCGATCGGCTCGAAGAAAGCGACCGGGTCGGCCGAATGGATGATCACCGGCAGGCCCAACTCGCCGCAGGCGGCCCAGATCGGGTCCCATCGCGGGTCGTCGATCGCGACGAGCGAATCGTCCGGGTTGCGGTAGTACAGGCCGAGCCGCTTAAAGATCTTCAAACCAACCACGCCGCGACGCTGCGCGTCGGCGAGTCGCCGGGCTGTCCGACGACCGAAGTCGGGCCGGTGACAATCCCAAGTCGACCAGTCGTCCGGGTCGCCGTCGCCACGCCAGTCGACGTTGGCGAAGACCAGGAACCGGTCCGCATGAGGGGCGAGGTACGCCAGGTGCTCGTCGAGCGCTTCGCCCAGACCGCCATCGAGGCTCACGCAGAGGGCGACGTTGTGTTCGTCCATGATCTGCACGAACTCGCCGAGCCGCGCCGGGTCGTGCCGAAAACGCATCCGCGGATGCGTGTGCACGTCGACGACCGGGAACCTCGCGCGGGGCGCTTCAGAGCGCGGGGCGATCAGTTGAGCCTTCGGACGAAAACGCTCGAGAGCCAGCGACCGGCCGTCGCGGCCGTCGAGCGGCTCTTTGGATGACGCGTTTAGAGCGGCAGCCAAGCACAAGGAAATCGCCGACAACTCACGCCAAGACGCGAAGGCGCAAAGGGGTCTTGCATGCGGTGTCTTTACGCCTTGGCGCCTTGGCGTGAGTCGCATCGAGTCGGTCAGCCTTGGAGTTCTCGGAGAGCGATTCGGATACTCCCCAGCTTACCGCCGTAGCTTCCCGCCGTGATCGCAAGGAGGTCTTCGCCATCCGCTGCGTCGATCGCGAGACGCATTGCCTCGCGCACAGCTTGCTCGTTGACGCCGTTGAAAATCAGCTCGTACGCGCACGAGGCACCGTCCGGGAGGCTACCGCCATCGAGTGTGGGACAGAATGCCTCGTTCGTTGACGCCACGAGCTTCTCGTACCGCGACCCCACCTGGCTGCCGCTGCGGCAAACGCCACCGGGGAACGGCGTGATCACGCCCGGCAGGTCGCGCACGGCGTCGCCCGCTCGTCGGGCGGCGAGCAGCGTCCCCGCTTGCTCGCGACCGCAGAGGATCAGGTTGCCGCCGGCGACGCCCCGGCCGAGGCCGATCGTCCGCGGTAGGGCGACCTCGCCTTCCATCACAGGCACGAGCCAATGGCCGTCTGCCTCACGCTCGTGTCCGTCACCGAAGTACCGGAGGTAGTCGCCCAGCGAAGCTCGCTGCTCGGCGCTAGGCAGACCGTCGAAGACCGCCGCCGTCGGACAGGTGAGCACCGTCTGCCCTACGCGATTCGCGACGGCCCGGCCCAGCGGCTCGGCACGGAACCCGAAGGCGAGAACCTCGGCGCCGATCCGGCCGTCGGGCGTGTCGTCCGGCGTGAGCTGTCGTTCAATTGCGATCTCGGCGTCGCAGCCGATGACGCTCGTGCCGTAGCCGCACAAGGCGCTTTTCGCCGCGTCGAGCCAATGCTCGTCCGCCGCGGTGACGACGAGCCGCGCGTACCACGCGGCGAACGCCTCGGCGTGTGTGTCGACGACCCGCGCTCGGCCAGTTCGATCCACAAGAACGTCCGTCGCACTCGATGGAGGGGGCGATGCGGCTCGCTCAGCCACTCGTACGAGTGTGCTCGGCCCGACGGGCCGGTGTCAAAGCGGCGACGCCCCCTCCCCCATTACGACGGCGCCGACCGACAGATCTTGCCGCCGCTCTCGTAACGGCCTTCGCCGAGGAAGTGGCACCAGCGGAGCAACACCTCCATCCGCATCTCCGCCAGGCCGATCCCAGCAAGACGCGGGTCGGCCGCCTCCAGCAGCACGCTGCGGTACGGCAGCGGTTGCGCGTGGCGGAACCCGATGCCGGTCGCGCTGAGGTCACGCCCGACAACGATGACCGACCCGGCCTGCTCCGCGCCCTCGTCCAGCGGCGTGAGCCGCAGCCGGTAGTCGAACACCGATCGGCCGATGTGACGCCGCTCCGAGCCGGAGCGGTAGACGTCGTACACCCCGCGGGCGTCACGATGTTGAGACGGAGTCGGGGCGCACAACGCCATAGTGCAACCTTCGAAGGTGACCGGACGAGACCCTGCCGTCGTGGCTCAACGCGGCACGACGACTAAGAAGAGGCGTGGGCAACGCGGCGGTGACGCACGCTCTGCCCAACAGCAAACGTAGGTCGCTCCTGACGACGCGGCGCGGCGCGCACCGATTGCGCTACGGTTTCTGTCGCCGGCCCGTCGGAGCGATCGGAACAACCGTTGCGGCTAGAGCGCCTCGAAGCTGGTGAAGCGATCTGTGGGAGGCGTCTCCGACGCCGATTGCGGCAGGTCGAGCCCCTACGGTGTCGAACGCGCAATCGGCGTCGGAGACGCCTCCCACACTCAAGTGCAACGGCGATCGTCAAACCGACTACGAATGGGCCCCTAGAGCGTCAGCCAAGCGAGCCCGCCGACGCCGACGACCGTCGCCACGCTGAGGGCGAGCAGCGAGAGGACGTCGGCCAGCCGGCTCTCCTCGCGTGTCGTCGCGAGCGTGAACGCCGCCACCTGGGTGGCGATCTCCTCGCTCAGGCGCGCGTGGCCCGGCGCCATCGCCAGCGGCGCGACGCCGTCGGCGCCCGGCCCTCGCGAGCCGATCGACGGACGTCGCCCGGCGCCGGATTCGGCGAAAGCCAGCGGCAGCGGGGCCCCAGCCTCGTACGACGGGAGCGTCTCGCGTTCCGCTTCGCCGAGCGCCTCGTGAGTCACGTCGGGCGCCGGGCGGAACGCTTCGGTGATCAACCGACAATCGGGACAGATGCGGAGGTGACGCTCGACCGCCCTGGCGGCGGTGCTCTCGCTGGGAAACGGGGCGCGCGTCAGCTCCATGAAAACGTCGTCGCAATCCATCGCTTGGTCTCGCAGCAGCTTGAGATAAGAAGCAAACGAGCAGGAGCGAGCGACCGCGGCGGTTCCGCCATCCGCGTTGCTGCGTCGCTAGCCGGGGTCAGAAGAGAGCGGCTCAGGAGCTGTGAAGAGCAGGTTAAATCGAGCTTCCGGGCGCGTGCTAGGCCAGTGGCGGCAAACCGAAGCAACTTGTCGCTACCGACACGGCCGATGCCGGGTCGCGCCGTGAAGACGCCGTTCGCGATGCGCTACGCGTCCAGTTCGGACAGCGCAGCGAGAACCTGCTCGTCGTGGCCGTCAACCTTCACTCGCTTCCACAGTTTCACCACTTTGCCATCCGGGCCGATCAGGAACGTGCTCCGCTGGATGCCCATCGACTTCTTGCCGTACAGGTTCTTTTCACGCCACGCCCCGTACTTCTCCGCGACCTTGTGATCGGGGTCGGCCAAGAGCGGGAAGTTGAGCGAGTACTTGTCGCGGAACTTCTCGTGGCTGGCGACGTCGTCGGGGCTGACGCCGAAGACCTTGGCGCCGAGCTTCAGGAGCTTCTTCTCCGCGTCGCGGAAGGCGCAAGCCTCTTTCGTGCAGCCGGGCGTGTCGTCCTTCGGGTAGAAGTAGAGCACCACGGGGCTCCCTTTCTGCTCCGAGAGGCGAACCTTCGACCCGTCGTCGGCGGTCAGAGTGAACGCGGGCGCCTTGGCGCCTTCTTCGATCCAGTCGTCGGTTGCTGCGGCCATCGCGGACGGTCTTTCGGGGGTTGGGTTCTCGGGCTTTCGGAGGCTCTCCGCTCGGCTGCGTGAAGGCCAGCCGCCGACGGATGTGAAGAGTCTAGGAAACCCGCCGCATTCCGCCAGCTAGCGTGCCGGTTGCCATCGACCCCGCCGGCCGAGGGCGCCGATGATCCTGGCAGAGAGCGATTTGCGGGCCCGAGCGTGGGGTCGTCGCCCCTCGCTGCTGGGCCGATTACAATCGAGTCCTAGACCGAGGAGCGTCTCGACTTATGCCAGCCAGCGTCCTGGAGGTCGCGATCGTCGACCCGAAACCTTCCGAAACCGACCCGCCGACGACCCCCGCCACGAGCCTCGAGCTCGCCCTGGCGGCCGCCCAGGTGGCCGCCGACAACCGCGGCGAGGAGATCAAGGTCCTCGACATGCGGGACCTGACGCCGGTCTTCGACTACTTCGTGATCGCCACCGGCAACAACCGCCGGCAGCTCCACGCGATCAGCGAAGAGATCGACCACCGCCTCGAGGACGACCTCGGCGAAGAGCGGATGGGCATCGAGGGCTACGCCGAGAGCCGCTGGATCCTGTTGGACTACGGCTCGATCGTCGTCCACCTGTTCGACGCGGAGACCCGCGAGTTCTACGCGATCGAGGACCTGTGGACCGACGCGAAGCCGGTCGTCCTGCCGGGGCAGGACGAAGGCGCTAGTTGAGAGGCGCTAGGCGCTCGTTGTCGGTGCTTGGCGCGTACTCTAGCGCCTAGCGCCTCCCAATTAGCGCCTTGTTCACGACTTCGCCGTGCGGCATCCTCCGTGGCATGAACGCCCTCGCTGAACTACGCCGACGCTTCACCACCGCGCTCGAAGGCCTCGCCGACGACCCGGCCGCGCTGGCCGAGATGGTCTTGCCGAGCCAGGACGCCAAGTTCGGCGACTACCAGGCGAACTGCGCGATGCCGCTGGGCAAGAAGCTCGGCAAGCCGCCGCGTGACGTGGCGGGCGAGATCGTCGAGCGGCTCGCGGCGCACGAGGGCTTCGCCAACCTCTGCGAGCCGCCCGAGATCGCCGGGCCGGGGTTCATCAACCTGCGGCTACGCGACGCGTGGCTGACCGAGCAGCTCAAGACCGCCTTGGCGAGCGACCGCCTGGCCGTCGAGCCGGTTGCCGAGCCGCGGACGTACGTCGTCGACTTCTCGAGCCCGAACGTCGCCAAGCCGATGCACGTGGGGCACATCCGCTCGACGGTGATCGGCGACGCCCTCTGCAGCGTCCTCCGCCTGCTCGGCCACCAGGTGATCTCCGACAACCACATCGGCGACTGGGGCACCCAGTTCGGGATGATCATCTACGGCTACAAGCACCTGCGCGACGACGCGGCGCTCGCCGCGTCGCCGGTCGCGGAGCTGGGCCGGCTCTACAAGCTCGTGAACCAGGTCGCCGACCACCAGGCGACCGTCGCCGAGAAGCTGCCGGCGCTGGCGGAGAAGATCGCGGCGGCCGACGCGAAGGTCGCCGAGCTGCAGGCCGTCGAGCCGACAGGCGACGCCAAGAAGGACAAGCAGGCCGCCAAGAAGCTCCGCCAAGCGGAGGGCGCGCTGGCGGACCTCAAGAAAGAACTCGCGGCGACGGAGGCCAAGGTCGCTGACTTCCTCGCTGACGAGCGACTAGCGACCCTCAACGAAGAGCACCCGCGGATCGGCGCCGCTGCGCTCGCCGAGACAGCGAAGCTCCACAGCGGCGACGAGGAGAACGTCGCCCTCTGGGAGCGGTTCCTGCCGGCCTGCCTCGCGGAGTTGCAACTCACCTACGACCGGCTCGGCGTGTCGTTCGACCACACGCTCGGCGAGAGCTTCTATCACGACCGGCTGGCCGGCGTCGTCGACACGCTCAAGGCGAGGGGCCTGGCGCGTGAGTCGGATGGCGCGCAGTGCGTGTTCCTCGAAGGGCACGACGCCCCGTTCATCGTGCAGAAGAAGGACGGCGCCTTCCTCTACTCGACCACCGACCTGGCGACGATCGACTACCGCCGGGCGGAGTGGTCGCCCGACGCGGTGCTGTACGTCGTCGATCACCGGCAGTCGCTGCACTTCGAGCAGCTCTTCGCCACCGCGAAGCTCATGGGCTACGACGGCGAGCTGACGCACGTCGCCTTCGGCACGGTGCTCGGCGAGGACGGCAAGCCCTACAAGACCCGCAGCGGCTCGGCGGTCGGCCTGATGGGCCTCCTGGACGAGGCGGTCGAACGCGCCGGCGCGATCGCCGCGAAGAGCCAGGTGCTCGAGACCGACGCGGAGCGGGCCGAGGTCGCCGAGCGGATCGGCATCGGCGCGATCAAGTACGCCGACCTCGCGCACAACCGCACCAGCGACTACGTCTTCAGCTACGACAAGATGCTCGCGATGCAGGGCAACACGGCCGCGTACATGCAGTACAGCGTCGCGCGGGTGAAGAGCCTCTTCGCCAAGGGGGACGTCGACCCGAGCGACCTGCGGTCTTCCGACGCGCAGCTACGCCTCGACCACGCCGCCGAGCGCGCCCTCGGCATCGAGCTGCTCCGTTTCAGCGAGGCGCTCGGCCGCGTCGCCGCCGAGTACAAGCCGAACCACCTGACGGCGTACCTGTTCGACTTGGCGCAGCGGTTCGCGGAGTTCTTCGAGCAATGCTCCGTCCTGAAGGCGGACGACGCCCAGGCGAAGGCGAGCCGGCTGTTGCTGTGCGACCTGGTGGCGCGGACGCTGGAGACGGGGCTCGGGCTGCTGGGGATCCGGACGGTTGAGCGGATGTAGAGTAAGGCCCCGAGCATGTCACTGACCCATGGCCACTTCTTCTTACTCGCGTTGCTTGCAGTTCGTTATCGCTCTCTTGCTCGCGGCGTTAGCCGTGGCTGCAACATCGGTCATTTCTAAGGGACGCTACGTAGAGCAGCTTCCGGACGGAGGAACTCTGACCATCCGTTTCCACGATTTGTTGAGCAACTGCGAGGCGTGAGACTCCTACGGTCGCTCCCTGACGGTCGCCGCTCAGGTTCCCGACGCGGCCATCGTGCCCTTCGTGCCTTCGGGGTTCCTACCGGCCCCGCGACGACGGTTTGCCCGCCTCCCGGTCGGTCCCGTACACTGCGTGATTCGCCGCCCCCCGCTCGTGACGCCGTAAACCCTTCCGCTCCCGCATGTTCGACGCCCTCCAGGAGAACCTCGGCGCCGCGTTCAAGACGCTCCGCGGCCAGGGGAAACTGACCGAGGCGAACATGCGCGACGGGCTGAAGCTCGTCGAGAAGTCGCTGCTCGAAGCGGACGTCTCCTACGAAGTCGCCCGCTCGTTCATGAAGCGGGTTTCCGAGCAGGCGCTCGGCGAAAAGGTCCTGAAGTCGCTGCGGCCCAGCGAGCAGGTCATCGGCATCGTCTATCAGGAACTGGTGAACCTGATGGGCCCGGTCGACCACTCCTTGCACCTCAAGGGCAAGGGGGACGTCACCGTCCTGATGATGTGCGGCCTGCAGGGCTCGGGCAAAACGACTACCTGCGGCAAGCTCGGGCGGATGCTCAAGGCGAACGGCCGCAAGCCGTTGCTGGTGGCCGCCGACCTGCAGCGTCCCGCGGCGATCGATCAGCTCCACGTGCTGGGCGAGCAGCTTGATATCCCGGTGTTCAGCGATCGCGAGTCGCAGGACCCGGTCAAAGTGACCGCCAACGCCGTCGAGCGGGCGAAGAAGCTCGAGGCGGACGTCGTCATCCTCGACACGGCGGGCCGCCTGCACATCGACGACGAGCTGATGGGGCAGCTCAAGCGGATCGACAACCGTTGCTCGCCGGACCAGGTCTACCTGGTCGTCGACGGCATGACGGGCCAGGACGCCGTCAACAGCGCCAAGGCGTTCAACGACGCGTTGGAGCTCGACGGCGTCATCATGACGAAGCTCGACGGCGACGCCCGCGGCGGCGCGGCGATCAGCGTCAAGGAAGTGACCGGCGTGCCCCTGAAGTTCATGGGCACCGGCGAGCACCTAGAGAACCTCGAGCCGTTCCACCCGGAGCGGATGGCAGGCCGCATCCTCGGCCAGGGCGACATGATGTCGCTGGTCGAGAAGGCGCAGAGCGAGTTCGACCAAGAGGAGGCCAAGCGACTCGAGGAGCAGCTCGCCAAGGGCGAGTTCACGCTCGACGACTTCCTCAAGCAGATGCAGCAGATCAAGCGGCTCGGGCCGCTGAAGAAGGTCATGGGCATGATCCCCGGCATGGGGTCGATGCTCGGGGACCTCGACGATCTAGACGCCGAGGGCGACCTCAAGCGGCTGCAGGGCATCATCCACTCGATGACGCCCGAAGAACGCCGCAAGCCGAAGGTCATCGACCAGAGCCGCCGCAAACGGATCGCCGCCGGGTCGGGCGTCGAGCCGCACGAGGTGAACGAGCTGGTCAAGCAGTTCGACACGATCGCCCCGATCATGACCTCCATGGCGGGCAAGGGCGCCGGCGACCGCATGAAGATGATGCGGGAAGTCCAAGCCCAGATGGCCGGCAGCCCAACCGGCCAGCTCAACCGCAAGAAGCAAGGCACCGGCAAACGCCTGACGTCCAAGGATCGAGCCAAGGCGCAAAAAGACCGCCAGAAGCGCCTAAAGCAGCTCAAGAAGCAAAAGAAGGGCGGCTGAAGCCAAGCCCGGCCTGCGAGCCGTCGGCGGCAGCCGGCGGAGGGCGCGACCGGAAAACTCCGCCGGCTGCCGCCGACGGCTTGCCGAAACCCGCTATTTTCGCGGGGCTAAGGGCTTGTCCGCCGGGGGCGGATGCCGCCATACTTGCGGATTCCCAATCAAGAGCCGGCCCCGGGTAATGAGCCCCGGGGCGACCGAGGAGACACGCGACCGTGGCAGTACGCATCCGCATGAAGAAGATGGGCCGCAAGCACCGGCACTTCTTCCGCATCTGCGCGACCGACAAGCACACCCCGCGCGACGGGCGGGTGCTCGAGGAGCTCGGCACCTACGACCCGATGATCGCCGACGCGGACGCCCGCGTGACGCTCAAGAACGACCGGGTCGACTACTGGCTCGGCGTCGGCGCCAAGCCGTCCGACAAGGTCGCCATCCTGATCAAGAAGTACGGCACGAACGGCACGCACCTCGACGCCCACACCGCGGCGCGGGAGAAGCTCGCGATGCCCGCCGAGATCCCCGACGCCGGCGAGCCGGTCAAGTCGGCCGAGCCGGCTGAGGAAGCAGCGGCCGAGCCGAAGGCCGAGGAGGCCGCCGCCGAGACGCCGGCCGCCGAGGGCGACGCCGCTCCCGCCGAAGAAGCCAAGTCGGAAGAAGCTGCCGAAGAGAAGCCGGCCGAGGAAGCCAAACCCGAAGCCGAAGCCCCCGCCGAAGAGGAGGCGAAAGCCGAAGGCTAAGCCGCTAGCGGCTTGGCGTCCCGAGGAGCGAACGCGATGCGTTTCGACGTGCTGACGCTCTTCCCGGACATCTTTTCCGGTTACCTGACGCAGAGCCTGCTGAAGCTGGCGATCGACCGCGGCCTCACCTCGGTTCACCTGCACAACATCCGCGATTGGTCACGAGGCAAACACCAAGAGGTTGACGACAAGCCGTTCGGCGGCGGCCCCGGGATGCTGATCAAGCCCGAGCCGGTCGTCGAGTGCGTCGAAGCCGTCCAGGCCCTGCCGGACACGAGTCCGGGCCGCCTGCTGCTGATGACGCCCCAAGGCCGGCGGCTCGACCAGCCTTACGCAGAAGAGTTAGCGACCGGCGACCGCCTGCTGCTGCTGTGCGGCCGCTACGAAGGGTTTGACCAACGCGTGGTCGACCTGCTCGAGCCCGAAGAAGTCTCCATCGGCGACTTCGTGCTCAACGGCGGCGAGGTCGCCGCCATGACGATCATCGACGCGGTCGTCCGGCTCGTGCCGGGCGTCCTCGGCGACGAGACCAGCAACCAAGAGGATTCATTCAGCCGCGCCGGCCGCCTGCTCGAGCACGCTCAGTACACCCGCCCCCGCGAGTACCGCGGGCTCGAGGTCCCCGAGGTCCTGCTCAGCGGCAACCACCCGGAGATCGCCGCCTGGCGAGAAGCGGACGCGAAGCGAAGGACCGCCGAGCGGCGGAGCGACCTATTGGCAGGTGATCAGCAAGACAGTAGCCAGTAGTCAGTGATCGGGTTTCGATCGCCGTCACGGATACCTGACCACGGACCCCCGATCTCCCGCCCCAACACAACCACCACCCGCCCCTCCGCGGGCCCCAAACCGAAGCCAACCGCCATGTCCCAAGCCCTCCTCGACCTCGTCGAAAAGACCGCCCTCAAGACCGAGGACGTGCCGGAGTTTGAGATCGGCGACACGGTCGACGTCCACACCCGCATCCTCGAAGGCAACAAGGAGCGGATCCAGGTCTTCAGCGGCGTCGTGATCTCGCGCAGCGGCTCGGGCTGCAAGGAGATGTTCTGCGTCCGCCGCATCGTCAACAACGAGGGGGTCGAGCGCAAGTTCCCGATCCACTCGCCGAAGATCGCCAAGGTCGAAGTAACCCGCTCAGCCGACGTCCGCCGCGCGAAGCTCTACTACCTCCGCGATCGCGTCGGCAAGGCGACCCGCCTCAAAGAACGCCGCCGCGAAGCGAAGAAGGCGTGAGCAGCTTCGCCGCGGCTTTCAGCCGTCAGCCCTCAGCGATCAGCTGACGCACGCGCTGATCTGATCCCTCTCCCCCTCGGGGGGAGAGGCTAGGAGAGGGGGCAAACGCTCAGCACAGGACCATCTTCCTGTGCGAGACACCCTAACCCCTCCCTGCAAGGGAGGGGAATCGCCCCAAGCTGACGGCGGATCGCTGACAGCTGACCGCTTTTCCTTTGTCCCCCCCCCCGTTCTGGTTCCAATGGAACCATGAGTTGGCTCCCGACCATCGCCCGCCCGCGGCCTCTTGGCGAGCGCGGCGAGCGCTACGCCGCCCGGCTGTTGCGGCGGAAGGGCCACCGTGTCCTGTTCGCCGGCAAGCGGAACCGGTTCGGCGAGCTCGACCTGGTGACGATCGACGAGCGGACGCCCGAGCGGCGTCTGGTGTTCGTCGAGGTGAAGACGCGACGCAACGAGCGCGCCGGCGCCCCCGCCGAGGCGGTCGCCCCCGAGAAGCAGCGCCGCCTAACCCGCGCCGCCGCGGCGTTCTTGAAAACGCACGACCTAGAAGACCACCCGATCCGCTTCGACGTGGTCGGCCTCGTCTGGCCGGTCGGCGCAAGGCGGCCGGTGAAGGTGATGCACCTGGAGGGGGCGTTCTAGCTTCGTGCGTGAGAGAACCAGGCATGAACCACGCAGTTGACCCGAACTCGATCGGTGAAGCGCGTCGAGGCTGGGGGACGCGACGCTACCTCTACGTGATTGCGATTCTCTCTGCGTCAATGGGAACGTTCGGCCCGGGCTGGGGACTCGCCGCCGCCGGCGGCGCACTCGTCGTGCAGGCATTGGCTTCCCGCCCGTCGCATCCGCTCCTTGCGTCGTTCTTGGGGACTAGTGCTCTGCTGTTCGCCTACATGCTCCTGCCGGCGGTGCAGGAAGCACGAACTCCTTCGCTCCGAAACATGAGCATGAACAACTTGAAGCAGCTTGCGCTGGCCTGCTTCAACCACCACGACGTCAAAGGAACGTGGCCGCGCGCGTACACCCAGGATGAAGACGGGAAGCGGTTGCATAGCTGGCGTACGTCGGTGCTGCCGTTCTTGGAAGAACAGGCGTTGTACGCGTCGCTTTCTCACGACGAGCCGTGGAGCAACGCTGCGAATCAGAAGGCGTTGCGATCGGTCCCGAGCCTCGACAGTGTCTTCCAGTCTCCTCGCTACCCGAGGCACAGGACATCGCTGCCATATGAAACCGATTACCGCGCGGTCATCGGTGAAGAGACCGTTTGGCCACCAGAGGGCGCGATCACGCACGGCGACATAACGGACGCCCCCGGAAAGACGATTGTCATGATCGAAGTGGGCGGCCTCGGGGGCCATTGGTTCGAGCCACGAGACCTCTCTGTTGAAGAGGCCATCGACCTCCTCGTTGGAAAGACGAGTGACCGGGGCGAGTTCGTAAACCGAGGCTTCTTCGTCTCGAGAAACCTTGGGGCAGACGGGCTCTTTCCCCGCTTGGTCGCCTTCGCCGACGGTCACGTCGAGTCGATCGGCTACTTCCGTTCACGCGAGATGGCTCGGGCGTTCCTCACCCGCGCTGGCGGAGAAGAGACTCCATACGCCTCAGAAGTCGCCGACGGCGTCGGCTCGAGCGAGACTCGTGTCACCCACTACCAGGTTCACTGGTTGCGCATCGGGTCGCTCACGCTGTTTGCCGTGCTCGCCATCGCGCCGGTGTTCTCCAGCGGTAGGCGGGTGCTGTTCGGGCGTTCCTAAGGAACGCCAACAGGCCGGGAGGGCCGACAACGCGTAGCCGGGGGCGTGAGCCCCCGGTCGTCGACACCGCCCAGCGAACAAGCCTCGGAAGGGGCGACAGCGGCGTTGCTCGCCGAGTTGCTGTCGCCCTTGCCGGGGCTTCTCTTTGAGACGACGCACGCGAACCAGGGGCTTGCGCCGCTGGCTACGCGCTTTCGCCCCTCCGGGGCTTTCTGGTACACGCCGCTCGGCTCGTTTGACCGAAACTCACGGGCGACGCCGCGTAGCGCCGTGGCGAGAATGGCGATATGGTCGCCAACCGCCACGCCGCCGACCGCTATTCCGCCGACGGGGGCCGACAAAACTCCAACGCCTTGCGGCGCAACGGGTTGCCGTCCGAAACCGGGGGGTTCTGTCGGGGGCGCCCGTTTCTGTTGACCCCGACATAAGTCGGCCAGGAAAGAGACGGGTCAGCGGACTTCGAGCATCCGCTCTAGCGCCACCAGGCTCCAGCGGGCCGTCTCTTCGTCGACCTCGATCGTGTTGATCGGCCGATCGGCGGCGAGGTGCTCCAGCGTCCAGCAGAGGTGCGCCAGGTCGATGCGGTACATCGTCGCGCACATGCAGACGACCGGCGACAGGAAGTGGATCTCCTGTTCCGGGTGTTCTTGCTTCAGGCGATTCACGAGGTGCAGCTCCGTTCCGATCGCCCACTTGCTGCCGGCCGGCGCCTCGCGGACCGCCTTGATGATCGCACCGGTGCTGCCCGAGACGTCGGCCAGCTCGAACACCTCCTGCGGACACTCGGGGTGTACGAGGATCTGGATGCCGGGGTGATTCTTGCGGAACAGCTCGACGTGCTCCGCCTTGAACATCTGGTGGACGCTGCACCAGCCGCGCCAGAGGATCACCTTGGAGTCGCGGAGCTGCTGCTCGGTGTTGCCGCCCAGGTCGTCTTCGTGCGGGTTCCAAACCGGCATCTGGTCATTGGAGATGCCCATCCCCATCGCGGTGTTCCGCCCCAGGTGCTGGTCAGGGAAGAACATGACGCGGTCGCCCCGCTCGAACGCCCATTCGATGGCCGCCTTCGCGTTGCTGCTCGTGCAGACGATGCCGCCGTGCCGGCCGACGAACGCCTTGAGGCTCGCGGCGGAGTTGATGTAGGTGACCGGGATCAGCCGCTCGGTGTCGATCACCTCCGAGAGCTGGTCCCAGGCGTCCTCGATCTGGTCGATGCCGGCCATGTCGGCCATCGAGCAGCCGGCGGCCAGGTCGGGGAGCACGACGCGGACGCGCTCGCCGCCGCGCTCGGCGAGCTTCTCCGGCCGGTTGGCGAGGATGTCGGCCGTCTCGGCCATGAAGTGGACGCCGCAGAAGGCGATCATCCGGCAGTCCGTGCTGTCGGCCGCCATCTGGCTGAGCTGGTAGCTGTCGCCCCGCAGGTCGGCCAGCTCGATCACCTCGTCCTGCTGGTAATGGTGCCCGAGGATCAGCAGCTTCGGGCCGAGCTCGTCACGGACCGCCTGGATGCGGGCCTGCAGCTCCTCGTTGGAGAGCGACTTGTACGGCTTCACGCCGTCGAGCGGCGGTTGGACGGCAGCGATAGCGGTCATTCGGCAGCGGGGGACGTGCTAGCGGTGCGGGCGGGGTGACGCGGCATTATACGAACCCGCGGCCAGCCGGAAGCGTCAGCGCCCGGATCGCCCAACTCAAAGGTCCGCCGTGGCGCCGGCGCCGGCTGGGCAAAGTTTGCCGGTCGCGGCGCCGATATCGAAGGGGTGGCGCTTCGCGCCTGCCTTGTCTACGAACCACGACGCGAGCTGACTGACGTGGCCGAGCTGACGGCGGACCTCGCCCCGAAGATCGTCGAAGCCTGCACGGCCAACGCCGAGGAGGCGGCCGGCGCCCTGGGCCGCGCGCTCGACGGCGAGTTCGTCGTCAAGCCGGGCGAAGCGAAGCCCCGCGCCGAGCTGGCCGAGGAAGCCCTCACTGGCGGCGGGCTCGTGGTGACGCTCGCAACCGGCGAGACCGGCGCGCTGGTGACCTTGCCGGAGTCGAGCGGCCTCGTGCCCGACTGGGTGAAGGAGCCCGATCCGACTGGCGAGAGCAAGCTCAGCACGCTTGGCCAAGAGCTGAGCATGTTGCTGCTGCCCGACGACGTCCTCACGGACGACTTCCAAGCCGCCTGGGTGGACGACCTGGCCGCGGCGGTCGAACGAACCGAGCCGAGCTACGGGGCGGTCGGCCTGGGAATCGAGCTGGCGCGTGGCGAGACGCTCGGCCAAATGACGCTGCTGTGGCCTGTCGCGAAGGCGAAGGCGGCGATCCCAGAGATCGAGGCCGACGCGGGCGAGGCAAGCGAGGGCAGCGACGCGGTCGCCGAGGCCGCCTCGGAGGGTGCGCCAGCCCCGGCTGCCGCCCCTGCCGGCAAGCGAGGCTGGATCGGCCCGCCGCCGCGCGACTACCGCGACCTGCCGCCCAACGTGGTGAGCCACCTGCAGGTCATGGTGCCGGTTTCGGCGAGCCTCGCCGAGCGGAAGATGTCGGTCGAGGACGTCGTCGAGATCGGCCCGGGATCGATCATCACGTTCGACAAGGCGTGCGACGACCCGCTGGAGCTCTGCGTCGGCGATCGAGCGATCGCGCGCGGCGCCGCGGTGAAGGTCGGGGAAAAGTTCGGCGTCCGGGTCCAGGAGATGATCCTGCCCGACGAGCACTTCCGGCCGATGCTGCCGAATCGTTCCGCGTCTTAACGACAGCGCATAAAGAAAGCCGACCCGTGCGACGAATCGCACGGGCCGGCTGGTTCTTCTCGCAGTCGCGAGCTCTCCGAGATCAGCCAGCGAAGCTGACACGGACCACGTCACGCTGACGACCAACGGCGGCGTTGGGGTCGGCGGTCGGGGCCGGCGGCATCGGGGCCGCTTCTTCCTCGGAAACCTCTACCGGAGCCGGGGCGGCGTCGGCGGCCGGGCCGCATCCGCAAGCCGGGGCGGCACAGCAGGGGTCGCAGCCGCACGACGGCTCGCAGCAACCGCAGCTCGGCTCGCAGCAACCCGAGTCACAGCCGCAGGACGGCTCGCAGCAGCAGCTCGGCTCGCAGCACGAACCGCAGCCCTTGCGGCAGCCACCGAACAGCTTGTCGAGCAGGCACGGCTTGCGGCAGCACGGGGCACAGCAGCTCGGCTCGCAACCGCACGACGGCTCGCAGCCGCAGCTCGGCTCGCAGCATCCGTCGCCGCAGCAGCCCGCGTCGCAACCGCAGCTCGGCTCGCAGCAGCCATCGCCGCAGCAACCCGAGTCACAGCCGCAGGACGGCTCGCAGCAGCACGACGGGTCGGCACAGCAGCTCGGCTCGCAGCATGAACCGCAGCCCTTGCGGCACTTCAGCTTGCCGAAGAGCTTGTCGAGCAGGCACGGCTTGCGGCAGCAGGGGTCGCAGCAGCTCGGCTCGCAGCAGCACGACGGGTCGGCACAGCAGCTCGGCTCGCAGCAGCCATCGCCGCAGCAGCCCGAGTCGCAACCGCAGCTCGGCTCACAGCAGCACGAGGGCTCGCAGCAGGAGCCGCAACCGCAACGCTTGCCGAAGAGCTTGTCGAGCAAGCCACACTTGCTGCCGCAGCAGGGGTCGCAGCAACCGGCGTCACAGCCACAGCTCGGCTCGCAGCAGCACGAGGGCTCGCAGCACCCGTCGCCGCAACAACCGTCATCGCAGCCACAGCTCGGCTCGCAGCAGTCCGAGCAGCAGGCGGAGCCACAACCACCGCACAGCCCATCAAGCAGTCCGCCGCCGTAGCTTTGGCCCGCCAGAGAGACGCACAGCAGCAGCGCTCCCAGCACATTCAAGTTCATCGTTCGACTCTCCATAGCTTCTGCGGGATCCGTCCTTGGCGCACGCTCGTCGGTCACCCGGCCGACTTCCGGCAACGCGCGACACCGCTCCGCAGCGGCCCGCTCGTCGCGATTTCTTTCCGCAAGGGGCGGAAGTCGTCGACAGCCGAGGGAGACGGCACTTATAAGTGCCGGGAGTCCGTCGGGGCCGACTCGGGTGAACCTCGGTGGGATCCAGCGGGGGGAAGCGTCGCCGCTAGTCGAGCCACTCCTTGACTCGAATCAGTTGGGCCAGCTGAGCGACGCCTTGCCATCCTCAACGCGGGAGAAGAGGGTGGCAGCGTACGTATCGGCGAGGCCGGAAAGCCCCCTTGAGAGGTCGCAAACGATTCCCTGCAAATGACTTATGGCGACCGTTATGCCGCCTGTGAGGGCTGCGGCGGGGCGCCCGGTTGTTCCGGTTATGCGGTCGCCCCCCGCGGGGATTGCGACTGATGGTCCACGCGGTCTTCGACTGCTATTCTTCTTCTGAAGGAACAACCTGGGGCGTTCTCACAGCGTAGAGAAGCCCGTGTCCGGCTCTGACCCACCTCGGCTCAGCCCGAGCCACCCACCGCCTCTCGACGGTCCGCATGTCGCTGTGTCTCCCCTGCCCCGGCCCGATGCGGGTCGGCATCCTCCTCCTGCTAGCATCGTGCTCTCTCGGCATCCCCGGTTGGGCCCAGGCGGAAGACTGGCCCTTCTGGCGCGGCCCGCGCTACGACGGCAAGTCGACCGAGACGGGTCTCGTCGACGACTGGAACCCGAAGGGCGGCCCCGGCAGCAACCTGCTGTGGAAGCGCGACTACCTCGCAGGCCGGTCGACCCCGATCGTCATGAACGGGCGGCTCTACACGATCGTCCGCGATCGGCCGGGCACCGACCTGGAAGGCGAGAAGGTCGTCTGCGCCGACGCGGCGACGGGTGAGAAGGTCTGGGAGCACCGCTTCAACGTCTACCTGTCCGACGTGCCCGACACCCGTGTCGGCTGGTCGAGCGTCGTCGGCGACCCGGCGACCGGCCGAGTCTACGCCCAGGGCGTGTGCGGCTACTTCTGCTGCCTCGACGGTTCGTCCGGCTCGGTCGTCTGGGAGCGGAGCCTGCACGAGGAGCTCGGCCTGCTCTCGACCTACGGCGGACGGACCAACTTCCCAATCGTCTACGAAGACACTGTCATCACCAGCGCGGTGGTGATCGGCTGGGGCGACAAGCCGAAGTGGGGCCTGCTCGCGAAGCCGGCCCACCGCTTCTTGGGCCTCGACAAAGGGACCGGAGAGCTGCGCTGGCTCAGCGGCACGCGGCTGATCCCCTACGACACGACCTACAGCTCGCCCGCGCTGGTGGAGCTCGCCGGCCAGCGGGCGATGGTCTTCGGCTCGGGCGACGGCGCCGTCTGGGCGATGCAGCCCGGCACGGGCAAGACGCTCTGGAAGTCGCAGCTCAGCCGGCGTGGCCTCAACGTCTCGCCCGCCGTGGCGCCCGACGGCCGGGTCTTCATCGGGCACAGCGAAGAGAACGTCGTCGGCAACGCGATGGGGCTCTTCACCGCGGTCGACGGGACCCAACTCGGCGAAGAAGAGCCGATCGACCAGACCGACAAAGAGCTGTGGCGAAACTACCAGGTCATGGCCGGCAAGAGCTCGCCGCTCTACGTCAACGGCTACGTCGTTGTCGTCGACGACCGCGGAAAGCTGCTGTTGTACGACGCGGAGTCAGGAGAACAACTCGACCGGGTGGCTCTCGGTCGAGTGATGCGGGGCAGCCCGGTCTACGCCGACGGGAAGTTCTACGCCGTCACGCGTGGCGGAAGTTGGGGGGTCTATCGGATCGCCATCGAGAGGGACGCCAACGACGAGATCGTCGACGTCAGTTTCGAGCGAGTGTCGCGAGGGAAGCTCCGAGGCGAGCAAGTTGACGCCTCGCCGATCATCGCCAACGGCAGGATCTACATCACGACGAGCGAAGCCGTCTACTGCTTGGGAGACGAACGATCGGGTGTCGTCAACTCCGCCAGCAACGCGGCCCCGTCGGGCCCGGCCGAAGAGCCGACCGACAAGCGGGTCGCCCAACTACAACTGACGCCATGGGACACGCTGCTCGCCCCCGGCGAGAAGAAGCAGTACCGGCTGCGGCTCTACAACGCCTCGGGTGAGTTCCTTCGCGAAGCGGACCCGAAGAAGGCCTCGTTCGGCGTCTCGGGGCTCGGCGAGATCACGCCACAGGGCGTCTACCGCGCGCCCGACACGTTCCGTCACGAGACGGCCTTGGTCCTCTGCGAGTACAAGGGCCTGTCGGCCGAGGCGCGGGTGCGGATCGTGCCTCCGTTGCCTTGGTCGTTCGACTTCAACAAAGCGTCCGACGTGCCACTGACTTGGGTCGGCGGGCGGATCCGCTACGTGCTGCGGGAAGGCCCGGACGGCGACGACTACATCGCCAAGCCGACCGAGCTGCCGACACGGCCCGGCAAGCCGACGACGAAACTCGGCACGCGCAGCCGGATGTGGATGGGGTCGCACACGCTCGCGAACTACACGGTGCGAGCCGACATCCAACTGCAGCAGGGTACCGCCGGCGAAGCGAGCGCCGACGAACCCGCCCCCGAGGGGCCCCCGGCGGTTGCCACCGCGATCAAGCTGCCGACGGCCGGGTTGATCAACAGCCGCTACACGTTTGCCTTGTTCGGACCGAACCAAGAGGTTCGACTCTACAGTTGGTGCACGCACGACAAGCGGACGCAGGCCGCCAAGGAGATGAACCTCCAGGCGGGCGTCTGGTACCGGCTGAAGCTGTCGGTCGTGCCGAAGCCCGACCAAGGGATCGCCGTCGTGCAGGGCAAGGTGTGGCCACGCGGAGAACCCGAGCCGGGCGAGTGGACGCTCCAGTTTGAAGACAAGGCGCCGAACGTGCAGGGAAGTCCCGGCTTGTTCGGCGACGCCAAAGAAGCGGAGTTCTTCGTCGACAACTTGTCGGTCACTCCCAACGGCTGACAACCCGCGTGATGACGACGAGCTAGCCATCTCGGCATCTCCCATCGAACAAGCTCGGCAACGGGTTGCATCCCGGCTGCCGGCCTTCCCAGGACGGAAACGAGACGACCCATGCGACCCTCTCTCTGCCTGATCACGTTGCTCGCGGCCCCGCTGTCGGGCGCCGCTCTGGCCGCCGACGCGGTCACCGCCGAGTGGACCCAGTGGGGCGGCGACTCGCTGCGGAACAACGTGCCGGTCGGCGTCGGCATCCCGACCGAGTGGGAGGTCGGCGACTTCGACTTCCGCACCGGCGAGTGGGACTCTTCCTCCGCCGAGAACATCAAGTGGGCCGCGCGGCTCGGCTCGCAGACGTACGGCAACTGCGTCGTCGCGGGCGGGAAGGCCTTTGTCGGCACGAACAACTCGGGCGGTTGGCTGCCGCGCTACCCGGCCGAGGTCGACCTCGGCTGCCTGATCGCCTTCGACGCGGAGACGGGCGAGTTCCTCTGGCAGCACTCGTCCGAGAAGCTCAAGACGGGCCGGGTCCACGACTGGCCGCTGCAAGGCATCTGCTGCGCCCCGCTGGTCGAGGGCGAGCGGCTCTGGTTCGTCACAAGCCGCGGCGAGGTGCGCTGCCTCGATACCGAAGGGTTCCGCGATGGCGAGAACGACGGTCCGGTCGTCGACGAGGTCCACTCGATGGCCGAGGACGCCGACGTGCTGTGGGTGTTCGACATGATGCGCGAGCTGGGCGTCTCGCAACACAACATGTGCAGTTGCAGCGTCACCTCGTGGGGCGACATCCTGCTGGTCAACACGTCGAACGGCCTCGACGAGTCGCACATCAACCTGCCTGCACCCGACGCGCCGAGCTTCATCGCGTTGGACAAGAACACCGGCAAGCTGCTGTGGTCCGACAAGTCGCCCGGCACGAACATCCTGCACGGCCAGTGGTCGAGCCCCACCTGCGGCGAGATCACGATGCCCGACGGCTCGGTGCAAGCGCAAGCGATCTTCGGCGGCGGCGACGGCTGGGTCTACAGCTTCGACCCGGCGGGCGACGGCTCGGGCGGCGCGAAGCTCCTCTGGAAGTTCGACGCCAACCCGAAGCAGTCGGTCTGGGTGCTCGGCGGCCGCGGCACGCGGAACAACATCATCGCCACGCCGGTCATCTACAAGAACCGCGTGTACGTCGCAGTGGGCCAGGACCCCGAGCACGGCGAGGGGATCGGTCACCTGTGGTGCATCGACCCGACCGGCTCGGGCGACGTGTCTCCCGAGATCGCCGTGAAGGCGGACGCCCAAGACACGCCGATCCCGCCGAAGCGGATCCAGGCGGTCGTCCCCGAGGAGGGCGACCTGGCGCGCGTTAACCCGTTCAGTAAGGCGATCTGGCACTACACGACGCAAGACAACAACGGCGACGGCGAGATCGACGAGTACCTCGAAACGATGCACCGCAGTTGCGGCACGGTCGCCATCAAAGACGACGTGCTGTACATCGCCGACTTTAGCGGCATCTTCCACTGCCTCGACGCGATGTCGGGAGAGGTCCACTGGACGTACGACATGTACGCCGCGGCGTGGGGCTCGCCGCTGATTGTGGAGGAGAAGGTCTACATTGGAGACGAGGACGGCGACGTCGCCATCTTTCGCCATTCGGCCGACCCGGAGGTCGCCATGAAGGAAGACGGCGGCGAGCCGACGCCCTTCCACGGCGAGGTGAACATGGGCAACAGCGTTTACTCCACGCCGATCGTCGCGGACAATGTGTTGTACATCAGCAACCGCACCCACCTGTTCGCGATCGAGAACGAGTAAAGCGATGAAGCGAGTCCTTGACGTCGGCAACTGCGACCCCGACCACGCGGCGATCACGGCCTTCTTCACGTCGAACTTCGACGTCGAGATGGGCCGCGCGAAGCTGCCCGCCGACACGATGGAGCAGCTCCGCGCGACGCCGCACGACCTGGTCGTGATCAACCGCAAGCTCGACGAGGACTACTCGGACGGCTTGGAGATCATCAAGCAGATCAAAGCCGACCCGGCGACGAAAGACGTGCCGGTGATGCTCGTCACCAACTACGACGAGCACCAAGAAGCCGCCGTCGCCGAGGGCGCGCTGCGAGGCTTCGGCAAGCTCGAGTACAACCAGCCGGACACGGTCGAACGCGTCCGGGCCGCGCTCGGAGCGTGACCCCAACCCACGCGACTGCCATGCAAGCCACCTGGAACGGCGCCACCCTCGCCGAGTCGGACGCGACGATCGTCGTCGAAGGGAACCACTACTTCCCGCCCGACGCGATCAAGCAGGAGCACTTCCGCGAGGCCACGCAGACGACGGTCTGCGGCTGGAAGGGCACGGCCAACTACTACGACGTGGTCGTCGGCGACGACGTGAACGCGGGCGCCGCGTGGTACTACGCCGCGCCGAAGGAAGCCGCCAAGGAGATCGCCGGCTACGTCGCCTTCTGGAAGGGCGTCGAGGTGAGCGGCGAGCCGGCCGCCGGCGGGCCGGAGATCGAGGGGGGCGCCTGCGAGTTGTAGGGCCTCCCGCTGTCGCAAACGGGCGACACCTGCGGCGGAGAGTACGAGACTTGCGGCATCGGGCGGCAGGCCATGGCTCCGACGCCGAGCCCCTCCGCTAGCCCCGGGGCATCCGCTAGACTGACGGCCTTCGCCCGCACACCACGGACCGGAGACCCCGCTCGCGATGACCAAACACCTGTTCGTCACCGGCGGCGTCGTCAGCTCGCTCGGCAAGGGGCTCACCTCCGCGTCGATCGGCATGCTTCTGGAAAAACGCGGCCTGCGGGTCCGCATGCAGAAGCTCGACCCATACATCAACGTCGACCCGGGGACGATGTCCCCTTACCAGCACGGCGAAGTCTACGTGCTGGATGACGGGTCGGAGACCGACCTCGACCTGGGCCACTACGAGCGCTTCACCAGCGGCCCGCTGACGCGTGACTCGAACTACACCACCGGTCAGATCTACCTGTCGGTGATCGAGAAGGAACGCCGCGGCGAGTTCCTCGGCAAGACGGTGCAGGTCATCCCGCACGTCACCAACGAGATCAAGTCGTGCGTCGCGCGGCTCGGCGAGTCGAAGGACGCCGACGGCGAGCGGCCCGACGTCGTGATCACCGAGATCGGCGGAACGGTCGGCGACATCGAGAGCCTGCCCTTCATGGAGGCGATCCGCCAGTTCGCCATCGACGCCGGCAAAGACGCCGACGGCAACCCGAACTGCCTGTTCATCCACCTGACGCTCGTGCCGTACCTCAAAGCGGCGCGCGAGCTGAAGACCAAGCCGACGCAGCACTCGGTCGGCCTGCTGCGGCAGATCGGCATCCAGCCGGACGTCCTGATCTGTCGCACGGAGCAACCGATCAGCCGCGAGGACCGCGAGAAGATCGCCCTGTTCTGCAACGTGCCGTTCGAGGCGGTCATCGAAGAGCGCGACAAGGACTTCTCGATCTACGAGGTGCCGTTCAGCCTGGTCGAGAACCGCTTGGACGGGCAGATCTGCGACCGGCTCGGCCTGCAGACCACGGAGCCCGACCTCGGCGACTGGCGTGACCTGCTCAACCGGCTGCGCCGGCCGGACCACGAGATCAGCATCGCCGTGGTGGGCAAGTACGCCGAGCACCGCGACGCGTACAAGTCGATCTACGAGGCCCTCGACCACGCGGGGATCGCCCACAAGGCGCAGGTCCGCGTCGGGCGGATCCGCAGCGAGGACGTCGAGGCAGAGGGCCCCGAGCGGCTCCTCTCCGGCTACGACGGCCTGCTCGTGCCGGGCGGCTTCGGCGAGCGCGGCATCGAGGGCAAGGTCCAGGCGATCCGCTGGGCCCGCGAACGGGGCGTGCCCTTCTTCGGGATCTGCCTCGGCATGCAGTGCGCGGTGGTCGAGTACGGCCGCCACGTCGTCGGCCTCGAGGGCGCCCACAGCACCGAGTTCGACAAGGACACGCCGCACCCGGTGATCTGCCTGTTGGACGAGCAGCGCGACATCACCGACATGGGCGGCACGATGCGCCTCGGGGCGCAGCCGGCCAAGCTCGCCGAGGGGTCGCTCGCCAGCGCGTGCTACGACGCGACCGACATCGAGGAACGGCACCGGCACCGTTACGAGTTCAACAACCAGTACCGCCAGCAGTACGAGGCGCACGGCCTGCGATTCAGCGGCACGAGCCCCGACGGGCAGTTGGTGGAGATCGTCGAGCTGCCGCAGAGTCCTCAAGAAGGGGGGACCGAAACGGGCGAGCACCCTTGGTTCCTCGCGGTGCAGTACCACCCCGAATTCAAGAGCAAGCCGATCGCGGCGCAGCCGTTGTTCGCCGGGTTCGTCGGCGCCGCGGTGCAACATCGCAAGGGCCGCGCGGAGCGTGCGACTTCCGCGGAAGAGGCCCACGAATCACACGAATCGACGCGAATCTGACAGGGCTGCCGCCCACTCTCTGCGATCCATGAGCGACGAAGAAAAGAAGATCATCATCGACGAGGACTGGAAGTCCCAAGTCGAAGCCGAGAAAGCTGCCGCTGCGGAGCAGTCCTCGGGCGAGCCCCCGGCGCAAGCCGGGGGAGGTGAATCCGAGCCCGCCGCAACTCCGCCGGCTGACGCCGACGGCTCACGAGCCGATGGCGCAGCCAGCGACGACCCGCCGATGCCGCCCGCTTCGATCGGCATGCTGATGTCATCGCTCGCGACCGAGGCGCTCGTGTCGATGGGGACGATCCCGCACCCCGCCACCGGCGAATCGATCCAGCGCCGCAATCAGGCGAAGTACCTGATCGACACGCTCGACATGCTCAAGCAAAAGACCGCCGGCAACCTCACGCCGGAGGAGACGGCGGCACTAGACGACGTGCTGCATCAGTTACGGATGGCGTTCGTCGCCGGCGCGAACGGATAAGAACGAACGTCCCCCTCCCTCTCTGAGGGAGGGGCTAGGGGAGGGTGTCGATGCCCAGGACAGGAAAGTACTCCTGTCCTGAACGTCCGCCCCCTCCCCTAACCCCTCCCCCAACGGGGGAGGGGGATTCTGAGGCCCTCTACAGCTTCGCGAGCGCTGCCTCGGTCGCGGCGAGCTGCGACTTCGCTTCGGCGAGCTTCTTCCGCTCGCCCTCCACCACGTCGGCCGGGGCGTTGGCGACGAACTTGTCGTTGGAGAGCTTGCCGCTCAGCGACTTCACGAACTTGGCGAGGTTCGCCTGCTCCTTGCCGAGCCGCGCCTTCTCCGCCTCGACGTCGATGAACGCCGCCACGTCGACGTGGACCTCCAGCGCCGCGTCGAAGCCCGAGAGCGGCTTGCTCGCGGCGATCTCGGGCGCGGCGGCGTCGGGGCCAAGCGCCACGGCCGTCGCGCGGGCCATCTGCGTGAAGTAGGGCTGCATCGGATCCAACAGAGCGGCGGTCGCCGCGTCGCAGCGGACCGCAAACTCGACGGTCTCCTTCGTGGGGATCGCCTGCGCCTGGCGCACCTCGCGGACGGTGCCGAGCACCGCCTGGAACTTGGCGAACTGCTCCTCGATCGTCGCGTCGACCGCCGCCGCGTCGGCCTCCGGCCAAGGCGCGATGCAAATCGACTCCGCCGCCGCTTGCGGCCTAGCGAGCCCCCGAACCGGCGCAACTTCCGCCAAGAGCTGCCAGACCTCCTCCGTCAAGAACGGCGTCATCGGGTGCAGCAACCGCAGCAGCGTGTCGAGCGCGTGGGCGAGCACGCCCTGGGCGACCTGCTTGTCCGGCCCCTCCTCCGCGAACCGCGCCTTCGTCATCTCGACGTAGAAAGAGCAGAACTCGTTCCAGGCGAAGTCGTACAGCGACCGGGCGGCGTCGGCGAAGCGGTATTCGTCCAGCGCCGTGGAGACCTCCGTCGTGACGGTCGCTAGGCGGCTTAGCAGCCAGCGGTCTTCGATGCGAAGGTCGGCTCCCCCGACTGACGTCGGGGGCTCAAAGCCCTCGAGGTTCGTAAGAGCGAAACGGCTTGCGTTCCACAGCTTGTTGCAGAAGTTGCGGCCGAGCTCGAAGCGCTCGCTCGTCACCGCGCCGCGCGGCAGGGCGAGGTCCTCGTCGGTCTCGGCCCACTGGGTGCGGAACGCCCCGCCGCAGCTCGGGCAGGGGACCCGCGGCAGCACGCGGTTCTTCTTGGTTTGCTTGATCGTCGCGTCGCACGTCGGGCAAACGAACTCGACCGGCATCCGCACGTCCTGCGTCTCGGTCGTCAGGTAGGCGATGCCGAACCGCAGGGCGTCCGCGCCGAACTGCTCGATCACGTCGAGCGGGTCGACGCCGTTGCCCTTCGACTTCGACATCGTCTCGCCGAAGCCGTCGAGGATTTTTGGGTGGATGTAGACTTCCGGGAACGGAACCTCATCGAGCAGGTACTTGCCCATCAGCACCATCCGCGCGACCCACAGCGTGATGATGTCCCGCGACGTGACGAGCACGCTCGTGGGGTAGAAGACCTTCAGCTCGTCGGTTTGGTCCGGCCAGCCCATCGTGCTGAACGGCCAGAGCGCGGAGCTGAACCACGTGTCGAGGACTTCTTCGTCTTGGCGAAAGCCACATTGCTCAAGCGCTGCTCGAACAGAGAGGCCGTCCTGATATTCCAGCTCGAGCGCGGCGTCATCGCCTGGGCAAATCTTGAAGTCGTTTCGATCCGTGATGTTGAAGCTGTGATCTGCTGGCTCAGGGATAAGCTCTCCGTTCACCTCGACTCGCAATGCCGTGCGCCCTTCGCTGACCTTTACAGCTCCCAGACAACGACTTACGTGAGGCCACTGCACCAATCGCGTTGACGGGCCGACCTCACACTCCCAAACCGGGATCCGGTGTCCCCACCACAACTGCCGTCCCACGGGCCAGTCGCGTTTCTCGCCAAGCCAGTCGAGGTAGCTCTTGCCGTAACGCTCGGGGACGATCTTCACGCTGCCATCGGTCACGGCGTCCATTGCCGACTGCGCCAGCTCGTCCATCTTCACGAACCATTGATCCGCGAGATACGGCTCGATCGGCGTCTTGCTGCGGTCGCTGTGCGCGAGGTCGATCAGACGGTCCTCAACGTCCGCCTCCGGGTCGTGGAAACCGCCCGCTTCGAGGTCGGCCAGCACCGCCTTGCGGGCCTGTTTCATCGTCAGGCCGCGGTACTTCTCCGGCACCGTGTCGTTGAGCGTGCCGTCGGTGTTCAGGAT